ATATATATCTGTATATGGGGGTGCGAATATATAGTCATAGTATGGGCTAATTCGCTTAAAAATGGCGATATACCTCAGAACTTGTATTTTGTGATTTTTTCAATATTTTAAAATTAATTACCGTAGTTACACCATAACGTATCATAACTTCCGGAAGAGGCGAGCTGGTAAGTATATTTCAGTTCTTTTGACAGTTCAATTTTACATGTCTTTAGTATTGTGCACATGCTCTATGTGGACAAAATTCAGCTTATAGTGTCACACCATTTAGTGTCTTCTACCTTTTAGGAGCCATGTAAGGGTCCCATTCATGAGATAACTCTTTTATTTCTAACTAAACTTCTTGCCTTTTATCATGCTTAACAGAGTGTAGGATGGGTTCATGTGCCAAAAATAACTGATCCATGGATATATATCATTTTGAAATTTGGATGCAAGAAATATTTTTTCGGAGCCATGTTTTTTACGACTCATAACAGGAAATAGATTATCTAAATGAAAACTGAATTTACATCATCAATCCTGGTTTTGACTTAAAAATTTACCGAAATAGATATTTAAATATTATTAAAATGATTATTGACTATTTTTTTATTAATCTTATGCAGTGATAAAATTTATAAGATAGCTTTAGAATTACAGTGTTATTTCATTATGCCAGTGTGGCCTAATGGAGTAAGGCGCTGGACTAAGGTTTTGATAGATTGAATCGGTGGTTCGATTCCCGGTCTAAACTAAGGTTTTTTTCTTTTTTATTTATCTCTCAGACACAATTTTTTTTAAAAAATCTCTTTTTATACAACATGTAGTCATATCTATCACTTTTTGAGGTTTTAGATTTTAGATACATCATAAATGTGTTACTTTAACTGTGGATATAAAATACTCATTCGAAATACTTAATAAATCTAGTCTTATTTGATATAATCCTCCTTATGCCTTTGCTTTCCTCAGCAAAAGATGACTGCAACTGGCTTTTTTTTATTGGACAGAACTTTCCACTGCAAGTAATGTGTGTACCTTTTTAGCTTACACTTGTATTTAGTACCAGAGACATACTCACCCAATTGCCTCCCTTAATCCATTTATTTGCTAAACATATATAATTAAATTAATTAATGACATTAACACGATCCACTAAAGTTTGATATTCTTGAAAATAGAGTAAACACTAAATACACTGAAACAGCAACAATTTAATCTTAAAATTAAAAAACGTGCATCTGCAAAAACAAAACTGATTTTTTCGCAATGGATTTATTTTTCCTTAAAAAGTGATGGATAATAAAAATATGTTTTTAGAGCATTTTTTATAGCCATTTTGTAGGGAAAAATGATGAAAAAATGTACAATCTTTTAATTTAAAGTATGACCTGAATCGATTGCAAACTTCATATTTGCACATTTGATGAAATGAACCCCCTTGTGTCATATTGTTTAATTATAAAGTTTGCAATCGATTCAGGTCATAGTGTATTTTTGGTATTTCTGTGATAATCAATGGAAACCAATGGCCTCTGTTGGGATCTGCTGATATCCTCATGTTAAGTCAATGGTGCATAGCCCCATGTAAGTCAATACTACCTTATTGAACGAAATGATCCCTAACTCAGCTTATGTGTGCCCGAGCACTTTGATATTTTCCAAAGTATTATATGACATTCTATTCTTCATGTTACACCTAAGAATGATTCATTTTGACCATAGGAATATTTGCCAATAATCGCACCTCTTCCTTTACTATTTTTTCCTACTGGTCACATAAATTGAATATATGTTTCTGGTTATTGCAATGGATTTTTCCACAAATATTTTTTTTGGGAGAAATCCCGACCGGGGGTTCGTCCGAACCCATCGAACCCCCGGTCCCTACGGCTATGCATGATAAGTTCCCCAACACGGAGGAACTGTGCCCTTCCACCATTAATTCAGGTATCGTCAAAAACAATAGTACTTTTGTGTAAATCAATGAATGAGAAAATGAAGTCGAAAGGAATACGATAAGCTTTTATATAGGGGTATAAATAATCAAGGAGCAACCGTGACAATGAGGAACGCGTCAAATTACGCGTGCGTGAACGATGCAATCATATTCAAATACGTACATGCACCAAGGGAAAGATGAATACCCGGTGATTTCAGCGGGAAGTGGCGTTTCGTTCATTGGATGAGCTGCGCGCGCACGCATAAATGTGATTATCCAATATAATTAGGGGAGGGCTATTTGAAGTAGTTTTTGGTCTCAGGCGCGACCCAGGGCTGTTGTCTTAAGGACATTTCGTTGAAAATGAGCCATTCGGCTGATAATTGGTAAGAGTTTGCGATCTTATAATGTATAACTGTTACTCAGACACATATTTTGACACGATTCTGTTGGAAATAAGCTTTGAACCGAGAGATATTCACGATTGATATGCACATTTTTGATTGTGCCATTGCTTTTCTATTGCACAACCCATGTATTGATAGAAGAAACATTAATAATACAGATTGGTTTACCTTCAATACATGGCAGACACTACATATCGGTCTATTAATACCAGTTTGTGCCTTAAATAGTTTTATATTTCCATCCACGGCCTGGAGACTGGGTGTGTTTGTCTCTTATGTGTATGCTTGTGCATGGACTTCTAATCACTAGCAGAATTTAACATGATGCAAACTCGACATTATAACTCATGCTGTAACATTTTGACTTCGCTGGAAAACAATAGGAATTATTTTTCTTGCCAATCAATCATGAATCACAATCAAAATTTCAGAATGATCAATCAGGCAATGATCCAAATCAAGTTATAACATTATATGATATTCAGCAAGAAGTCCGGTAGAAATACAGAATATTTAAACATCAAAGCTGAAAGTTAAAAGCTAATCTGTCAATTTTCTGTCTGCAAAAGAGCGTCCCAAGAGCGTTTACATTTGACACAATAACAGACTGAGGCCTTGAAATCTAGGATTCCCCAGGAAAATATGACGTCATACTAATTAGCATAAGGATTTCCCTATTGGGGTGGGTCGAGCCTTGTTCGAAAACACAATCCATAAATACATGCTAATTTCTAAGGAGATAGGAAGTGTATAACGTGTTTATCGATTTTGTTTAAAGATTTAATCAATTATCAAATTGTTTAAGTGGATAAAGTGGTCACACTTGCTTCAATTCATAGCGAAATCGACGGATAGAAACTGACCGAATTCCCGATATCCTACCCCGTATTACTGTAGGCTATAAGCACAGTGACCTACAGAGGGCGCTATCACAAACAAGTACTGGACGAACCGATAAATTCCCGGGTATTGTAACGCCCTTGCATGCACGTGATCACAAAATTGGGACATGATATGGGAGTATGTAGTATATTATTTTCATTGCGTAAGTCCTTGCGGAAAGTTAGACGTAGATCTCCAATTTCCGCATATGTTTATGAATACGACGGAGAGATGTTTTTACGTCCAACGTATAATTGAGTTACGTGGACGTAAATGGAAATATTTACGTTGGCTTTATGAATAAGGCTTCAGGACTGAAACAGCAAGAAAATCTTACGCATTGAACGATATCTAATTTCCCGGGGAAAATTGCCGGTCCAGAATATATTCTAGACCGGTCCATATGGACCACCACTATGACGTCACACATTTCTCAGGTCGATATAGTAAAATAAACGCCTTCTAAAGTAGCACTAAAACCCCTAGAACTGGCCCGGCAAGGTGGTAATAATACAATATTCCCGTGGTATGTGAAAAGCTGAAAGCAAACAAAGGATGACCTCTGTTTAAATTTACTGCAATGTGAAGCTCATATGTGAATCACACCACTTAGAGTTCAACGAGTTCAAAGAAAATGTGATAGGCAATTGTTTGTCACTTAGATATTTACATAGAGGCTAGACATGCTGACCTTTGAAAGTCGTCATTTGTCATATTCAAGAAATATGATTATCATTATCAGCTTATCATCCAAATTATGTGTTTTAAGAGATAATTGCTCCTATTTTATGATCCCCTGGCCGTCTTAGTGTAAGAGCTAATTTGAAAAGGTTTTAAATTATATAAATTGATGTATGCTAGAAGCTTAGAATAATGCAAGTTTTTACACTTTTACACTTTTAGATCCAATATTTTGATCATATCCTTTTGACAATAGACATGTGAAAAAACAACAACATTTAACCAAATATCAGAAATATGTTGAAAAAGCAAGCCCTTATTTAGTATATTTACCCAGTGCGCATACTCTAGTCCTTGAAGATGAGGCTCTCTTTTAAGAAGCAAGTCGAACGAATGCGAATGGTATAATATAAGCTGGTAGCCCTAATAAAGGTTTCCCAAAACTCAATAATTATATTTTCATAAATTGTTATCGCAATAAAAGTAGCAGTTCGATGAGAAGCAATGTGCTCTTAACAAGACACTGGTGATCCACTCGATTACGCTGGACTGCCGTTTCGGTAACAAAATGTCGGAACATCGAAGGTACGATTTTTCTTTATTTCACACGTTGTAGGCAGAATTCCCACGACATTTTTATCACAAACGTGTATCAGTATCATATGTTTAAGAAAATGTACATATTTGCGAACAAATAGTTCATAAGACAACAGAAACGGTATTTCGAAAAACATTCAAGATCTGCGCTTTTAACCCTTACCGTTTATAACTTATGCCGGTGAGGAATTAAATCGACGATTCTGTTGTCTTCTGAGCTATATTTTTGCAAACATGTACCTTTTATAAAACATATGATACTGATACACGTTTGTGAGAAAAAATGTCGTGAGGATTATCGTACCTTCAGTAGCCCTAATAAAGTTTCATAAATTCAAAAAATTTCGAAACGAACCGTTTCGGTACCCAGCGTAATAGTAAATAAGATCACCAGTGAAGAGCAAATAAGCAGCAATCAAATGATTAATAATATGTATCAAACAATGAAAGAAAGGGATACAGAAAAACATCATGAACGAAAAACACCATAAACTTAATTATTGACGTACCTTGCGTACATGCAACACTCAAACTCAATACAACCGCTAAAATCTTCAACATTTTGAGCCAGATCCCCTCGTTTAAAACTGGTGGTTTCCTTCGCTGGTCCGTTCTCCTTTGTCCTAGTTCGCCTTTGGGCCTTGTAGTGATTGAGTAAGCTTTTATTGTAAAAGATCATCATATCTAGGCACGTGCGCATGTTGGTGCGCAAGGGGAAATCTCAAAAGTGAAAACCATATATAATAGTTGGTGATAGAACTGTTCTCTTTTAATTTTGATGTTCAAAACCAATTGGCCTCATCTATCTGAAACTATTTTAAAGATGCAGAAATCCCTATATTCACGTTAACAAACGGGACGTCCGCTGTTATTTTAGTGTTTGCCAAAATGCATAAATATCAAAGCATTTACAACGTAATATAAGGCATTGATATGCAAAATCTCTGTACGCCGAACAACAACCACCGAACGGCGAACACCAACTGCCGAAAACCGTCCATAAAAGTTGAACATTATAATAATATGTTACCACTTGTGGACGGTGGTGACATAAACATACGATTTTTATCATAAAATTAAGCATGGCATGGCTATGAGCAAAAAATAGTTATTTAGAACTTGATTCATAGTGTTTGTTGCTCGTCCCCCCAACAGGCCTGATTCGTTCAAAACTTAACCTTGAAATTAAAACAAAAAATACTCTCATACCAGCTCCTCGCATATGTTCGTGTCATAACAACTTCTATAACCGGATAAAAAAATGTTAACTCGAATTCTATTGTTTAGATAGTTCCTTACAATGATTGATAGCGCGCGACTGTTGACAAACACTTATATTGAGAATAACAAGATGACCTTAAAAGCGGATATTATTTAGTTTTGTTAAAAGCAAAAAACAGACAGGGAAAGTACAAACCACTTTTAGCAACACATCGGTGTTACTCCCGGCACCCCTATGTTCGCGTTTGGAGCCATCCTTATTTGGAAGTCACTGTTCATCTAGAAATACTTTTCTGGTAATCGTAATTGGTTACCAAACATGTCCCTTTAAATATTAGGCGTAACACCATGGTAACTAAAAGGTTTTTGATTTATTCTAATTCGCACCATTATGTGACAGACGTTGTTCAGCTGGTCTCTATAACGAAAGAGAACCATATGTGAGCTATCTAGGTTATATACCTATATACCCACAGCCAGCTTAATTTGCCAGACGGGGAGGGGGCAGTTAAGAAAAATCCATGGGGGTTCAAATTTGACAATTTTGGCTCAAAATCATTTGCAGGGTGCTCGTTATGGTAAAAAACATCACGATTTCGAAATTATTCGTGTCCCCTGACTACGGTCCTGTTCCCCTATCTTAAGAATACAAGTGCTGGATGTGTTCTTTACATGTACACTCAAATAAAAGTCTCGATACAACTATATTCAAGAGAAGAGGTCTACCCGGCCTAGAAGTTAATTTTAAAAATTAAAACTTCAAGTTGATAAATATCTTTTTAGTTGCCTAAGTTTATAAATAAATATTACTTTGATCCCAAATAATTAGATTGTTACTCTTTGCATCAATACTATATATAATGTAAATATATATTCAATTTGTTTAATAGTAACCGCCCCCGCCCCCATCCACAGCCAATCATAAATCACCTGATCCCTTTAGCTAGATATCATTATAAAGCTTTTTCCATGCTGGACTTATGGGCTAAATATTGACACGATTGATCATTGGGAACATAATTTGTGAATTTATGTTTGGTCGTCAATTCACCTTCCTCCGAACGCAGGGTTCCAGACCGTGACATCATCCACTAAGTTCCTTCCTTCTCCCAGAAGGAGATACGAGTTTTGGAGGCCTGTGTTCTGGGGATGTACTTTCACCTGTTCACCCTTTTTGCTGGATTTATGGCTTCTGTTTGAAATAGATTTAAAGAGAGGGGTAGATAATAATATAATCCATTGTATCATTTAAAATAGCATTAAGATATATATTTAGCATTCATCAAATGATATAGTTGGTACTTTACTATAGAGAATACTCCCAGCCTTGGATATCATTGGTTTTAACCAGGAAACACAGCTAGTTTTTTTAAAAATGGGGTTGTTATTTGTGTAGTGTAGTATGCAGTTAAAGCTGCTGAGCTTAATCGATATTGTTGCTCAATAAGTCAAGATATGATATATAACACATGGACTGAGGTATATGCAATTTAAGATTGTTGATTGACGGGGTACGCCCATTCTGAAACACCCTGTATACCACACCTTATTTTAAAACCAACAAAAAGTTTTACAAAACGACAAAGTTGTTTTATTACATGTCATGATAAATAAACATTTAAATAAAAACATGAGGTATCCGATCAAATCTCTACAACAACAGGAGTCGACCTTTCACCGTCTGAAATAGAAGAAAGCAACTCCTCCACATCTCCTCCATCCACAACTCCTCCATTCAACTGGCAATGATTTGATCTAGTGTCATCATTCTTTAGGGTTTTGTCATCATAGTTTCGTATATTGTCATCATCGTTTTGTGTATTGTCATGATTGTATGGGGTTTTGTCATCACAGTTTGGTATATTGTCATCATTGTTTGGAATACTGCGATATTTGTTTGGTGTATGTCTTGTATTCTCTCCAATTGAATGTTTGATAGTTTTTTTGTGATTACGAGCAGGATCGTCTTGTGTTGAAATGACTCTTGTTTCAATACTGCTGTTGTTGTTTCGTCTAACTTTTTCATTTAAAAAGTACAAATTCATACATCCTTTCCCCTTCACATCAATTTGGCCCCTGCTCTGTATAAGATAGCTTCCTGTTTGTTGTAATAATTGAAAGGTTGATTCGCTCATGTTGATCATCATTGCTGGAAGAAAAAAAAGATGGCGCTAAATGTACTTTTGAAGATTTTTTGCACAAAAACAGTATAAAGGAGAATGATGGGAAAGAACGTTAATCAAGTAAAAATGACAATGATATATGAACTCGGATATTGTAAAAATAAACAAGGCATTAACATGCAAAATGTCACCACCATTTATTACAGACGCCAATCGCCACCTAGCCTTGCCCAAGTCGGTATTTTTTACTTATCTGATCTTGAATTATTACCGTCATAATAGAAATCAAGATAAGTAAAAGAGACCGACTTGGGCAAGGCTAATCGCCACCCGCCGTCACAAAAACGGAAACCATAACAATATGTCACTACTTTGTGGTGGTGACATAATGAAAGAGGGATATTATTCTACCATTTTGCATTACTGTTTTAACACGACCTCTTGTTTTGTAGTTTCCATCAGAACTTGCTGCAGTATTTTACAATAGGTGTATTAACTATTAACGGACGTAATAAACATAAAAAGCAAATTCTAGATATAGAATTTTCTGTGACTATAACACAGCAGTTAAACATAACTATGAATATTTGAAAAGCCTGACATATTAGTGATATTACACATTATATTATATATTAAATTTTCCGTACGTAAGCTATTCGATTCCATCCTTGAGGCGGTGTTGACAGTATCCCCGAAAAGACAATATCGTGGCATTGTCAGTCCTACAACACCAGCGACTGCAGGCCCAGTATGAAGACCTAAAGAAGACAATCTGCACTAAAGACTTAAGTTCTTTTTTGATTTATTAACTTTATCTACTTTTACCAAGGAAGAGTCATACGTATGTATGTACAGCAAAATGTCTTGAATTTTTATTATATTTCATACATATAATAATTATTATCATACGAGTATGCCACTGCTGAAAATCATGCATATGCTGATCATGCATATGACATTTTAAGACTTTAAAAATCATAATTTTCAATACCATTAAGAAAACATGGCCAATTATTGCCCATTGTATTAAAATCATGGATCGGCACAAAGCTGAACAAAGAAATGTGGTAAAAGCGTGTACGAACAATGTTGTTATTGCAACAGACACGCGTGCCTTGAGCATTCCCAACATAAAATGCACATTTTCTGTACGGAATTCGAAATGGAGAAGAATGAAGAGGTGGGACCGAAATTTGATGCAAGACTGAATGATGTACTTCTTTCAGTCATGAGATACCTTGATATACACAGACCTGATTAATAATTCCTATCGCCATGGATTTTTTTTACCCAAATAGTGATAATCTGTTTTGAATTTTGGACTGACCTTTTCACACCAGCCCTTAGCCATAAAGAGTTAGATCTCGAAATAATATACCTATACATCACGGTGGGGATAGTCATCACGTGACCTTCGCAACTGATGGTGTCTGAACAACGTGTAAGATTTTCTCGATTAAGCAAGAAAATCGAATAATTTTCATATTTATACTTTGTTATACTGTTCGGACACCATCATTTTTCGAAACGAAAAATTGCGATATCTCAAAAAATATGCGTCCTCTGCTTGTCATGAAGGCTCGTTGAAAAGACTGAGATAGTATACATAAGTGGGGAGAAATTTGACGCTGTTAACAAAGGATAAATATGAAAAATATTCATTTTTCTGGCTTAATCGAGAAAATCGTACACCTTGTTCAGACACCATCAATTACGAAGGTCACGTGATGACTATCCCCACCGTGTACATGTATACTCACCTATTCTTATTTTAAGGGAATATTCAGGTACATGAGGAACCTTGAAGTCTAACACAGCGTTTCTGATTTCCAACGCACAGTTTGCTATTTCCTGAGCATGTTTCTCACCATTTTTCTTTGGTAGACCACTGACCAGCATATAGGCGTCACCAATCGTCTCTACTTTGTATACATCATGTTTAGATATCTTCGCATCGAATATTGTATATAGGGCGTTCAGCATATCCACTACCTATATGTAGATAGATTGTTTCAAGTTAATATTGTGGAGTAACATTATGAAAACCAGGAGATCTTCTAGACTAAGTGTCATCCCTTTGATCAGGAGGGATCGAGGAACATTATATGCCTCATTTTGATACCTTTCCGGAAAGTGAGCCAATGTTTAAGGTGGGCCCGAATTTTCAAAAATAATTTTCTTGAGAGGATTTTTCAAATTATTTTTTGGGGTTGTGTTTGTTACTATTTATTCTAATTACCATGTTGCAGAAAAAATAATTTTATGACCATTTCAATTTTTGTTTAATCATACACACCTGATATGGTGTACTACGAGCGCAAAGGGATGTAAACGATACAATATCAGAGAAGTAGATGGTAACGCTATCGAAACTCTCAGCCTTGACTGAAATTCCTTTCTTCAGATCTTCGGCAACATCTCTGAAACAGAAAAAAGCTTCTCAATACCTTTTCATAACATCACTAGGCTCAATTTATACTTTTTTGAAATCATGATTTAACTGCATAACGAGAAAAATCGAATTGAGGGCAGGATTCTCATGCAACTGTTGCATATCTTTCCATCCATTTGCCTTCTGTTTACGGCCGTAAGTGACAACAGGGATGTTAGCATTTCCTTTAGACAGTAGTTTCATATAAGAAAAGCAAAATGCAAGAATAGTACGTCTTTTTAGGCAAGAGATTAATCTTGTCGGTTGCTACCACATTACCCTCAATATGGAATATATATAGAAATGATATTAAAAGGCACAAATTGAACACTTTTAGGTATGAACACAGCCATCAAAAGGGCAACTTTAGAAAACTGACAAAGTAAAATAAAGCACCAAATTTATGTTTAGTTCAAAATACCGTGGTAACATCTAACCGTTGTATTACTGGAAATCAGATTAGATTGAGCTTTGACTATTACATACAAAAAGAGCGCCCAATTTATGTCAAAAATCCAAAACTTCAAAATACCTTGGTAACATCCTATAGAGTAGTGCTTCAGACCTTGTTTTCTCCTCTGCCAGCTGCTTGGTCCTGTCAATTACTATGTCCTCTAAGTTGTTAGCGTATTTCTCCAACGTATTGATCATGTTATCAACAACTGTTGTGTTACTGGAAATCAGATCAGATCGAGATCTAGCTTTAAATATAATATGCAAGGCATTAACATGCAAAATGTCATCACCAGTGCATGCCATTTGTTACAGACGCCGAACTCCGAATGCAGGACACCAACCGCTACCATAAAAAGTTGGAGATTATAACAATATGTCAATACACTTCTGGTAGTGACATAACAAATGGTTTTCTATGAGGGTCGTTCAAAAAGTTCTGCACAATTATCTTCCACACGGAGGATCCTAGAACCAATCTTATCATTCATATTTGGATAGGCCCCGCCAAATTCCCCTACACTGTTAAGATTTCGTTAATATTCACTCACTATTTAATGCACTACTGAACATTTTAAAGATAGGTTATGGTAACCAAGATAATGAAACTTTAGTCCAGATTATTTATTTAAAGAGAAAACAAGTGATATATCGAGGACAATTTCCCTAGATATGACAAACTATGAAATACGACTATATACAATATCCAGCGACCTTCAATAACAACAGTGACATCATATATATAAATTTTCCCATCTTGTCATCTTCTGTAAACCCTCTTTGCATCTAATACGATCAACTGAATTCCAGCAACTGAGCGGCTCTAGAATTTTTGCTATGGGAGTCTATAATATATACGTATGTTTTGATTTAATCTATAAGTAAAAATAAATTTGATTTAATCTATTTCTATACAAATGAGTGGCAGTATCATATGAGCCTGGCCATAGGAAAACCGGTCTTATCACAAAAATTAAAATTGTGCTACAGAGCCAAAAATGTGCCCAAGATTAATAGGAAAATGTGCTAAATTAAAATCCGACTTTTTGAGCTATATATGCAAGGAAAAATTGTTAAGACATAAGTCATGGCTCATTTGAAAGGTCTTTTTGTGCTTTTTAAGATAAACAAGAAATCAAAATATTGAAAAATCTGTGATAAAACCCCTTTTCCTGTGGCATGGCTCATATAACAATATCCTTCAGATTTTTTGTAATTTCCCCATAAGGTCAAATACAAATGTCATCCGACCATGCCAGGCAAGTCTTTACATCGAACACCTACTCATACCAGCGGCATAAAAACTGAAACAAATAATTCCAAATAGGACATACACTGTTGCCTAGTTACATAAAAACTATTGTAGGTTTGCTATTCATAATATTTAATCCATACCTTGAGCACCGTTTCATAATTTTATGAGCTTCAGCTACAGTTGGCCTCGTCTCGGGAAGTTCATTCCAGAGTTTTATGGCAAGACTAGAACATTTTGGGAATTCTTTCCTCACTTCCACAGGGAGCAAAGGCCTGAAAAACTCCTTGTCCGACCCTTCCCTAATCTTATTGATAATTTCTAAAATACACGTATCCACACAAAAATGACAAAATATTAGCAAAATATTACTGATTTTTTTGTTGATTGATTTATAAGTGACATTTTAACTTTCATTTGTCGAGTCTGGTCTTGTGTCGATTTGAGGGAATTATTAGAAAAACTGTGCAAAATACACCACATCAAAATAAACACTAGTTTCAATCTCATTACCTTTTGGTGTTAATTCTTCAAATTCTGTGTATGGACCATTGCGACAGAGTATTTCTTTGATAATGATACCACAGGCGTACATATCTGATGGCTTGGTCCCTGTCTTTTCATCTAAGCTAATAGCGAGATCTTCAGGGGGAGTCCAGAACAATTCTATGAAATAAGAAACAATACATGTGTTTCTGTGTAGATCCAACACTGGTAATATATTAAAATAATTCAGGTTCATTTACTTCGGAGAATAATGATCTACATGTATTTTCGACGTTTCGGTTGGATGACTGGCAAAACGTCGAAAATAAATCATCATTCTCTAAAGTAAATGAACTTGAATCCTTTTAATTCATATGTTGTTAAATTAGAGATTGTCAACAGTTTTTTCCTTAACCCAGGTATGTGTGTATACATTTGATAGATTCATGGTATATTTAGTTAGTACCAATTATGAATGTTTTAGCATGATTATGTTTCGGCAGATTCCAATGATAAACTACATGATTTTATCATCATGATTAGGAATTGTGCCTCTTATCCTAATGAAAGTCTACCTACCTGATTTTTATCAGATTTTTTATTTTCCTAAATAATGCGTTTACGTTTTGTTGACGCAAGAATATTAAGTATAATTGATGCTTGTTTAGAAGAGGTTGGGAGGTGGATGAGGTGTCATGCAGTGTAGGTTGATATCAGTGATTCAAGGTGATTCGGAAATATTCCACATACCTTTATATTTGACATGCTCTGTATTTGTGAATTCATCTTCGAGCACTTGGGCCTCTCCTTTCCTAAAATGTCTTAATCCAAAGTCCGTGAGCTTGCAAGATAGATAACTGTCTATCACACAATTGGAACTTTTTAGGTTACCATGGTAACCGATACTGGTGTTGTGGATGTACTCAAGTCCTTTTATGACATCGAACGCCAGTGATATCTTAAAGTTTTTGTCGAGTTTAATATTATCATTCCAAAGGACGTCTTGAAGGCTTCCCTTAGAACAATACTCCCAGCATACAAAAATATTATTTGGTTCAACGGATGCACCCACAAAGTAGCACACGTGTACATGCTTCATACTATGCATTGTATGCAGCTCAATAAGAATATCTTTTGTCATATGTATAACATCTTTATGTATAGCCTTAACAGCTACCTGTGAGCCTCTATAATTTGCCACCTTAGCAAATGTATATCCTTTATCGGAAAATAAACCCTTTTGAGTGAGAGTAACCTGGCTGTCATTATCATGGATAGACATGATGCTTTGAAATGTTGATCTTGGTATATTTGTTTGAGAGTCAATCAGCTCTTCGGGATTTAGCTTCCAAGGCATGCTTTGTATTCGCAACCTTTTCATCTTCCGAGTGACTAGTACAGATATTATAAATAATAAGGCCAGGATTGCCGCACCAACTGATGGTATTGCAATCTTTATAGTTCTATATTCATCTTCTTTACACTTTTCGTTACTAAACCCACACATTGGAACATCATCGGGCGCATTGTCGAAACCAGTCGACCCATCCGCCCAGTAAAATGGCTTAGATGATGTAACGTTGGGCATCTGAGTTGAGTTTGTAGGAGTCATTACTTGGTATGATATTTCGTATCTACCATTGGGTTGCATGTTCAGTATCTTAAAGTGTGTCACCCGATCTGCGTTTGCATCCAATACGATGTCCCCAGTGATACCTTAAAATGAAAGAATAAGCATGATTTGTGAGCATGCGCAAATGAAACCAAACAATTTTATTGGTTGAAATTACGGACACGCATGCGTATTGAAGAACTTTTGTCCGGGGTCACTGTCGTTGGATTCGAAATGACAAGGTATTAGAAGTGAAGGTCAAATGTGAGGGATGCAAAAAATGCAATGTACGAGCTTGCAAAGTGAACAATGGCAGTATATGAAAATGTCACAGACCTGAATTATGGTAATCTCTTGCCCGATTTTGCATATAAGTGCCGTTGCTCGGATCCATTCCAGAGTCAATGGCTTCTCGTGCAATATTGGCCCATGTCATAACACAATCGTATAGATAGGGGGCGTAACTGTCGCTCTAAAAGATACCAATATATAATTTCCAAATTTGATCATACATATCATTTTTCCAGGGGGAGCTTTTTCAACTAGTTTTGGCTAAAAATCATGCTAAAAATTCTCAGAATGGTGAAAAACTGCTTGATTTTGAAAAAACTACTGGCAAGCTCCCCCTCTGGCTACGGGCCTGCATATAACTATAACTGACCTTTACTTAGGCAAAAGCAGCTCAAGCCTAGAAAGGAAATTTTTCGTGGCTTATCATAATGACAGGGCCCTGAGATAACAATAGGGGTTGGGCCGAAATAAAGATGACAGAAGCGTTAGAATCCTATTAACCTTAGATTGGCCTGTCCCCTTTATTTAAAGATTATTTCTATCGCGATTACACTTGTATTGTGGTCATTATCACAATTTTAAAGATACTTTAAACTATTAAAGTAATACGTGGAAAGGGTAATTATAACATCAACAATAAACTATGGGTCTTTTCACTCTCTTTGAAACTTCCGCATTAGAGAATTCCTGATAATTCCTGATAAATGCGTTTTAATAAAAACGATGATAACATCGATTTTTATGATGCGTTTATTAATGTTTGTTTCATGTAAATAATACTAAATACCTGTGTAGCAGCTGGGAGTTGACTTTTGTATGGAGACGTTTTAGATGCATTCCCTGCAGAATTAACAAACTCTAGCATCTCGTACGGATCAATGTTGTCTTGAATAATCTAAAAATATTGATGGTACGGGTCATCATTTTATTCAGTAGCATATGCATTGTTAGAGGAAAATGAGTGTTATATTTGGTATAACTAGAAATAACTTTCAGGAATATATTAATTAGAACTTATTCATTGTTTGAGAATTGGAGTTGTTGTCAATTGTATGAAATCGACATAAGAGTGTTTCCTGCTGGTCTTTCTCAGAATTGATTGATCGGACGTACGGTGAATTAACCTTCGATCCCATCGCAAACTACGCAATCAAAACATTCTCAATAACTGAAGCATACTTTTGTCCATTTTGTGTCAGTTCCCTTAAAGTCCCCGTCTAAAGTTTGAAAATATTTTTTTTATCATTCATTTACTATTTGTCAGGACTTAAAAAGTGATTTTAGAGATTTTTGAACAAAAATTTTTTTTTGAAAAAAAAGTTGTGAGCATTTTATTTCTCAAATATTCAAATTTCCCGCCATTTTTCAAAAAAAGTTGAAATTTCTTAATCATCAAATATTTCTTAATGCATTTCAAAAAAGAGTATATTTTTAACACCAATGAAAAGATTGAACAAAAGACACACTATTTTAATAATAAAATGTCATATTTAATGGGCCACTTCAATGTTTTAGCTTATCAAAAATATTTTGAAACATTAGTGATGTCACTAAGGTAACAAAAACTTTTTGAAAAAAATTGAATTTTTTTTTTCGATGTCAATCTTTTCTAAATATGCTAGACTTTCATAAAAAACCAATGTTGATTGTCTAACCAGGTTAAAAGGAAGAATAATTTTATGTATTTTATTTAGTTTCTATGAGAACTATAATTTTGAAATGCATTTTTCTCAGAACCATTTTCATGCACTGATAAGTTCATTTCTCGCTTGTTTATCAACCGATTTTCTTAATTTTTTCGGCAAAAAACATGGGAGGATGTATGCTATGCATTGGTATGAATTGTGGCTAATTAAATAAATTCACAAATTTTGGAACAAAAAGTCTATCAAAAACCACTTTTTGAAACTAAAAAAAAAGTTTCACATATCACACTTTGATAACATTGGGTAAGACTACAATATAAGCCAAAGTGGTTTAAACTTTACATGGGGCCTTTAAAGAAAACCACATCAATCACATCAGCCACCTGTGCGTATGACCAATCGCCAATACAAATGCATCGCTTAAATATTTTCCGTTCACGTTTTGGTTGTGAAAAACATTGCAAGCTTTAACTCCCTATTAACAGATTATTGCGTATATATTGTGAACGAATGTCTTACATGGCTCACTGCCTTGAATCCTTCTCTAGCCTTGGCATCATTGACGTCATTGCGTTTCCATATTCTATCACCAATGAGGTAGTTCATGTTATTAATATTATATAACTGGAACGAAATCAAAAGATTAGTTGTTTACGCACCTAAGAAGTATGTTCGATCATGCCTGGTGGTAAATGGAATTTATCATCATAAAAATATTATAAATTGCCTAATGAAGCTGTCAATACAATATATGCAATATATATTTTGTAAATAACAAGCGGTACAACTAACTCGCATTCGATTTTATAGCACTCGTCAATGTGAATATATGTATTAAATCAAAAATAAAGATATCATCTCAACCTTATTCCCTATCCAATATGATAGATTGGAAATGCAAGTCCCATGTGTTTTTGAACCTGATATCTCGAAAATACAATAATACGTGCTGCTAAGCAGAGCTTATAATAACTTTGTTATTATCCGTCCAATAATGTCGATTATAGCCTACGCTTCAAAATATACGCCCGTTATATGTAATGATATATTAAAAGTAACATAAACGTTCAAATAAAAACGAAATAAAATATGTATAAAACCACCTTACGTTGTCTTCGATGACGAAATAGGCATACTCTTCTGACGTCATGCCAAGGTTATATGCTTCCAACACCCAATCTCGTATGTCAAACCAGGACAATGCAAACAAGATAACTGAAAAACGAGGACAATACCTGTACATTGACGTCCCATCCTTTTTCATTTTTAGTTCGTTTTAGTATAAAAATGTGTAGGGGTTGACAAATTGCTCCGATTCTTTGGGCATACTTTCTTCTCATTACTTGTATTTTATTATGATGCATATTATGCTTTGTCATTTTTTCTTTGTTTCCATATAACCTGACTGTTAATTCAATAAATGATATATTGTATGTTAAACATGGAACTTATAAACCCCTCGGGGTGTCTTTTCATGTCAATGTAAAATACTGTATTTGAAACATTTGAAATAAAGTGAATAAATAAATAATGATGGGATAGAATAAGAGCATTTATTAATCATTAAGTATTCAAAGAGCAACATCTTCACCGATTTATCGGGCCAAATTTGTCCCTAAAACGATGTAATGTAAAAAATCAGAATGAGTATCAAATTATCGATATCTAGTCCATTTAAAGAGGTTATCACAGTAACTACATATCGATTTGACAATCACAGAGTATTTACACTCATCATTAATCTATATATAATCAGTTGCATTTTAACCCCATCATTGGAGCTCATTGACTAAGTAATGATAAGTCTATTACTTGGCAATTACAGTAGCATCTATGTACAGAAAATGGGACTCGAAATAATACAAGGTGGCGCCAAAAATGCGACCACCTAAATTTGGAACGTGACCTCAAAGTCGTAGAAACATTACAATTATATTGTTAAAACATATACCACTGTTTGCTTCAGTAAATATGCATAGAAAAAGTCAAAAGAGGTTACACCAAAAATAAGTAAATTGTTCCAAAGTTGCATTATTGTGGGGTCACCCTGTATATGATTATCCTCCAGTCTCATGTGTTCGGAATTAAGAATCGTTATTCCGTCTCGGATTCATTTAAAATCGCCAATGGTACCGAGCATTTAAGAACTCCGGCAAAGATTTTGTGAATTGCCTAGCCAGTGTAGTCTTGCTTTTAAAACTAGTCACTGACATTTGACAGAGATAGGTTTTTTATTTTGAGATTTTGATCGATCTTTTACAAAATCGAAAACTGTTCATGCAAGTTATCAAACAGTAAAAATCAAGAATGATCAATGGTTATCAGTTTAACGAATAATGTTTGGAAACAGCAATGGATCCGGAATGATGTAACTTTGAGATCACCCAAAGAACTACTCTAGTAACTTACTTCTAGCTTTAGCTCGGACCTTTAGCAAAGTACTTTGTTTTTGTTCATTAGTTGAACTGGCAGACACAACGAACTTCTCATATTTTACAGCACCCGGGAAAAGATCCAATGTAGTCTTAATGGCAGCTGCGACCGCTTCATCAATATAGTTATCTGATTCAATGATTGCAAATGTTTGCCATAGAAACAGACGTGACATGCTAAGAACAATAGAGCCTGAAAAACAAAAACGAAACGTTGACGTAATATACACATTAAAAACACTTGGGACTGACATGATATGAGAAGTATACGAAGATATATCAATAAATTCTCGGAAAAATGTCTTTATCTATTTGTTCACATGCTTTCCTGAAATTGTTATCATGCATGTAAAAAGTGTTGTTGACAGTTATCATATTATAGCTACTAGTGAATTACGGTAAGTTGCTATAGTAACACGGACAATGGTACCCCGATGCGGCTCATAATATGTCGGTGAAAATTGGATATTTTGTTTTTATTTAGAGCTTTGTCCATTGTTCGTAATCAGCTGAACTAATATCATAACTTTGTTGGTATTAATTAGAATGTGAATTGTATTTAATTAAACTCTGAACGTTTAAGGATAAAATGATACTGCAGAACATATTAAATTCGCGTACATCTTGAATTTGAAATTGTATAAATTGAGGCACTTCTTTCGCGAAAACATAAATGTGTACCCTTTGCATTCGTTCAACTTCACTTCTTAAAAGAGAGCTTCGTCTTTAGTTTATAACTAGACTCTGCGCGCAGTGTAAAATATGGGAAAATGAACAAATGTGCAAATTCGCGAAAATTGCTTACGCGAAATCAATGTGTGACAGTTTACACTCCCTGCAAAAGTTTTGTTTATAGGTTGATGTTACTCTTTATCTAATACATTGATTTCTGCAGTGTATTATAACAAAGATGTCTTCCCAAGCAATATAATCATATTTAGAAAATCTCATTCCATATTCGAAACATGTCTTGATCGAATTTATTGCATGGTTTGCAAAGTGCATTGTCATGTTCTACTCTCCCTTGAATATTGAGATAAATCAAAAATACCAGAGTATATACAACATTTTAATGTCTCTAAAAATCCTAAATACAGTTAATATGACCAATTTGGTCGTATTGTATACTACCCAGGTATTTATCATTATATTAATTTAATTTTATTGTACTGAATCCCTTTAAAAAAAGATCTGAATTATGTGATCAACGATGGAACTAAATTGAGATCGTTAAATATTATGTACAAGTGCCCAGATTCACGAGACGTCAGATAATACTGAACAATGTAATATCATAGAATTGTCTTGCTTTTTATGTAAATATTCTTCTAGCCTATAGGACAGCCTCTTCATACAATTTAATTATGGGCTCACGGTTCCCAACTCAGACTTTTTAAAGAAATAACTGGACATATTATCAATCTATGTCTGTGTAGGACAGTCACAGTCTTCGTTCACACCAGCCGAGGTGTAAAAGTTGTACCTTGTAATAAAATACCCCATTCTAGTTTATATACAATTTCCACTATTTCACTATTTTCCTTGTCGATGTATATACTCAGGGCAAGGAGGATTGGCTCCCAGAATGCAACACCGATATTCTGCAAAACAATCACCTAGCGATAGCTTTGTTGGAGAGTATCGGGTCATTCTCCATGCAGTCGTACAAATTATACAGACACGAATAGCAAATGACGCATGCGTGGAGATTAAAGAATATCGAGTTGGAACCCTGGCTTCCAATCCTCCTTGTACTCAGGGCAAGGAATTGTCACTAATTAAGATTGAGGACAATTATAACGGAACTGAAATACTTACCAAATCCTTTAAGAGGACCCAACAACCTGACTAGGGTAGAATAAATACGTTTGTCTTCCAAGTCCGTATCACTGGAGACCCAACCAAATACAGGGATACTCCAATGTGACGCCAGTTGAGCTACTGGTCTCATTGCTGAAAATATCCATTTTAATTAACACCAGTTACACTACCCTCCATAAGTTTTGAAACTGGAAGTCGTTCGGGTTTCCAAATTTTTGGAGGGAAGTGTATATCCAATCAAACCAAGTAAGAGGGGGATTAACCCCAGAGTTCAAAGATGACATACGCTTATAATGTAAACCTGTATTGAGATGACCCACGTCTCTGATTGGTCAAAATCGACAAACAAAAATGGCGGATTCAAAATTTTCTAATAACGCTTCGAATAATGTTATGTTAATTTCTGGCGTGTTAACCAATATCATAGCTTGTCATTTCACATCAAGATAAAGAATGGTGTAAGGAATAATGCTTAAATCTATTAAAACATCACAACGACGCGTTATATTCGAAAACGCAAGAGATGTAATATGTCAGTCATCGCTAAAGCTCTGTTACACGTCGCACGAAACTGGGGACAATTAGAGTAACATTATGGCGTCAAAATACCAAAACAATACAATGGCCAGTATAGGGCGCAATCAGCATTATAACGTCAAAAACGACAAGCGTTACATTTTTTCAAGTCTCTAAAAGCAACTCTTATTCTCTTATTATTTGAAAAATAAAGAAATCGGTTATTGTTTTGTAAATTTCGCCATGACAATATTGTGCAGTTAAATTTTTTTTGAAATCAGACCTAAATTAGAAGGTTAAATAAAGGTAAACTTATTGCTTGTCTCCCTCGCCTTCAAAACCTTACACAATTTTGAAAATCATAAAAGCGTTCATATAAGATGATTTGAATTGTAGCCGCTAGGCAATTGTGACATCATAAAAGCACATGTTTCAATGAATAAAATGTGAAATTTTAGTAAAATTCTGATCAGTATTTCAAAAGTTATCCTGATTTCAACGAACCGTGCTAGCGTGAAATGTTACGCCTTACAGCGTATTTGACGATGTCGGAGTACATTTAACATGGTAGATCCCATCACACTTTTCAAGGAAAAATAATTTCAGTGAAATGCGAATAAAAAATACTTTAAAATGATATATAATGCATATAGTTAGCTTTTTAAATAAGGCAGATATTAACGCTTAAAGCTGAGATTAGCCCGTATTTCCCGAATTGTCCCCAGGTCCGTGCACGTCATATGTGGCTTTCCCTCCTCTTAAACCCAGTAATAGCTATCTATAAGAGGAACAATAGGCCTGATTGCCCTCTCTTCACGTAGGGTATTCGGGATGCTATGAGTTAAAACATTTTTATACGTTCTTTAATCAGAGTCAGTTAGAGCAAGAAAATAAGCGGGACAAATCATCACTGGGGGGTATCGTGATGCAACAACACCGTGTTGTTGCATCAAGATGGCCAGACTTCCGGTGATCGATTTTCGTACGATGTTTTGTTTTCCCAATTTACACCCATTTCTAGGACGAGTTGCTCAATAATCATACACATGCAGTTAGCGCATGATCTATATTTTAAAAAACTGTCATTGGTATACATGTAGCATCATCAAGAAGCGATAAATTCGTGGTTTTAATTCCTCACTATTGATGCAACAACACCACTCTGTTTCTTATCGATGATGCAACAACACCAATGTGCTGATGCAAAAACGCCAATATAATGTATCATTGAACAACAAGAGAAACTGTTTTATGTTCTGTTCACAGGTGTAGGTCGGGACATTAATAAAACGCGTGAGTCAGTGGTCCATGAACGAAACGTATTTTGTTTGGTTTCTTTGTCTATATCAAAGTTAAAAGGATATACAAGGCAAACTAAATACAGTACTGAATCCCCGGGAGGCAATCTCATTGATATTGTATCTGAAAAATAAAGATTATACATTTTCTAAATTAAATGCCCCTGATTTACCGTATGGAAATTGTTTACAAATAACTAATATAATTTTGGAAAGACAACAGATATCAGTCAGTTTGTGTTGTTAGTTCCTCAATTGAAATATAATACTCAATTCTGATTGATTGATGAGCGGTCAACAAAATGTATTGTTAGTACCTCAACTGAAATACTCGATTCTGATTGGTTGATTAGCGGTCAAAATTATGTACTGTTGACCGCTACTAGGTACTGTTGACCGCTACTTCTGAAACATTTTGTAAACGTTGATGAAAATGACTTTACTAGGCGACAAGTATAGCAAAAATACAAATAGAAACTTAAAATTAACATTAATTCACTAACGAGTACGCCGTGATGTGCCAAATACAGAGTTAAGCTACTTGCACTGTCTCCAGATTTTCTAAAAAAAATATTGCTAACGTGGTTCGGAGAAAAGGTTGTGAAATGAAGCCATGCCGATTGATGATTGTCGTCTATGTGTATTATTAGTTTACTCGGACTAACAAAACAATTGTAGACCTCTCCATTAGATCAACCGTCAAAATCATATACCTCGACTGTAAACTTCGGTCTCTGTCAACAGTAGTTTTTCGGTTTACAGTCTCGGTATAGAATTTTGCCGGTTGACCTCTGGAGAGGTCAACAATTGTAAACTGTTGACCACTACTAGGTACTGTTGACCGCTATTTTTGAAAAATTGTTTTTTTAATGTAGAAATTTTTTTAATTTTGAAAAAATAAGTTGTGTAAAAAATTACAAGTATTCGACGGTTTGGGGATTTTTTGCTAAAATATGATACCTTTACTTATCAAATATGTTCACGTGATATTCGATTATATATTCGTCCAATTATTATATTATTGGACTAACAGAACAATTGTTAACCTCTCTTTTCGGTCAACTGGCAAAAGTGTCCTCGACCTCTGGTCTTGATCATTAGTACTTTCAAGGTTTACAGTATCGGTATACAATTTTGCCAGTTGACCTTAAGAGAGGTCTACAACTGTATATTATATCCTTCAAATACTATATTCTTCGGACTAACAAACAATTGTTAACCTCTGTATTCGGTCAACTGGCCAAAGTGTATACCTCAACAGTAAACCCTGAGAGTACTGTTGACCTCGACCTCCGAACTTTCAAGGATTACAGTATCGGTATACAAATTTGCTAGTTGACCTTAAGAGAGGTCTACAATTTTATATTATATATCCTTTGTTATCCCACCCAAAGTATGATGTCATATATCAAGTTGAAGAGTTGTATACGCTGCTCAGGAGTTTACGCTATCCAGGATATTTAACGGTTATTTACTGAGAGGGATTCAATATTAGTTTTAATCCGAGAGACAATATGATATTTCCCGAGGGCCCGGGATATCTGGGATAACTGCACCCCTATCAATTTACCTCATTTTGGGCCCTTAATCTTATCACTTTTGTTTACCTTTTTACTCAGTCGGAGAGAAGGAATCCAAAGAGAGCAATAATTCTACATGTGCGTCGTGCAAGATTTCCATTAAACGTGTATCTAAACGGCCTCTCTAATAAAGTCAATTAGACATTTTTACACGTTGGCTCTCCAAATTGGAGGAAATAAAGAATCATATCATATTATATCATAGATGAAGCAATCATCCCATCAACATAAGCTCACGAATGTCACAGTTAAACTGTTTTAGTTATAATTTGATAAACAGTGGTAACGTACATCTACTAGTTTATCACTGTTCCACAGATGGATGACAGATTATTTCCAATAGCTCGTCATGTTTACCGAGAACGAAAGATGTTTGTCCACCATTTTGAATGATACTAACTGAAGTCAGGGTCATCAAGCTATGGAACAGTGGTTAATGAAAATAGATTGGGTTACTAAAGCTTGCCATGTTAAAGGCGATTGAACTATGTTATAGAACAACGTCCAGTACATTATAATATTTAAAAGTATCTTCGCCCGCGTACTTTGAATGCCTTGAGAAGAACGCAAATATGGGTAATGGGTAACGGTGTTGCAATAGTAGCATTTAAAAATCTGTTCCTCTCGAGATTTATGGTCTTCTGAAAGTATACTATTAATTGGTGTTGCTGCATCATTGCTCAAATCTAGAGGAGTGTTGTTGCATCTTCGGTTTGGTGTTGTTGCATCAATAGTGAGGAACTAAAACCGTGAACTTATTGCTTCTTGGTGATGGTACGTGTATACTAATGACAGTTTCTTTAAATATAGATCGTGCGCTAACTGCACGTGTATGGTTATTGAGCAAATCCTCCTAGAAATGGGTTTAAATTGGGGAAACAAAATATCGTACGAAAATCGATCACCGGAAGTCTGGCCATCTTGATGCAACAACACGGTGTTGTTGCATCACGATACTCCCCAGTGAATCATCTCTGAAAGATAATTAGGCAAGTTTAATATGCTCTATTCTATTTTGATTGATTTCATTCAATGGCGTACCTAGAAGTAAATTAGCTCAGGCGAATGAATATTGCAATCAGCCCGAATAGTCACAAATGGAAAGATAAAATCATTTATTTTATTCAGAGACTGTTTTATTTTATTTTCAAAAGGCGAAGAGGCAAAACGATTTAAATGGGTAATACTGATTTTCCATTCATCTTTATAGATTACATGTAGTAGTATAGGTATTTACATACCTGATGAACACGGCGGGCCTATAAACACGTCTATATTGGGCAGGACAGCATGGAGATCGGATGCTGCAATCACGCCACCTTTTGACGAGCATTGAGAATCCATCCACGTGATGCTAAAATGATGAGCGGACATTTATTTACTAAGTACTTTATGGGAATACATTCTCGAGAGCAAATGGTAATTTCATCTTTAGTACGTACATGCATGACGGGGACGGGAACTGAAGTTATCGTCATAGTTTTTCATTATTCACTGATCAACCATTTATTCAATCGAGTATGCTATATTACTACCAGATACTTTTTAATTAATCAAGAGTCCCGCTTCGTGAAACTCCGATTAAAAAAGTGACTTTTAGTGATATAGTCAATATTTGAACATACTTTCCCAGCTCTCACATTTAATGAAAATCAAACAGTAACTCCATCTCCAACGATCTTTAGCCATCTATGATGTAGGAAAAAACAATTTATACCAAGTTCGTTTTCTGTCAATTAATCGTTAACAAATAGTTATCAAGAAGTTCATTATTGACTTTAATAATGGCTTTGAAATATGTATCGATGTATCAATTTATTAGAAAGGAAAAGTCATTCATCAAAACGTTCAAGTTCAGTGTGACTTTACATTAGTCTTAATGACGATCGTAATTTGCCGCTAATTTATGCTGATGAGGTCGAAATGCCATCGTCTCTAAAATTGAACGCGAGACTCAAAAATGAGAATACCATTTCAGAAAATTTTATTTCGCTTCTTGATCTTAACGGCATACGGAGAAAAAATTTGACTTCCAGTTTTATGTTCTAGTTTATGTTTATGTCGGAATCGTTATGGTAATAAAGGTCCCCGGGGAAACAACAGTGACTTGTATTTTACTAGGTCGCCATGATCTAGTCTAGAGACTCTGATGATAACTTAATGAAATTTAATCGTTTTTTGATAAACAATTTTTTCTTTTGAGTAAATATACAAATCGTTTACCTTTTTAGTTGATATCCATATCTGTCAATTCATTTTACTTTCCTTGCATTTTACTTTGTATTGAATTAACTGACAAAATAAATTTATTATACAAACAAAATATTGACTTAAAAAGTTAGGGATGCTTTGTGAACGATCGAAGACGGGAATGCGATCCAGCTTCAATAGTAAAAGTAAAAGTGCCGTGAGATCCACCTTGAACCCAGAAAGTAATCCACTCCCTTTGGTTCTCACATTGACAAACCCAAGTGCGATGTGTCTACATACAAGGTTATGAACATGCAAAATGTCACCACCTGCCATTTGTTATAGACGCCGAACGCCGACCACCGAAAGCCGATATACCATCCGCAACAGAATATAACAAAATGTCACCACTTGTGGTGGTGGTGACATACTAACCGATCAAATTCTGATATCCACCTCCCTATTTTGCATGGCATATAGCCATGATAGCCACAGCATGCTCTGATATAGGCCTATTAGTTTATCTTTTTATAAGGAAGGGAGGAGTGAGGTAGTTGCCACATATGCATTGCCCTTAATTAATGAGCATTATGTTTCATAAAATTGCCATACGATGTAAGCAAACACATAATGTGTTAGTCTCCCCATTCAAATGACCCCAATAAAATAAAGATGAGCCGTCATGAAAGATCTGAGAAAACGAACCCTGTTAGAACGCTGCATCTAAAACATTCATCATGGCATACAGTATATCAGAACTGAAAACTGAAAGAAGATGACATCATAATGATAGGAATCGACTATCAAATTACATATCAGTGGCCAGGGCTACTAATAGTGCCCTGTTGATAAACTTTGAATTGAACGTATGAATGAAAATAACAATAATTAAATCCAGCAAATTATTTCTGATAGGATTTCAATCCTGTTTTCTCAGAATATAGATTTTGTTGTTTTGCCGATCGTCCTTTCACATATACACACATTTAAATGTGTATTTACTATTTATACACAAGAGTAAACAAATATGACTCATTCGCAGGATATTTTCCCCACTCTCAATTATTGATATTAAATCGTTTGTTTTCAGTTCTCTGTGACTATCTGATTTACATAAATATTTTTACTACGTACCTGATACCCCTGTGGAAGGTATCCTTAGCAATAACAGAGGTAGAAATTTGGCATTTAGGAAGTAGGAAAATAATCCTCGTGTAAATATATTTTAGAAATTATGGTCCAGAGGAAATATTGCATCTTTTTAAATATGGTCCTATATTTCTCCGATTTGGGTCGGATGAGCGGACTTATCAACACTTTATCTATCGAATATATGTGATCACCTCTGAAGACGAAGCTCTCTTTTAAGAAGTGAAGTCAAACGAATGCAAAGGGTAAACATGACGTTGGAGAGAGCTGGTGGAGGGTCGCTGAACCAATAGGAGGGGGCGTATCAAAACAGTTACACCGGACAGAAGCGTAGCCAGGTTCCGGAAATGAGAAATGCAAAATTTAATTCAAAGATGGGACATACTTTTCAGACTTACAGTTCAACATACGAAGCAAAAATGTTTTTCTCGTTTCGTTTTTGAAAAAACTCTGTCTGTCTTTAAAATAAAAATGGGGCAGTTGCCTTGCTTGCTTCATAGATACATCTAAATCTATGCCGTGTAAAATGGTAGGAGGTCCTATCAAATCATGTGGTCGTACTCTTCATTGATTTATACGGTGACCTCTTTCCCTTATTATCTTATACACAATCAGGGCCAGTAAGGGCCGTTAAGAAAGTCGACCATTATCCCCGGGGACCATAATTTCTTTCACACCGGCGCCATCAAAAGTCAAATTTGACTTATGCTTTTATCCGACTCATTACCCTTTAATCCCAATACGTACTTGAATGTATGTCCGGCCAGTGGTCCTGATTCAGTATGCCCCAATGCGAGTAGAAATGCCCCGACGCTAGAGGACGCTGCCACCCAATCCTCATCTCTTGGAGCAAAAAATCCAATATTGAACAGACGTCCATATACTTGTATCTCAGAGTCAAGTATGTATAAAAATATCCAACAGGTAAATCTGCATCTCATCTTTTCAGTGTATAATCATACCTATATCTTATTAAGCCCTATCACTCCGATTCGATTCACACTGTACACTAGAAATAATTATTTTCATTCAAAACTGACCGCAAATCAACCAAATCAACAATCTCTTCCGCATAAACAAGTCAGTTTGTAGTGCCTTTATTTTTCCTGAGTGTTTTGATACATATTCATATTTCCATAATAAATAAATAATACATCCGTCCTGGTGCACTTTGTTGTGAAATTACACTTTCCTCAGTTAATTTTCTAGATATCGCATAATTATACTATTCTAGTTAGTAGAGACCGATTTGATATGATTCCGTGAAAAGCATTCGATTTCTAAGTCCGCGATATAATACGTTACTAATGCCAAAGCCGAGAAGGGAATCCTGTGATATGGGTAATCCACAATCCATTTATGTTGCATAACTACGTTTTTCTTTTGTATTACCTTTAATTTGCTTCATATGATTACAATAAATTAATCAGATTCTATACGGAATGTCATCTTTACCTGGCGACTATTGAATATAATGTACAATTTTCTCAGATGCGCTTTTAAACGGGTTAAAATCCGGTATATACAGGCTTCCTTAATGCTATCTAAACAGTGTGTGTTGAATTTTATAACCGGGAGTTTACTGAATATTGCTATGGTCTTCACAGCTAGCTACGATTCATTATAATCCTTCGGCCCATATCGTACGTTTATTTTTACGGGATCTCGTATTACATTGTCTTTTACAACACACTAAAAACCTTTTTAATCATTTGAATGGCACATATAAATATTTAATACACCGAATTAAAGGGACGCTATGACATATACCCTCCTCTAAATGCTTGGTAACACCGAATCCCCTACTTGACTAATATAAAATCTGTTTTAATTGTTATATTAATTGATTAAATACACTAATACACGTATCGTAATATGGCCTGTATACTATCGAAAAATTTCTGATGACCGACTAAAAGCAGTGGAAGTCGTGTCATTAATGAATGAATGGTAAACTATATTGCCAATGACTAGTTCAGAAAAATTGATGTCATTTTATTCTACTATAATAGCTAGTGCATTTTGAACTGGATCTATATTATAAGTATATTATAAGCATGGGTATTATCATAATTGCTCGCTTTATTTTATCTTATGTACCAAGAAACCACTACTTGTAAAAAAATTAAAAATATTCGCCCAACGTGGGGCTCGAACCCACGACCCTGGGATTAAGAGTCCCATGCTCTACCGACTGAGCTAGCCGGGCTTTCATGCAAGTGCTGATAAAATTTTGTAGAGGAATTGATTTCAGAACGAGGCTTCGCTTAAATTGCGCCTTTTATCAGAGTAGTTTTACAAGGCTACAAATAATTGTTCAAAACACCTTAGTTCCACCGAATTCAAAAAGGGAGCTTTGTTTCTCAGCCCATGGTCCTGTTCAAGAGCCCCCATTTACTTTTGAGAATGGATTCTACCAATACTCTTCCATCAGTCTGAGAAAATGAGGATTTCCGAGCAAAGGTGCCATTGACTTCACATGGGGATGCTATCCTGCATATCAGATCTACACGTAGAAAACAGATATGCAGGATAAAGTCATTTCATTATAAAGTCAATGCCTACATCAATTAAATCATCACACTGACCTAATTATCAGTTACCTCTAAAGCTCTGGGGTTTTCCCTCCTCTTATCGAATACACAGCTTGGTGAATGTTTTGGATTGCCCTGCCATCTTTATATATAGCTAGTTCTATATTGTAACAGATATTGTAACGAACGCATAAGCTACTTAATTCTAAGGAACAAATCAAGATGAAGAGTCGAAATGACTCTACTGCTATAACACCCATGTACCCCTTCCTGCGGATGTCCCTTCTAAACTTTTGTTGGTGAAGTAGTCCACGGTCTACATTCAAGATTATATTTAGCTTCGACGAGTAAGTGCTCATACGCCTTTCTATTTGAACTGGGTTATGTCTGTATGTACTGGGAGGTTTTGGATATAGGGTATATCCTAAGGGATATACTTATATCCCCCCGAGAGACCAAAGGGACCAAGGGGAGATATAAATAAAGGATATAACCTATATCCAAAACCGACCGTGCATAACTGGTGTATCTCATACTTGAGAGGGTTTGGGGTAGTAACCTTTCCCAACTTTTTCAAATGACAAGATAGGCCTATACTGAAAAAGCACAAGTTATATTTAACATTGTCGTAATTATTCCTTTAGTTCAATACAATGAAATTGTAACATTTAAACTTTTTAAAACATTTTAACTTTTGAAATTTTTAAACTTTTTTTTGAACTTTTGAGAAATTCCCTGGAGCGGGATGGATATATAATATCTCCCCGCATTTGCCCGCTCCTCAGATATGATATATTTTCTCTGGTGGCATCTACCCCAAACCCACTCAAGTATGAGATACATAATTAATAAATAAAAAATGTTACCAATAGTAACAAAACAAACATTAAATATATACAAAAATATGTACAGGTATCTGAAGATTTAAAATGAAACTAGTAATAACTAAATTTCTTCTTCGTTTTCTTTATTTTCTTTAATAATACATACCCCTCTGAAATATGGCAGTCTTCAAAATTATACTTGCCATTGTAAGTGTGAGTAAAGAGAAGCATTAGGCAAATAAAAATGTTTATGTTCAATACTAAGGTAAACATGGACGCACAAGTGCCAAAAGGGATGGTATCAATAACTCATTAGACATAGATAGATATGTCATGTATGTAGGCACGTTGCCATTACACCCATTATGGTGGATCTGATCTCACCACCGCATATAACAGTTGCTGGCAATTATTAATTGTTGGATATCCAAGTCTATCCCTATCGGGCCCATAAACGGTGATGGATAAACTTTTGTTCACACATACTAGTATCTAGGCAAGGTGTGTCCGATTCCAGCCAATCCGAATGCATTATTTCATATAACAACAATGCATTATATAACCAATAACCCACCCAAGGTCATTCGTTGAATGGTTGTCAAGTTAAATAAATTGATTACATACTTTACTACTCTTGTTTGAGCAGCCATTTTGAATTGAAAGTAAGTCAATGTGTCAATATTGTTTTAGCTTATTTTAAGAACAACAGTCAGGTGTACATTTTGTATTACATTGGATATAAACTTTAGGTTTGGTCGGATGCGATGTTCCTAGTTGTAAACTGAATATAACACACCGATGTGATATCTTACTGACATGCATCTGCTTTTATCTTCATGTACAATATATATATATATATTATATATATATATAATAAAATTTAAATAAAAACACAAGATGACTTCATTTCGTTGCAACTAGTTTCTTCAAATCTTCAGGCAACTGAATATATATAATATATATATAATATATATATAATATGGAGTAAATATATATAATATACGAGTATATTGCCTAAGTACGCCAAAAATAACATTTTAGTAAAGTGACCAAATAAATGTTTTTCGACCAATCAGTGATGCTGACATGACGTTAATTTCTTCTTCGTCGTTTTCTTACGCAACGTTTCAATTTTTATCAACAACATCCTTTTAAAGTGGAACTACAGCATGAATCGGGTTGACAGTTTTTAATAACTGATCACCCGAACGGAAACATATTTTCCACACGGATGATAATAAGCGTAACAAAGATAACACAAGGTTACATCTTTGCCAATATATCCACAACCCCTGAGTTAAACAAGCCAATCGGAACAGTGTGAAATTATAAGTTACTTGACAAATTAGATTTATTAGCAACCCCTTGGATGGAACTCGTAACGCGTAGTACTTAACAACAGATAAAATGCCGAATTCTGTTCGTTCTAATGGTCTTGACGTAGCAAAGCAGTGAAGATTTATTAGGTATTTGTAAAGATTACAAGTCCGGATTGTGTGGGTTCAAACAGCCAGATTACGCTATCTTCCATAATTCGCTTGCAGAATCCTGCCAAATTGACAATTATCGTAAAATTTATTTTGGCCGGAAACTGGCAACCATACAATCACATATCTCAAATTAAGGTGATATATATATCTTCGAGTATGTGTTATACTCCAGTTTACTTATAGTACATGGGAAAATAATAGAACTGATCAACAACCAAGCCTGAAACAACACCCTAACCACGAGGAATAAGTCCTTTAAACAGCTGTACCAAATACGAAGTAAGTGATGGTTTTAATTTAAATTGTTTTCTGATGTCACAGTGTACGTAGCAGTACAGGGGCCTTTTAAACGATGACTTCAGTTCCGCACTATTTACTCAATTTTCAAAATGGCGGGAGAGATACATTTTAGCATTTTGTTCCCGATCGCTTCGGTCAGTGGTGTCATCTGAATCAGTTTTATTAACTCCTTGGTTTCTTGCAATGGACTAATGTACACGTAGTGAATACATTTTTCAAAATGGACAGCGGATAACGCTATCAGAAATTGTCAGATTCCCGCTAACCAAGTGACAAAACAAAATAAAAAATCGCACTCTTATTTCAGGGAATGGAAGAAAACACATTCGAAATTCAATTAGAGCACGGTTATGTTGGAATACATAATACTAGGCTATTCAGGTGAAATTCTACACAATGGAGCATGTCAGTACAAATCAATGCACTTACCTTCTGTACGACATTCTGCTCAACTCGTGCTGAATTTCACCATACTGAATGGCCTATCAGTTCCTTAAAAAGCATCACTATATTACATTCATGAAAAGTGATCTATCATAAAACTCACCCTTTGGAAAAGGTAATAAAAATGCACTATTTCAAATGTTCAAAAATAATGATATACAGCATGTATAGTTGACAACGAATTGCAGCTCACATTACCCCACTTTCAAACAATTTCCGTTTATTGATTTAAATCAGCTTAATTCGATAGCATCGGTTATCTCGGAAGGAGAAATTCAACGACTGGATGGATGCCAACTTTGACAAGGGTTGTTCTCCACACGTACTGGTGAAACTTGATCGTGTTATTACTCTGCTGGGAACTATTAAAGTATCCCTGTTGAAATTTGTAATGTGCTCATTTTTTCATACATGTTCTCGTGTAAAACGGAACTAAATTGATTGCACAGCTATTACGGTTCAAAAAATCCAATTGAAGAATATAAACATTTCTTTGAAATTGGTAAAAGGCCTTTGATCTTCTCCGGGGATCTTTAAAGGTCCGGTATCTGTTATGTGTAAATCGGTGTCAACTTCCAAGCACAACAAACCGCCCACTTAGACATCCTAAGCCCTTATTGTAGAGCACCGTTTCAGTTTTCAAGTTCATATTTAATTTCATTTTCAGATCGGAAACAGACAGTTTTAAAACATTATCTCAATGTTACTGGATATAAACTTAACGTGCTTCACATTTGTGGTCGCTATAGTAGCATCGCATGGACGATCGTTACCGGGTACGAGCGGAATCGGAGGCCTTGGTGGGATGGTTGGACTCGGCGGGCCACCGTCATTTGTGGGATACAATCCAGCGACAACATGCAAGGTAGGGCCGCGTGATAATCCTTCTGTGCGATTTGAAATACTCATTCCGAGCGACCCATATACTTGTGATGAGGTTTATGGAGTATCTCCGTTGTGGTCCACGTACTGTCGACGTGAGGAATGAGTTTTTCGTGCCATGTTCATGTGTAGTACCATAGTAGCAAAAACTTAAAAACTTCATTGCTGATTTTGACAAATTGTGTTTAAAATGTGTTTCCTGTCACGGAAGTAATTAGCTATGTCCGTAACGTGAAAATTATAAATTCCCATGTTCAGATGGGATCAATTTAAGGTCATCTTGTTTCTTCAATTAGTTGTTCCTAAAAGCACAATTAAATAAAAATAGCACCGTGAAAATAGATAAATGCATTTCTAAATGTAGTTGAAACAGACACTCCCCAAAGAGGAAGGTGACAAGGATTAAGAGTATGAATTTCAGTATTGAACATGTATTTTCAATTAATTATAAAATTTTCAAATAGGATCAGGTGGAGTAGAAATAATCTTGATTTACGTCATTTAATATTCAAAATTCAGTCAAAGTGATGTCATATTTGAAATCTACATATAAAAATAATAATGAATAAGTACATCTTAAAATGTGGTTTCAAAAATTGTTTCTCAACATAGAAATATATTTTTTTGAAAATGCAACTTCTCGTTCGGGGAAATTCCCCATAGACCCCATGTTATAAGATAACAAAAAGTGAAATATATCTTTTCTTGTATTGGCTATATAACACATAAGGGTGATATGGAAATTGATCCACTAAAACTGATGAATATTCATGTTAAATGAAACTTTCTACTATATCTGCCATGCTATCTGACCCGAATGAGCCACCTGGTGGTGAAACTAGTTACTACCTACTCGCATCTGGGTTAATAAAATGAAATTTTAATTATATGTATTTATTCAGGTAACAGATTGGGGTGAATGGAGCACAAAACCGAACATCTTCGAATGTGGTATGGTTTTCAAGACTCGTGATGTTGTCGGAATCAGAAAGAATTGTCTCGTCCCAAACTTGGTCCAGATGAAGCGTGAATGTAACTACCATTTATTATCCCTATAATTTAATATCTATCCCCAAAAATGTGACAATTGGAAAACCTATTAAGGATTTATATTTTGTTATCAAAATTGAAAACATTTGTATTTCACTGTATACTAAAACAGTGAAAACTGAATACAGAAAATCTGTCAGAACCAATTCACATTCTAAAACAAAACACATCCTGTAATCAGGACACGTTCGCTCCTCAGATATTTATTGCATTACTCACATGTGTCTACCTTATAAAACATATAAATGTGGATCGGCCAAAATGGTAGTGTAAATAGTTGGAAGCAATACTTTCAGTAAAAATATTAATGTCAGCCTTTATAGTCTAGAATTCCATGTCTGAAAATGATTAAACTGTGTGATATCTGATGGAGCAAGTGACACGAAATAGTGGGGCAAAAAATATTGGAAATGTTTTAAAGTTTTACTCAACTCAAGAATTAGTTGCAGTTTCGTTAACGTGTAGTGAAATGATTTCCAGGTGGCCCTCCTTCTGTCTCTAAAACAACGTATGCAGTAAAAACATATTTTCTGGGCCAAATTGGCCTGAACGCAGCACTTGAACGCGGCGGTAGTGGTGTGGTCCCCGATAATCAAGTGCAAGGCACCGATCTCCTGTTTCTCGTGGATAGCAGTGGAAGTATCGGCCGTGCAAACTTTAGAGTTATTAAAGAGTTCATGAAGGTAAATGGACTGAAAGATTTATAACTTTTGATATTCAGGAAAGACGGGTAAAATGGGATCCAGAATACTGGGCATGTTAGACGCAGCTGCAATGCTATATATGCAATGTTGATGTAGAAAAGTCAGCCGATCCTGTAGCTCAGTGGTAGTGCACTCACCCGGATGCGAGGGGTCGTGGTTTCCAGATCCCCACTTGGGTGGACTGACTTTTTCACACCAGCCCTTAGCACAGTATTTCATTCTGTGTTTTCATTAACCAACTTCGAATCAAAATTGAATTTTTGAAAAATGTTCAAAGTCAATAGGCCTATTATTTACATCTTTTAATGATTTGATAATAAGTGAAGTCAATAATTTGATTTTAGTTTCTGCTGGACAACATCCCCTCTATCTCGACGACTGGTACTAGGGTAGGCGCCATCACATATTCAGACAGAGCGATGACGACCAAAAACTTTGGCTTTAGCGATTACTCAACTGTGGCTTCGCTCAAGTCTGCTATCAACGACATTTCTTACCAGGGTACGTATCGCATGTGTGATGTGTCTTGTCTTGTCTGGGAGTTTAGAATTTAGAATCAATAAAAATGTGTATGCATACACTGATAATACACTTTCAAGTTTTGGAATGATGAAAAATCCCGTTTGGCGAAATTGTGAATAAGAAGGTGTCATTCCATAGGCGTAGCTAGATCTGGGACAAGCGAGGCAAATGTTACGATCAAAGTCCAATGATTCTCAAATGGGATAGCTATCGCCTGTTGAAAACCTCGCCTATTTTTGAATCTCCCCTGCTTTTGATAGTGAATACTCAATACTGTCCCAAATGATCAAATGTAAAGTAATGTAGAATATACGAATATGTCCAATCAAAAAGAATGGTAAGTTTAGGCTACTCTCTTCACTGGTGTTGCATTGACGATCCACTTTAATGTTTTCAGAATCAATTTCTAACCGATTATCAAGATATTCAACTGTCTTATTATTTTAGGTGGTATTTGGAGCCAGACAACGTCAGCTTTAAAACTAGCAGACGAAATGTTTGCAAAAGAAGGGCGGCGTAACGCGAGAAAGGTTTTGTTTTTACTGACGGATGGTCCAACGAATGGGCCTCATGAGCCAAGCCCAGTTAGAATTGCAATGAACATGAAGGCTAGAGGTAGGGAAAAATTCAGAAATATTTGCACTGTGAAAAATACACATTAAATTTAGGGAGGCCAAAATCAATTCATTTGTAATCACAAGAAATCAGACCCTTCGAATGACCGCACCCCCCACCCAAAAATTCTTTCAAAATCATGCAGTTTTCACCATGCTGAGCAATTTTCAAGTGGCAAAAAGGAACCCCCTGGAACTTTTTTAAAAGTGACCCCCCTCCCCTTGGCAAAAGCTGGCTACGGGTCTGAAATATTCTTATTTGATATCCTTTAGCTTGGGTATAGTGCGGTGTCCGTTTTATGTTGTGACGATGACGTATTATTTATATTCAAGGTGCAGAGATATTCGCTATGGGGTTCACACCTAACGTCAACGAATCAGAACTGTCGCTGATAGCTTCATCCGGGAACCATATATTCTATTGCGCCACCTATAGGTGCTTTAGAGCAGTCGAATACCTCACAACCCGATTGGTATAGATAAAAGGCATTACCTTGGGGATGTACAACCTCTACAAAATAGAGAATATATTTACGTAGTGTTAGTAGACCATATGGCGTAAACGCTGGAAATGTGGCTTCAGATTGTGGGCACACCTGCCCAACTGCCCAAAGGAGTGGTAGTGTCAAGGTTACATAGAACTAAAACGTATTGGTGACGATGAAACAGAATTCATATGGCTATGCAATTATGGTGATGCATGAGGATGTAATAAACCAAAATGGTTTTTGATGATTATCGACAGTTTGACTACATGCCAACGACGTAGCCAGGATACAAAAAAGAGGAGGAAAATACAATGGACGATGAAGAATGATGATGATCTAATTTTAATAATTTTAGTTTCAAACATCTAAAAATATATTTTCAGTATTCAAAATTAAGTGGGGGCAATTGTATCGCCTGTTTATTAAATAGCTATACCAGGCCTCCTAGACTTCCACGAACGCGATCATCAGTTCCGACCTCGCGAACTATGCTCCTTCCACCGGAACCACGGTTATGAGAACCGTGGTTCGCGAGGTCGGAACTGATGGTCGCGTTAATGGAAGTCTAGAAGGCCTGTATAGTGTATGCGCGCGACCACGCATGAGAGAATTCACGAAGTCCAGTTTGATACTGTTTTGTGCTGTTTCGCACGTTGTGCTACATGACTTGTTCAATGACGGCGATTAATTGAACTTACAGGATTAAGCTAAGTGTGAGATACAAAATATGAAATAAAAAAGATCTAGCTCCCGACAATATTATTTATTCTATACTTAGTTATAAAACAGAAACCGGGTATTAAATGTCGCCACTTGAGATTTGTGACCGGTGGACGTTGAAAACCTTTTCTTCAAATGTTTGCCCAGTGGGAGTTTATTTAGAGGCTCTCAAAAAGAACTCCCATGGGCATTCAAAGAGGGAAAGGGCTTTTTCATGTAACCCTCTTTCAAGCCCATGGGCGACTTTGAAAAACCATTCCAACCTTAAACGTTCAACACCATTTAGCATTATCTAATTAACCCTTAAACGGTTAGGCTATGAGAATTACACCAACGGTTGGGGGATCGGCCCTGGTGACAGTGGCAGTTCTGCCTCCCCCCATCATCTCGGAAACGATAAATTATAGGAAGGTGTATTTTTTTTCCCTAAAACATGCTTAATTCAGTTTTAAGAAAAGCCACAAAATTTCAGATCAAAAGACAAACTTAAAAAAAGTTATCAAAAAATGCAATAAAAAATGAGAAAGGCAAACTCTTAATTTTGGATAATACAGTGTATGTCTGCTTGAGACAGGTCCTTCATGTATTTGGAGAGTTGGATTAAAATGATTTTTATTATTCTGGGAATCTTACTTTGAGAAAAACAAAGTATTTTAAAGAGATATGCTGCAATAATGACAGATATGACAGTCTAAAATAATTTTCCATAACAAATCTAACTTGATCCTTTTGTGGATGTTGACAATGATTCCAAAATTGGGGAAATATTTGACAGTAGTAACCACAACAATTACCCTGCGTGCAAAGGAAGACGAAGCTCTCTTTTTAGAAGTGAAGTCAAACGAATGCAAATGGTACACAACAATATATCAGTCCTTTAGCGGTGATATAAACGATAAGTGTAGCCAGTTATAAGGCAAGTGAGGCAGTATTAGCTCACCAATAATTTACAAATGTATTGATCAAAAACATGAACCTCATTCACATGTAGACTAAACTTGCCTATTTTCATTTTTCTTGCCTTGCGTTTATCCTTGTGAGTTGTAACACCCCTGTAAACATTACTTGTTGTATTTGTTAAAGGCTTCAAGTGCCCATGTTTTATTCTCAATGTCTGATTTGAGTTTAGTATACTCAGACACAATGTCATCAAATCCCATCCCAACTGCATTATAAGTTTGTAACTGGTCCTCCAGATGGCGCTTCTCCTTTTTCCCATCATGCAATGCAACATCCAAATGACGTCTGGAAAGTTAAATTTAATCATGCTTTAGCAAAATTTAATGACCTGTTTATTTACATCTCGAAACTGCCAAATTAAAGATGCAGCCCTGTCCAATACGCAGCAGTGGTAATATTATAATGATGAAAACAGCAGTACAACAGAGTGTTAAAGAGTCACTGATCATTGGCAAATAATTGGTGAATTAACTATAGCTGATCATTTTAGCTTTATGGGGCCCAGGGGTTGGGGAGGGTTAGATAAACTTATTTGTAAGTGGTATGACCATTTTATATTATTAACTTACTTATATATTACTTACCGTATAGTAGTGAGTGCTTTAACAGTTGCATCATAATAGGTCTCACACTGCAGTTCAACATCTAGTAACCTATAAATCAATATGTCAACTAGAAAAAAGCAGCAGTTCCAGGGAACAAAACATATTTTAGTAAATCATGAAAAATTCCAAATTGAAAAAAACTACTTGCCCATATTTTTCAATTTTACAGAAAAGAAGTTAACATCGTCCCAGAATGTAGCCAACCACAGTGATTTGGAATAGAACACACAAAACAATGAAAATGCTTTTTAAAATTTTACTTTTAAGGTTTTTGTTCTTCTTTATAACAAGTTCATATACGTATATCAAAATATATACACTGTTCTAAGAAAGAGAACAGTGGGGTTACATACATGGTGTTTGCTCAAAGAGTAAAAATGTAAATGATGTATAATTACTTTAGCTTCAGCTCTAGTGCATCTGCCCGTGCTACAAGCCATTCACTGTTAATGAGGTCAATTTCGCTCTGAGACTGCAGCCTGTATGTGCCCAGTAGTTCCTCCAGTACACCCATACTCTCCATCAAAGCCTATAATGATAAAATAACATACTGGTCAGGCCCGTAGGCAGGATTTGCTGAGGGGGGGGTTCAGTTTTCAGGGAGAGGTTCACATTTGACAATTTTGGCCCAATTATGGTTAAAATCACTTGAGAAGTGCTCAAAATGGTGAAAAACTGTATGATTTTGAAAGAATTTTTGGCCAGGGGGGGGGGTTCGCCCTAACCCTGCGAACCCCCCTTGGCTACAGGCCTGCTGGTAGTGTTAGTATATCCATAAAGAACCCATAATGATGCAATTATTTACTGGTAATCTTTGTAAAAAGCCATAAAAAGATAGAAAGCATAGGCATTTACCATGAGTACAGTACACTGCTGTCACTCAGAGAAGATACCATCAGAGTTAAGTTTTTTTCACAATTTACAGTGTTCACCCTATGATTTTCTCTCAAAAAGGGAAAAGCTTTTATCATCTCAGTTTTGCCCAAAAATGGCCAAAATACGGTCAAATATTTTGTTAAAGTAGGAACAAATTATATGGGTCTTCAAATGGGTGCACTGAGCCTTTTTAACTCAAATCAAATGGGCTACTTCCTGCTTAATTTCTGGTGAAATCACAAGTTTTTTCCAAACCCTCAATAGGTTAGCTCACAAATAAGTCAAACTTTACTACCACATTTAGGCGTTCTAATTAAATATGCGCATGTCATTGGTCAATTCCGGGCTCAACGATGACGTCACAAGGAATGACCATATAAAGAACGTTGGTCAAATTTGGCCGACGAACACTGATTGGCACGGTGAGTTCACAGGTTTATTTTAGTTTGAAAGAGTGAAGACGAAGCTCTCTTTTAAGAAGTGAAGTCAAACGAATGCAAAGGGTAGGCCTGAAGAGAAGTTACATGTATAGTACATGTATACTAGTCAAACAGTACCTTATAGTACATCCAGAATTGTGCCTCCCTGTTGGATCTGTCTTTCTTTAACATGCTCTTCTCAGCCTCCAAACCTCTTATATCTGCCTCTATAAATGTAGGCAGTTGGGATGCCTTGGCATAGGTCATCTCTTCTGTATCTTTAAAATAATAAACACTATATACATGTATTGTATAAAGTAAAACCTGATATAATATGAACACCTCTCTAATTTGTCAATTTGAACATCTCTCAATTTGAACACTTTTACTTTGTTATCTCCCATTGATTCACATATTACAGTGGGAATCTGGAAGCTAACAAGGGGGTCATCTAGCCTAATATTAAAAAATAAGGCCTAGAAGGCCAAATTATGCCCAAAAAGCTCCACAAATTGAGGTTCTATTAGAAATTCTGGGCCTATCCTGGGGGGGGGGGGGGGGGGGCATAGGTATTACGCCAGTGTGACACCTTGGAATATGCACACCTGCTGATCCAAATAATTTTTACCAGTCCCAGAGGTGTTAATATTAGACAGGTTTCACTCCATTACATACTAGTGAATCACTATTGCTTCATCTATGATACTGAACTTCCAATTAATTTGGGGCTACTTATTTTGGCAGATTGGCTGTTTTGAACATTTGGCGGCTACTTAATTTGGCGGGATTGCAATATTGAAATGTATTATATACATATTTACGATTGAAATATGACATATTGAATTTGGCAGTTGCTAATTTGGTGGACTTTAACAATTTGGCGGATCTGCCAAATTAAGTAGAAGTACAGTATCTGTCCCAATAAATGTAGGATATGTCAATATAAAATTGTGTAGGAACTGGACTTCATTTTGTACAACAATGAAAATTGTTTTTTTTTCCATTTCAAATACTAAAAAGTGCCCCATGCATTTAGCAGGAACAAGCAATTGGTACAGCCCCTGTGAGTACCATCTTAAGGTCATGGATATATTTCAGCTATTAGCTGAATTATTTGGCATAATACCATTGACAACAAAGTAAACTGAACTAAAACCACTGATGCAGTCAAGTATTATCAATATGATCACTATTATTGCTATTATCAATATTATCACTATTCTTGCCTTTTTCAATATTATCACTATTATTGCTATTATCAATATTATCACCATTATTGCTATTATCACTATTATTGCTATTGTAAATATTATCACTACTATCAATATTATCATCATTATTGCTAGTATCACTATTATTGCTATTATCAATATTATCACTATTATTGCTATTGTCAATATTATCACTACTATCAATATTATCATCATTATTGCTAGTATCACTATTATTGCTATTATCAATATTATCACTATTATTGCTATTGTCAATATTATCACTACTATCAATATTATCATCATTATTGCTAGTATCACTATTATTGCTATTATCAATATTATCACTATTATTGCTATTGTCAATATTATCACTATTATACCTATTGTCAATATTATAACTTTTAATATTAATTGCTATTATCCAATTTCTTCAGACCTGGGTTTGAGTATATTGATTGTTTTTATCACTATTTCTATCATAAATATTTTCCCTATTATCTGCTGATTCTATGCTTTATCATTGCTATCACTTTTACAACTTTTATTGTTTTTTGGTTAACTTTAATAAAAGTGCATGGGGTCTTGTTTTACCAGTGTATAATACTAACGTACATGTAGTTCTACACATTGACAAAAATTGAGAATAATTTAGGAAAACAGTAGTACGGTAGATTTTGAAAAACTGGAGTTTCTGCGATAGATTATGAAAAAAGAGGAGTTTTTACGGTTTTTGGGGACAATTTTTTTAATTAAAAAGGCAGATTATCTCCAGTTTTTTTTCTAAAAAAAAGCATAGTTTGGTGGTCAATTCTCTAAAAAGTGGTAGTTTTTGCGGGAGATTTTTGAAAAAATCGAAGTTTTTAAAAAAACTGGAGTTTTAACAGGCATTGAAAATAGCACCCCTGTGTAATCCAATGGGAAAGAACCCGGATGTAGACGAAGTTGTACCATACATGAGAGCTCTTCAAACAGGAGGTAACTAAACTGAACTAAAACTAAACGTTATCGCGTATTGAGTTTTGTTATTTTTTACGGAAAAACAAAAATTTTACTGGAGATTCCTGTAAAAAAAGGAGGTTGGCAAGTCTGCATAATCTGTAAATATCTACATTAAAAATGCACAAAATATCAACTGTTTCATGCATGTGGAACTACCTTAATCAAGTTAACTGTACTGAGACCACTGCAGCGATTGACTGTGGTATGACCAATAACAAAGCACATACACAGTTGGATACAATGCCTTTACCTGTTTACTTGATTCACACCTGAATGACTTTTACCTGTACACTCAACACTAAAAATAGCTGGGCATAAAAGTGTTAGTTTAATATGAGTTCACAACTCAGTTCTGAACTGGAGCCAAACATACATACTGTATCATGTACTTACTTGTATCATAGGTCTAGACTAACAAAAGCCTCGAATGATGGCAAGAGCAAGAACTAGAAGATATATTTCAGTAGGATGTACCATCCTGTTGCTTTACCTTATATACCTTAACATTTCAAAGTTGGCATCCATGGATAAAACAAAAGTTGAAGTCAAGCGTAATGGGAACATTTTACAAGTGGTAGAAACTGAGGCAGACAGAAATCACGACACCAAAAAAGGACACTTCATCGAAGTAGATGGTAACAACATCGAAGCAGGCAAACGCTACAAATACAGGTTTCAAATGATGTCTTTGATTCTTGGTAACAACCAATTACATTATAAAAGTGAGCCAATGGAATCATCACTATTGCATGAATTCTCCCCGGACATTGAAAACCGAGTCGAAAACCTGTTTATCGATGGAAATGGAACTAACCATCAACTTGAGTTCTATGTTATAAGTCCAGCTATATTGCCATATAAAGGCAATATTATGGTTGTGGCGAGAGTCTGGTTGAACTATGAACGTCGTTATAAATTGGATAAGGCAGATCAGATAAATCGATGGATTGATAATTATCTGTTTTCGCAAATGTTTGATGGTAATATGAAACCTACATCTCCAGGTGAAATACTTGGTATCCCTGTACCAGTTCAATATGTGGCAAATGCTGGCTGCTCTGACCCAAAAATTTTCAACTGGATGGGATCACTCATGGTTCTCTTTTACATGACAATGAGAGACAATAAGGGTCTAAATATCGGACATCTATTTTTATTGGATTATGATCGTAAGATTTTGAAGAAACCAAAAATTTTGGATCACAATATTGCTCAGATTGATTCAAATTGGGTGCCCCTGGTGGTTGACGATACACTTCATTTTGTTTACACGATGGATCCACTGAGAGTTCTCAAATGTACGAAAGAACAAAACATGGATATAACTTGCCACTTCATCAAGTCTATCGATACAACGCTAGAAAAATATCCATTCAATCAAAATACAGATTTTCTGCATGGTGGTTCATCTTTCTTGCCCTATAAGAAGTCGTATTACATCAATGTGGCCCTATCGACATTATCATACAAGGATAACCAAAATTCCACTAGCCCCCTCTATGGTGCGCACATTGTACTACTCAAAGCTTACCCATTCAGAATCGTTTATGTGAGCGAGCGTTTGAGAATCCACCCGGACCTCTACAACAACATTCCAATCGTTCGAAATAACTTCATTCGCTACCCTTTCTTCCATCCTTTCGGCCTTATCGTAGAAAACAGTGACACAATCGATATTGGGATCCATATAAATGATTACCGATCATTTATAGTTCGTGTTACGGGAATTGAGACTGTCTTAGATGATGCAATAGCAACAGACAGTAGAAGTGGGGACTCGATAGTAACATCCCAGCCAAGGAATATACAGGAATTTGTGAAACTTTCTCTTCAGAAATCCCATCTTAAACAAAAATGGAAAATTCAGAATGAAAATGGAAAGGAAATTGTTTCTTAAGAAGCAATCAGCTGTTATTATTACATTATGTGAACTGCAAATATTAAAATGATACTATCTATTTGAACTGTATAAACTATTGCATGAACTGGTATCAAATGTACTCCTACTATAGCATGAACAGGTTACTGGTATCAATGTCAGGCCAATAGACAGGGGGGGCCAAAAATTCTCTCAAAATCATGCAGTTTTTCACCATTCTGAGCACTTTTTGAGTGATTTTGGCCATTTTTGGGCAAAATTTGTCAAATGTGAACCACTTTGGAATTTTTCAAAAAGTGAACTCCTTTGGCAGATCATGGCTACGAGCCTGAATGTTCTTATTATAAAACTTCATACATATTGTTTCAAAAATGATCAAGTGGTAGACTGGTATGTTTAAAAGATAGAAACTGGAGGATTAAATACTGTAGTAATAATAAAGTTCTGAGAAAAGTAAACTCTAGTTTGTTTTAGATACATTAAAACATCCTGGAAAATTTGAACTCAATCTTTATGACATACATTCTAAACCTCAGCTTCTCTTCTCTTCTCATGGTTAAGAGACTGAAAAAATCATCCAGCTATTGAGGAAGTATTTGGCAATTTGTCATAATCATTAATCATAGAAGCCTTTGTTATGATTCTAATAAAAAGTACATGTATGCCATAAATCATCATACATTTGCTGGTCTATACTTACCACACATGCCCCATTAGACCATTATAGACCAATAAATCAATATTATTCATGTGATGTAACATTTATGAGAATTTATGATGATTTCGCAATATAAAATATAGAATCTTAATGCACAATATTTTACCTTGAGTTGTCGATGTTTGATGGAAAGTCACCAAGTTGTCGCATTTCTGCCGCAATCTCTCTTCTAGCTGGGGAATCAGTTTCTGCTGTATACCCTTCATATTCTGAATGACACAAAAACAGCATTCATTTTAAAATTTTTACAGCAATAACATTATTCTAAATACATGTAACTGGCATCCTCCTAAGCAGGTGTCTAGAATCCGTACCTCCTTCCTTCCCCCTGCTAAAACCAATTTGGAAGTGCCCGATAAAACTGAATCACGTGATCTAATTATGCGCCGATGACGTATACATGATTGCTGTGTCGCGAATCAAATTGCGAGTTCTTAATCGGGGAAATGCTAACTGCTTATCACAGGGGGTAAAAAGAAAGAAGTATTTTGAAGCCCTGTGATTGGAGGATGAATAATTGGTTCAGAGGCCTGTTCAGAGGCCTGTTTCAGATTTTCCTAGAGAAAAGACAATACAATCACTTCATCGTCAGAAATTATGACGGTGGTGATAATCTAAACTGAGTGGAGAAACTTGAACCAGAGTGGTGGTCTAACCGTGGAAGGTGTTTTTAAAAGGGTCATTTATCATAAAAACTTACCTTCCTGTGGGGGTTATTTCTTAAGACTTCTTGCTTAGTGAGGCCCAATAATGCTGCCCCTCTACATGGGTCCACATCACAGTCAATATAGTCAGCAACTTCATTCAGTGACAGATTTTGCTTTACAGCCTTTTCATACTGAAATAAAAGAAAATATCTTAAATGAAGTATGTTCAATTAGGGACTGGGTTGGGTTACAGTGATCTCCCCATGTCTCTTTTACCGGGGGAGGGGGGATCCTTCTTGAAACCAAAGGCTCCCCAGTTGGTACCCTCCACTTCAACTTCTGATTTGAAAAATGAGTGACGTAAAGAGGCACCTGGAGATATCACAAGAGTTGCGAGCGCCAATTTTTCAGACTTGAAAAATTGCACCAGTTGAAAATTTTTTATGGGGAGAACACTGGATTATCAATATTTTATTCCGCCAAACTTATATGAGAGGGTCCGACCCCACATTCATGTACAATATCTTTATAATGTAAATGTCAGCCAATTCTTATTAGTCCATTATCACCTCTTCAACTCAATATTCATTTCTCTAAAAGAGAGTTTCATGGAAAAATGACAAATTGACACATTTATTTTGATACTTTACAACATGTAGGCCTATATCATTCTATGGAGGTGAATACCTGTTCATCTTTCAACAATTATTTTTTTATTCATAGAATTTATTTTACAAATACATATACAATACATAAACATTGTACACTTGTAGTGGCTTTGCTGAAGGCATTATCAGCCACTTGGGATTCTTGTGAGGTGTTTTCTCAAGAACCTGGGGTGCTAGGGGAATATACCATTGGTGCCTAATCCAAAAATCTCAATAGCAGAGTTCATTATTGCTCCAATGCAGAGAAGATCACGGATATCATTCAGTAGGTGCAATCAAAGTACCTGTGCTTGAGAAGAGCTGGGGGCTATCTCAAGACTCTTCAATTCATTGTCCAATACCAACTCCTGCAACTCTAGATGCAGAATATGTGCAGTCAACCAAAGATGCTTTTCATGCTTTAGAGAGTCCTGGGCCTAAAATGACAGAAACATGAATAAAAATGTTCAATTAATCTTTATCAAATTTATCAAAAAGCTCCAATCGGATTAATGTAAAACTCCACTGCATGCAACTACAATTTTCACAAGAGCATTGACGCTTCAATAACCTATTAACTGCATGTAAAATCATTTTGCCCTATTATTCATTTTTTCTCATTATAGTCATGTATAACTTACTTTCTGCCGGTTGATCACTTAAAACCGACTAGAAATATGTCTACATGTATATTATAGATTTTTGTCTGTTAACTTAAAATGCCATATCATAGTTTCAATATGATATGACATTTTCTAAAATGGTAACATCATCAAAACAGAGTCGCTGAAACATAGGGAGACAAGGTACTGTATGTTTGACGCAGCCGCCATCTTTCAATGCAAGTGCCAGTCATTATATTTTGCAAACTGGGTAAACACAGTTGAAATTGTTTTTAATTACATTTGCTTGTAATAGTTTGATGCATTTGAAATTGATATTTTGCAGGTTCAAGATACTTAAACAAATTATCTAGTGACCACTGGCTGTTTAATTAATCAAAATTGAGTATTTAGATTAAAGTACACTTAATCTTGTATCTTGTAAGTGGAACACCTTTAGCACCTGTAAGTGGAACACCTTTGGCACCTCTTAAAAAAGTTCCACTTGGGAGGTTTTCCACTTATATAGGTTCATTTAACAATAAAGCAGTTGGTCTTGGGACTGTACGAAGTGTTCCAATAATGGAGGTGTTCTTCTTCTAGAGTCATCCACTTTAAAGGTTTCAGTGTACTAACAATATCAATATACCTCTTTAAGATCCTTGTCTTTTGTGACACTGACACCCTCTGGTGTCAGGTGACGTGAGAGAGAAGATAGGAGTTGAACAAACTGTGGACTGCTCTCAATATCTTCAGTTGTGAGCTTTAGTGGCAAGCTACTGTTCGCTGGAATTTAAAAATAATAGAGCATCTAGATTAAATTCCTTCCTTAATCTAGATTAAATTCCTTTGGAAACAATCAATCAGTCTTTATACTCATTGTATAGTTAATAATGTTCTACCGTCGAAATAAAGTCTTTCATTAAACCGATCAAAATGAGATATGGGACAACGGACACTGTAATTACCACATGCCGTTGTCTTTCTAAATTACTCAAATTCAGATTCCATTATCATTGACAATATCGAAGAAGCTATATTGTGGCAATTCACGACCCAATTTGATCAAAAATGGGATTTCATATGATACATTATCACAAGAGCTTACCACATGCACAGAATTAGCGACGATAAAATCCCATGAAATGAGGACCTAGTGATTAAACAGTTGAAGCAATGCTTATGTCCGCCATTTGTGACAACAGTATCTGACTTTACCGTTGTCAGGCTATTCCGGTGAGATACATGAAATCTTTTTAAAACAGCATTTATCTTATTCAAAAGCGTTGATTATCAATGATTCCAAGCCCTCTAAAGTTTGAAAAATGAAAATACCTGGGTTTATAGATTATATCTTTGAAAGTGAGAAATATTTTTTTCGATTATATGGCGTAATCTTATAATCAATAGAATGCTTTACAGTGTATTGATGATTTTTAGATGAAAAACATAAGTGAAATACATGAAAAAACTCCCCTGATTCATTCTACATACAACTGACAGTCCTTGGTCATTTAAGATGTGTAAAAAAACATTTTTTTACAAATTGCTATACCTACACATGATAATTCCTGGACAAAATAATGTGCGTTCTATAGGCATGTGTCCTTTTTTTCAGGAAAGTATCATCACATTGTCTGCTTTAAGTAAACCTGGTAAGAGGTCAACAGAGAATAACAGGCAGAGGTGTTGACACAACGACCTCAAGCCCATGAGCCCTTGACTCGGCCTTGAGTATTATTCCGGGATCAGGCCTTTTACACTAAACGGTGAGCAACACCAGAAAGAGCGTTCAATTTGCACAACGATATGCGTTAAGCTTTAATAACTGAGAAATCAAACAATAAGATCTTTTTAAACAGATCATCATGACTTTCAATGGTTATATACTTAAAGGGTTAAGATAAGCTTCCCGTATGAAAACAATATGGTGGCTTCAGGCGAATCTACTGGATCAGTCTATTTTAAAGAAATTAGGGGAGTTTTTGTAAATTCCACTTTCTTCCAGCTGAACCTTAAGCCATGCTCTTGTAGTTACAGGCCCGTAGCCAGGGGGGGGGGGGGGGGTTCAGGGGGTTCGGGCAAACCCCCCTTGGCCAAAATTTCTTTCAAAATCATGCAGTTTTTCACCATTCTGACCATTTTTTGTATGATTTTTGGCCAAATTTTTGTGAACCCCCGCTAGAATTTTTGGGAAAAGTGAACCCCCCTTGGAAAATTCTGGCTACGGGCCTGAGTTATTATTGTCACCTTTATCTAATAACAGTTTCTCTTTTAAAATTAGAATAATTCTATGCTTAAAATTTAACTTATATTGCCTTATGTTGGCCTAGCCCTCCAGGAGAAAAATGTTGCAGAAAATAAACAACAATCCAATCTTAGTCAGTGAATTCACTGGCTTTTGAAAGCCCATGGTGAATTGAAAAAAGATGTAGATTTAGAAGTCCAAGCCCAGGAACCTGTATCAAAACCCGATATCTATTGATTGATCGCCAAACCTGAAATACATGTACTGTAATGAGCTTCTGATTGTCTAATCTGGGTCTTCCAGGTTGGGCCACCAATAGATGTCAGGTGTTGATACAAGTTCCTGTGCGTCCAAGACTTCTTTATTATTCTGATCTTTCCTAGATGGTGAACATCGCCTCTAATGCGTTGGATTGTTGTATGGACTTGCGTCCATCCTGGGGCCAACACGATCCTCAGAGACCCAGAGGGTGCATGAATGCACCTAGATCTTTCTTAGAGCTGTACATTGAGTTCTAGACTTTAGTTGAACTGCGCTGCACATGATTCTGGGATATACTTTTCTAAGCTTTCAGTCTGAGAGAGTCTAACCTAAGCTTAAGAATAGATATTTAATAGAAAAAATCTATCAAGTTCCAACTCCCAAACTTGGCAAAAAACTGACTTGAAATCAATTAGGCTCACCTCTTTCAATAAATGCTCTAGAGGATTGAGAAGATGAACTTCCTTGGTGTGCAGACATTCTTGATTATTCGAAGTAAGACGCATTAGATCTGATAAATTACATACATTACATCTATTTCAGAAGTCAAAATGTCACTTTTGCATTTGGCGGGTTAATTTTTTGTGGATATTCATGACCTATTTATAACGACGTCCAATCAGAATACAACTGAACCTTCACTCCGTAAAATGGCAGCCGGATTGAAAAATGTTTTGGACGAAAATGTCCGTGAAAAAGTGCAATTATCACGTATATTAGTGGTTGGTGCCGGTGGCATAGGATGTGAACTTATAAAGAATCTTGTACTCACCGGGTTTTGTGATTTAGAAGTGGTAAGATTGTATACTTACGTTAGAATTAAATCAATATCTTTCTCTTTTATTTCATCTGAATCAGCAAAGAGTGTGAATCTTTCTTGAGCATGTGAATAAATTAAATTCGAATAATAGCCTCAAATAAAGTTCGATGGGAATATAATGAAGCTCTCTGTGTGTCTGACAGTCAGTCCCAAAATTCGTCCACTAAGATCAAAGATTTATTTTGGTAAATAATTTTACAAGTATTGTTGCGATGTGCCATAATCGTACATCGATGAATCGGCAATTTTCAGTAGTAAACATCGATGCACATCGCAATGTACATCGAGAAAAAGTCCGAGAAAAGTGCACTGAAATACCGAATGTTCTTGAACTAAAATACTGAACAGAACAAATTAATAAAAGTACGCTGGTACATCCTGGAACTTCTAGTAACGATGAAATGAAAGTAAAGTAAAGTAAATTTTTTTAGATTAATGGCGGTTCATTTACAGTTGGGGACAAAAATAAATGACAGGTCGATTTTCGATCACCATTTCCTAATTATGGTAGTCTGAAAGCCCATAATTTCCAATATTGTCTAGATATATATCCCTTAAAATTTGTATATTTTACATTTTGTATAATCTCATCCACTGATGTATGGCCTCTTGTAAATTCTCTTATTTTTAACATGGGAAATCCTCACTTCAGCAAATCCACCTGTCATTTATTTATGTCCCCAACTGTAGACTCGATTTTGAGTTTTAAAGCGAAAGAAATGAAATAAGACATGAGAAAGGTAAGCGATTTGCATCAAAATAAGATAAGAAAGGGTGATATTTAGCAAATTAATTTTTTTTAAAAACATCGATGCATCGCCAGAATCAGCTTTGGCGATGTATATCGCGATGTATCGATTAATCGCGACAACACTATACCTAAGTAGCTCAGCTGTTTAGCATTGACTAATTATGTATGACTCAGTTCTTGCACTATGTAAAGTAAACCTAGTCTTGGCCTTATTCTGATATGACATCTCTTGGGCCTGTGACAATAGTGATCTGCTGTTTTGCTGGAAGTACCATTACTGTGGCATTCTGACCTAATGCCAGTACTAAAATTTCAATACCTAATACCGGAATATGTAAAGAATCAATTAAACTTACCAGAAATTGCAAAATCAAATGCTAAACATCACTAAACAGTGAAGAGAAAAATGTTTGTGTTGTTTTTGTCTTCTTTTTGAAGAGTTAGGGGTGCCATCTAGCGAGCAGAACAACTGGTAAAAAAATGAAAATGTTTTTATTTTATTTTTTTTGATTATGTTACATATCTGACTGTATATGACTCAATTCAATGCAGGTATTATCGATAATCAGGAGAGACATTGATAAATCAAGGCTCAGAGGTTTCATTAACGGCATCCTTCAATGGAGAAGACATAAATCAAGATTGGGTGGACGTAAATTAAAAAAATAATTACGTTTTTGGGACACGATTTGAATTTCGTAAATCACTTCGTGAATCCACTAAATAATTCAATTTCTAAAAGAAATAAAATTTTCTTTCGAAGTTTCCTTCCCGGAAGTTGATTTCTGATCGAAATAGTACGAGGCATGTGATAGGACAAATAATTATCCAATACTCGATATCTGAGCAGTAGTCAGAACGAGTCTTATGATTGGCCGCTAGCTGAAGACCCGATTTAAACCATTTTCTATTGGTCAAGTGCGATCACAAGGTCATTATTTAAGAATGCGCAAGAAACTGAACCAAAAAGTTGAACCTCGCGCAGATTGCCCCTAAACTAAAGCAAAATCAGTATCTAACTGCAGAGATCACGATAGTTGAAAAAACTTGTTAGCCATTGTGGCTAAATCTTCCAAAAAAAATTTCGCCAACCAAAATATGAATTAGCCATTTTGAAAAACCGTAAAAAAGGGAACATTAAAAATGATGCAATGTCTGATAATGACAGTTTCACTTTCAGTTTCACTTTTCAAAATAATATTCAGAAATAAAAAAACCTCAATTAAAATTGAATGTAAAGCATCTGCCGCGAATGTGATCGGCATTTCACATAGTCTGCACCGTGTAATATCACCAATTCGTTTACCTTGTGATATCGGAGTCCCAAAATACTTCCAAACTGCCGACTTTTTCGACTAAGATGCCGGCTCGATTTTTCAATTTCTTTCCTACATCCGGCATACTGATAATGCACTCGATTTGCGAACGACGATGAAGAAATTTACGAACAAGCATTACCATCTACCTGAAATCGCGGGTCCGTTAATAACACTTTTCAATGCAAAGAAGTGTAAACTAGGTACGAGGTAAGTGAAAATATTTAATTTTTCAGAACGAAGTCGGAGGTGTTCCTCGCTATTTATACACGTTTTTATGGATTCTAGGGAAGGAATCTATGTACCGATATTAACCCTTTCTGTCCCATGTCCCGAACCGAAGCATCTGGACCGAAATTCGGTCCAATATCGGGAAACCGGCGTGGCACCTCTAATTCGCCATAACTGCGAAATACCTTTACATATTTTTCGCCACCTCTTTCGAAAATTCGCGATTGGCGAATGGCGAACGTCTACCGTGATCTCTGTCTAACTGCTTCAAAATATGCAAATAAAATGTGTTTCTAATGGTTGAATATAAGTACCTTGCAAGTGATGGTATCTGTATCATTTAATGACATACTTGACTCGCCAGAACACTGATTTAGACCAATAAATAGCAAAAGCGATACAAAATATCATCAAATTTATTTTGGTTAGTGTAAAAGCGTGACTTTGAATTCCCAAGAACATTCAAGGGACGCAGTTGAGGGGAGACGCATTTTTTGAAAATCGTTACATCCCAGGGATGCAATCTTGGACAAACCTACTGAAAACATTGAGGCTATAAACTGCATTTTTATGAAAGGGATCAAATTCATCACCAACGCTTTGGCAAAGTCACAGAAATATATGAATTCAGGAACATGGTTTAAAAATTATGGTATTCACTATTCAGTAATGGTAAGGTGTTGAGTCACAGTAACACTGGCACCAGTTTTCACTACCATTTGGAACACTATGAGACAAAAATGTAAAATAATAGACTCCGGAAAAAACATTTTAGATTCCTGAAAAGCTATTAGACTCCCGGGATTAGTCTCTGGAGCAAGAGGATCTAAGAATCTCTGGAGTCTAAAAGCCGTGAGAAAATTCAAACAGTTTTACTTTTTCTGAGCTATCGGGGTAACATTTGGCTTAACATCAATGGAATGTCAGTTACTGCTTGAAATAATGCAAAATCACTTTTCTTCAAACTTTAATTTACGCACCTTTGTGTTCTATATTATCAACATTTTATCATGCTAACTTTATGTATGTATCTTTATGTCATGTACATGTAATATAAATCATACTGTTGAGAGGTTGACTTGTATTCAAAACATTGTTTGGCTTAGTTGTCCTCAGCTGAGAAACTCAACCACGAATTTCAGATGCGGCATAACAGTGTCCCAGTGTGCTCAGAGGTCATATTGGCTATATCTGTTACATGTACACTTGCAGGGTTATTAACAACATGTAAATCACCTCCAGCTCCAGAGTTCCTTTAAAACGTGTCACATTTACCATCATTTGACCATATGCAAGTGATCTCCCCAGCATTTAAGCAAGTGGGCGTAGCACCCACCTGAGATTTTGAAAATAAACTTGCACCCACCTGAAAATCCATTTGCACTCACTTGAATATGAGAAAAATCATGAAAATTGGCATATTTTGACCAATTTTGGTCTGAATTGTGAAAATGAGAATTTTGCATCCACCTGAGAAAATCCTGGGGAGATAACTGTATGCATATATGTTGTCAAATATAAGTTTCCAGGCAACCCTGACCACATACCTAATTATTAATAAGTATTTCTTTTATAAAGCGTTGGCAGCTGTAGATGTTGAAATACCAGTTTCATATTCACCCTAAACATACAATTTATCTAGCTCAAAATGCTGGAATTTAGATAATTTATAACATTTGGGTATTCAAGTTTCATCATTTCCTGTATGGGTTTGATGACCTTTGATTATTAGATCATATCGACAAGTCCACAGCAGATTGAAACTAACTTGAGTTAGTCCCATCAAAAATGTTGGACAAGCTTTGTTCAAAACCGATGTCAGCTAAAACAAATCTGAATAATGATTCAAAGTATTTTGCTAGATGCAAACAAATAAAATTCAGAATATAACCAACTATAAAGAAATGCTCAAGCATTTCGTTGAGACTAACTTTAACATGTCAATTCACCATGACAAAATATTTGAAATCTATATTTTGCTAGGTTTAGCTGAAATCAAATGTTTGTCAATATCAAGCAAATTTTGTCTACCACTTTGATGAGACTAACTCTATCTAGCTATGTCACCACTACAAGTGGTAACATACCAAGTTTTTTTGTGGATGGTGTCACGGTACACATTTCTATGTTAATATTTGGCTGATGGATCAAATATGGGGCTCATAATCTTGAAGAAAAAGGCTACTTCCATTTCGTTGGGCAAGTTTGAGCTTCACCAGTCATTTCCAATTTACACATGTAAAATGCTTCGTGTCGGACAACTTATTTGTGCACTGCTAAATGGAACTCCTATGGAACCTCTAAAAAGTGTCTTACCTGAGGAGTGTTCCACTTAAAGGTTCATTCAACATAAAAATCATTTGGTCTTGAGGCTCTGAAAAGTGTTCCTCTATCATAGGTGTTCCACTTTTAAAGGTGTTCCACTTTACAGGTTTCACTGTATTATCATGAAGACCTCTGTATGTTTTGGGGTGGGCGCTGGGCTTCAACTCAAATACCATTGAAGATTTTCTTCATATTTGGTAGAAATATGTTTTGTTGTAATAAATTTTTCACATTTATTTTCAGATTGATCTAGACACCATTGATGTGAGTAACTTAAACAGACAATTCCTCTTTCGTAAGGAACATGTAGGGAAATCCAAGGCTAAGGTGGCCAGAGAAAGCGCACTCAGTTTCAATCCAGATGCTAAGATTGTTGCCCACCATGACAGTGTAATGAGGTAAGACATAGTGCAAAATTGTGAGGGGTAATACCTCTTTAAAAATGCAAAAATACTTGTCAAAATTAAAAATTATGAATTTGAAGAGAGAAAAATTGTTATACATTTAGATTTTATGTCACTGCCACAATTGATGACATATTGTTATAGTATTCAACTTATTTATGGCGGCGGTTGGTGTCCAGCGTCTGTAATATGGTGATGACATATTTTTATTTTATCCAACTTATTGTGGTGGTGGTTTGTGTTTTGCGCCTGTAATATGGCATCTGTAACAAATGGCTGGTGGTGACAATTTGCATGTTTAATGCCTTGTTCGGAAGGCACCATTTATTCACACTCTATCTGATTTGATGAGAAAGTGTCTCAGTTATCTTATTGAAATGTGAAATTTTGTGCAATTTAACACATGAACACTCATTTTTTTCTTGACAGTCATTCATGATTGAATAAAACAAAATGTATCTAAAATTGCATTGTTTACTAAATCCTCTAATGTCTTGTGATATTGTGCAATACCTAAGAACTCAAATCAGACAGTGAATATGCAGCTTCTGGCCATTTAATAAAGCAAAAATAAGTCAAATATAAGGGCTTCTTATAGGGGTTAGGCCCTACTTGTGTCAAATATTGTAAATGAAAAATTAAATGCTTACCTAAAATTATACATTTACTTTCAGTGCTGAGTATGGTACAGAATATTTCAAACAGTTTAGCTTGGTGATGAATGCATTGGATAACAGAGGTATTGATATTTACTAGACATTTTCTTTGTTTATTTCATCAAAGAAATTTTTTTACTTCAAAATTTGAATTGCAAGTTTTGATCTTATTTCCAAACAAAAAATTCTGAACACACAAGAAGTGATCGAGATATTAGTTCAGATCTTTTGAATCGCTGATTATGAATTCAAAGTCAGTTATAATATCAGAAAATAATGACAATGTTATCATCAATCAAGGTCAAGGTCGAATATTGAGTTGAGACCCTGGGAGGCTGGGAGCCAATCCTTCTTGGTGATGTCATTGTATTGCGTGATGTCATCAGTCATATGTGATGTCATTGTATTGTGTAAATTCCAGCTGCAAGGAATCATGTGAACAGAATGTGTCTGGCAGCAGATGTTCCACTGGTAGAGAGTGGTACAGCAGGCTACTTGGGCCAGGTGACTGTTATTAAAAAGGTAAGTTTACATGACTGCATCAAATTCTAAATGCACTCTCACAATGGGTGGAGACAAGAGTTAATGGACATTTTTATATGGGTGGAAGTTGATCAAAATATGATGGGTTGATAAATTATTTTGGAAGAATTGTTCTGCATTTGCAGTAAATGAAAAATTCAAACTGGCAGTACTGTAACTTGGTGTGAGGGAGAATTGAAATTGAAAGACATATCCTGCCGAATCAAATTGCTAAACTAGCCAAGTTATGGTCATGGTTATAGTAAAGTTAGAGTAAAATAGGGTAAACTGATTATGTATTTAATATGTTTAAGTAAAATTCAATGCAAAATTATGAAATTATTTATTTCCCGCCTCTAGGGATTGACAGAATGTTACGAGTGTCAACCAAAGCCTACGCAGAAGACATTCCCAGGGTGTACCATACGTAACACGCCCTCAGAGCCAATCCATTGCATTGTATGGGCCAAACACCTTTTCAATCAGCTGTTCGGTGAGGAAGATCCAGATCAGGATGTGTCTCCAGATACAGAGGACCCGGAGCTAACAGGTATGAGCCTGGCCATGAACATGCATAATGGCGTGCATTTTTTTTGCTTCTATAAGATCTAGAATATTTCTAGCACTAGAAAAATGTTTGATTCACAAAGCATTTCCATTTTTGCGGACAATGTTCAGCAGTTGGTGTTTGGCAGTTGGCATTCGGTGGTCAGGGTCTGTAACAAATGGCAGGTTGTGACCTTTTGCATGTTCAATGTCTTGTTTGTTAGAATGTCTTAGAATGAACATGAACCTCTGAATTCCACCATTATAGAATTTAACTTACGTCTTATCATATTTTTAACACTATATAGGAGGAGCAGGAGAAAAGGCTCTTGGAAGTGAGGCTAAGAATAGTATTGGAGGTATAGAGCGTAAATCTACACGGGGATGGGCAGCAGAAACAGGTTACGACACAGTGAAACTATTCAATAAGGTATGATATATGGAATTTCACTTGGATTGACACCCATTGATTTTGTCGCTTAATTTTTATTAGTTATTTTAAACTGATATGATATAGCAATTGTTAAAAGTGAGAAAAACACAGTGGCAGATCCAGATGGCTTTTAGGTCAACTGCCTCTTTGACTCAAACAATGCAAGTTATTGATAGTGCCTCCATTGATCCCCTTGTTTAATCTGTGTTACATCTTAAAGCTCTATTGCCTCATTGTCGTTGGTATTCCCTTTTTTTCTCTTGGCAAAGGTGGTTTCCAATGGTATACTGGATGGATTAACATCCAAATCCAATTCTCCATTTCGCAGTTCGCTCTTTGAATCAGAACATTCGCAAATATGTACTGAATAAGCACTCAAAAAGGACAAAATTTGATTGGTCAATTCTTTCCCACTATGCATTTCGCGTAGCTATTTGCGTGACCCGAAAGTTCTTAATCAAACTAATTACGCAATTTTGTTTTGACACCCGCACGCTAAATAAAACAATGACACCATCGGAAGTATTCTTTCTTCTTTGTCATTGCTTTAATAGTCAGTATACCGAGTTTAATCAAGAAAAGATTGTACAATGAACAACAAAATTCGGAAACGAGTACTACAGATTTGCTTTCAGACCACTGAACAGATTGACCTAGATAATAGCGGCGCGTCTTCTTTGGTCTACTGCTCAGTTGTTTGTGAGTTTTGAACGTAACTCTATAATGTAATTTGAAGATGAATCCTTTTATTCAGTTGTTGCATCGATGTTGCAGTTTGTAGTGTGGTAAGATTGGCATGAAAGTATTGAAAGTCGAATGGAATTGTTTTTTCCAAGATGGCGACTAGTCAACTGATCACGTGACCTTCTCTTCCGGAATACTTTCTCACTTTTCAATCATGGTTTTCACCATGCTATGAATCAATACAATGAAAAAAATAGTTGATACATTAAGATTAATAAGAGATCAATCGTTTCTAATATTTTTTTCTGTACTCTCGTACGGAAATATGAACGATTATATCGTTTGAAAATAGGTGTGAAAATCCCCATGTTAAACCTATGAGGGAAAACAAGGAAGTATAAATTTGTTCCTCCGCGAACTGCATCATGGGAAATATTTTGACCTTATACGGAAAGATTTTCGCGTCTCCTCTTTTGAAGAGGGAACGACGATTTCGAGAATTATCTGCATTATAACACTCATGTTTTGACCCTATATTAAATGCTCAATTTTTTAAAAATCATTTTTTCAATTGTAGTTGTTCCGTGATGACATTAAGTACTTGCTATCCATGGATAAACTTTGGAAGAAAAGACGTCCACCAACTCCACTTGACTGGGATAAACTACCCTCCACAGGTACATCTTAAGGCTTCAGTGACTACCAGAATTCAGTGACTACTAGAATTCAGTGTATTCAGTGATTGTGCCACTCTATTTCCTTTGTATATTGTTGAGTATTACAGTACAATCTGTCACACATTCAGTTCACAAGAGAACTTACATGGATACTGTTAGAAAGAAATATCTGTCCATAAAACGAAACAATGCAAGGTATATGGAAAAAATACATGAGGTACTATGGAGAGCATTTTGTATGCACAGTTTAACTGTTCTTCTATAAACAAGTACATATATAACGAAAACAGTTATTTTTATAAAAGTTATACATGTTAATTTGCTTTAAATATTTTAATATTCAATAGAATATTCCAAAAGTCCCAGCTCCCTTCTATGAACCAAGGAAAATAAATTGAATAGAATTATGTCATACTTTGAAGGCTTGAATGTTTGAAATAAAATAATCTTTCTATTCTGTTTGTATTTTACAGAGTTTGTAGATGGACCCATTAGAGACCAACAACTATGGAGTGTTCAGCAATGTGCCGATATCTTAAACAACAGCATTAAGTCTTTGAAGGACCAACTTGCAGCACAAGGAGAAGGGGGTACCTTAGTATGGGATAAGGTAAATTATTACTTAAAATCACATTGCATTCATAAGTTAATGAAACCAGCTACTAGGGAGTTTAACCTTGCATATAAAATCAAAACGCCAACCTGTACATATGACCAATCGCCCATACAAATGCATCGCTTAAATATTTTCAGTTCACGTTTAGGTTGTGAAAAACGTTGCAAGCTTCAACTCCCTACTATCTGTAGGTTCAGAATTAAGCGTCAGTATCTTACTAAGTGACTTCTGGCTAGTGTTGAGCATTAGATAATGGCTTTTGGTGTCTGTAACAATCGGTTACACTTTTGTTATATCAATTACAATCAGATGGTAACATTTTTATGTCACCACCAAAAGTGGTGACATATTGTTATGGTCTCCGTTTTTTATGTCACCACCAAAAGTGGTGACATATTGTTATGGTCTCCGTTTTTTTTGCGACGGCGGTTGGCGTCCGGTGGTTGGCGTCCGGCGTCTGTAACAATTTCTTACAACTTCCTATAATTTAACAAATACTGTTTAGACTGACTTCAATTTTTTTCTAAATCAGTCGAAATGTTGAGGCATGCGCAGACCTCTATTTAGTGATATTTTCATTTCAAATATGGCGGCCAATCCGATGTCTGACGACCCTTACAAAGAATCTAGGCAGTTTGCATTTTTACCTCCTGTGAAATAACAAGTGGAATTTAGTAGTTGTTTTGTGTTTTATTATCATTCTGCATCGTAATTCTATGTGATGTGGTGTTGAAATGTCAGCAGAAATACATATCCATACGATAATCGAGTGAATCAGATAACAGATTTTTCGAAAACCCGTCTCGTGCTAAGAGTGTAAAAACTTGTATTAACATGCTCAAAAGTGCCAGTGTGCACATCAATGTCAAGCTAAATCAATGTTGTGTCTAAAACAGATACCCGATCTACTCAAAACAGCTTGTCATTCACGTATACACGCTTAGCAAACACGGCGAAATGACCTGAATCTTGGAATTTCGTTCAAGAGCTAGTAATGTTTGCTCCGGTCTTCGTCATAAGTGTTCATCAGACTTCACGCATGCGCAGGAGAAAAACCATCAACCAATAAGGTTTATAAATCAATTTTGCGCATGCGCCTTACAACGGTAAACAAATTCGTATTTATAAACGAACCAGTTTGAGATAACCCGATATCAGTCGGAGAAATCTGACGATCTACGAAACTCACTTCAAAAAATCAAATGCGGACTGACGGCGTATTCTACTATGTTTGGATCTAAGATTTTCAGTATAGATAAAGTCTTTTATGATCTTTCGAATGAGGTAAGTCTCTAGTTCGAAAGACAATCGTATCAACTTGAACAAAAGTTGAGTTTTGACGAAAAATTTTAACATGCGCAGAAGTCCCATTTTCGTTGTACCATATTGACTGAAATCATCTACATGTTCTCAGAAGTTCAAATCTGACTTTAGATTTGACATTTGACCTTCAATGACCTTCTCAAGGTCAAAAAGGTCTTTTTTCAACTTGCTTCACATTGACTAAATTTTTTTTCAAAATCATCTACATGTTCTCAGAAATTCAAATCTGACTTTAGATTTGACATTTGACCTTCAAATCTGACTTTAGATTTGACATTTGACCTTCAATGACCTTCTCAAGGTCAAAAAAGGTCAAAAAGGTCTGTTTTCAACTTGCTTCAAATTGACTAAATTTTTTTTTCAAAATCATCTACGTGTTCTCAGAAATTCAAATCTGACTTAAGATTTGACTTAAGATTTGACATTTGACCTTCAATGACCTTCTCAAGGTCAAAAATGTCTGTTTTCAACTTGCTTCAAATTGATTAAATTTTTTTTCAAAATCATCTACGTGTTCTCAGAAATTCAAATCTGACTTAAGATTTGACTTAAGATTTGACATTTGACCTTCAATGACCTTCTCAAGGTCAAAAAAGGTCAAAAAGGTCTGTTTTCAACTTGCTTCAAATTGACTAAATTTTTTTTTCAAAATTATCTACGTGTTCTCAGAAATTCAAATCTGACTTAAGATTTGACTTAAGATTTGACATTTGACCAATGACCTTCTCAAGGTCAAAAAAGGTCAAAAAGGTCTGTTTTCAACTTGCTTCAAATTGACTAAAATTTTTTTTCAAAATCATCCACATGTTCTCAGAAATTCAAATCTGACTTTAGATTTGACATTTGACCTTCAATGACCTTCTCAATGTCAAAAAAGGTCAAAAAGGTATTTTTTCATCTTGCTTCAAATTGACTAAATTTTTTTTTCAAAATCATCTACATGTTCTCAGAAATTCAAATATGACTTTAGATTTGACATTTGACCTTCAATGACCTTCTCAAGGTCAAAAAGGTCAAAAAGGTATTTTTTCAACTTGCTTCAAATTGACTAAAAAAATTTTTCAAAATCATCTACATGTTCTCAGAAATTCAAATCTGACTTTAGATTTGACTTAAGATTTGACATTTGACCTTCAATGACCTTCTCAAAGTCAAAAAAGGTCAAAAGGGTCTTTTTTCAACTTGCTTCAAATTGACTAAATTTTTTTTTCAAAATCATCTACATGTTCTCAGAAATTCAAATATGACTTTAGATTTGACCTTAGATTTGACATTTGACCTTCAATGACCTTCTCAAGGTCAAAAAGGTATTTTTTCAACTTGCTTCAAATTGACTAATTTTTTTTTTCAAAATCATCTTCATGTTCTCAGAAATTCAAATCTGACTTAAAGGGGCAATAAGGCTTGTAGAGAGAAAATAGGAAAATTTTAACTTTTTCTGAGCTATCAAGGCAACAGTTGGCTTAACATCTTCTTCGACATACCTATTTTCTTAAAATGTATGGATAAACTATCAATTTCGGCATTAAAGAGTGTAAATTCACTTCAAAGCTTGAAAAAGTGGACGTCCACTTTTATATTTTTAAGATCCACCATGTTTCAAGAGGAATATAAGCTGAAATAATGTGATCTAGGGGGTTTCTTTGTAGAAAATAAAAATAGATGTTAGTCTTGATGAAATATCCAAACTTAAATATATTTTGACACTGGTCCATGATCGTTGAATGGCCCCTCTGCACTACTTGTTGCACCTTTAAGATTTGACTTAAGATTTGACATTTGACCTTCAATGACCTTCTCAAAGTCAAAAAAGGTCAAAAAAGTCTGTTTTCAACTTGCTTCAAATTGACCAAATTTTTTTTTCAAAATCATCTTCATCTTTTCAGAAGTTCAAATTTGACTTTACAAGTTCTCAGAAGTTCAAATCTGACTTTAGATTTGACCTTTGACCTTCAATGACCTTCTCAAGGTCAAAAAGGTCTTTTTTCAACTTGCTTCAAATTGACTAATTTTTTTTCAAAATCATCTACATGTTTTCAGAAGTTCAAATCTGACTTTAGATTTGACATTTGACCTTCAATGACCTTTTCAAGGTCAAAAAGGTCTTTTTTCAACTTGCTTCAAAGGACGATTCTCGGTTTGGAGAACAATCTCCTGGGCTAATAATTTTTTTCATGAAAAATATAGAAATATTACCCAAATTAAACTTTGAATATTCAAAAGAGAACACATAAATCTACAAGATGTAAAAATAACAAATTTGTCTGAAGCAGGGATAATGCTCAATTAGACCGATTCAATAAAATTCAAGTCTCGATTTGGGGAAAGAAGTTCAATAGTGTACTGCGCTAATATTTTTTTTGCGAAAAATCTAGAAATATTACCCAAATTAAATTATGACCATTCAAAAGAAGACATTCAAATCTATATTATGTGAAAAAAATCAAATTTGTCCGAAGCAGGGATAATGCTCATTTAGATTGATGAACGTCGTTCTCCAAACCGAGAATCGTCCTTTACTTAATTTTTTTTTCAAAATCATCTACATGTTCTCAGAAGTTCAAATCTGACTTTACATTTGACATTTGACCTTCAATGACCTTCTCAATGTCAAAAAAAGTCAAAGAGGTATTTTTTCAACTTGCTTCAAATTGACGAATTTTTTTTTCAAAATCATCTACATGTTCTGAGAAGTTCAAATCTGACTTAAGATTTGTGTGCAACTAGTTTTAACTTGCTTCAGATTGAACAATTTCTTTTTTCAAAATCATCTACAAGATCCCAGAAGCTCAAATCTTCAAAAACCTTCTTAAGGTCAAAAGGTATTTTCCAACTTGCTTTAAATTGACCAAATTGTTTTAGGTGGTGACATTTTGTCATGTTAATGCCTTGTATGTGGCTATGGCAGCCGTATTCCTGCTGTAAAGCAAATATGACTGAGGCTTTACCCACAGTAAAATTTTAAGATTTGAACAATTTTACATTCACAAGATACAAATACAATAAAAACGAAATGTATGTATTGTATACTACACTGAGAAATCACTTAATAATCACTCATAATATTCTTTCAGGATGATTCTCCAGCCATGGACTTTGTCACATGTGCAGCTAACATTAGAGCTTACATATTCGGCATTCCTCTCAAGTCACGATTTGACATCAAATGTAAGTTTGAAATATGCACCCATCTCTAATTTCAGTGACATTGAACCTTTGAATGGATATTTTTTTCTTAAATGTTTCTACATCAGCTTTTTAGCTTTAAAATGATTGTTTGTTATCTGATTATGTTATAGCAATGAATGTTTATCTTTGTTACAATGGTAGATATCATCCAACTGCTATAGCAACCACCAATGCCATCACAGCTTCCCTCATTGTTTACCTTTGTTGTTATAGCAATGGCAGGTAACATCATCCCTGCTATAGCAACCACCAATGCTGTCATAGCTGCTCTCATTGTGATGGAAGGCATGAAGATTTTATCTGGTGCAATAGAAACATGTAAAACTGTAAGTTCATGTATATGATATTTTCTTTTTTCAATGGTTAAAACATACATATACATTACATATTTGATCTGTTTATGAAGTCTTATCGAAAATGTTTCTGCTACTGTCTTCACAAAACACATACATATCCAATAGCTTTAAATCTTTATATTTTCCTTTAATTTAGATATATCTCAATAGACAACCAAATGTACGCAAGAAACTGTTGGTGCCCTGTTTCCTGGACAAGCCAAATCCGAAATGTTATGTGTGCTCAGCCAAACCTGAGGTTACTGTCAAGGTCAACACAACCACTCTCACACTCAAAACACTGGAGGAAAAGGTAATAATTCAACTTCATTGATTTGCTCCAAAATAGAATGGCTAAAGGAGAAAGTTAAACAGAATTTTGTAGAAATATTCTATTCATTGCTGTACTTAAAATCACCTTGATTAGGTTACTGTCAAGCCAAACACTATGGCCACTGTCACACTAGGAACACTGTGGGAAACTGAAATAATTCTACATCTTTGATTTGCTTCAATGTAAAATGATTATAAGTTGTGTTGAATTTTGAGAATGAATACTAATCATTCTTGGTGTTCTTAATGTCTTAGTTTTGATTAGCAGATTCTTTAGTTGTTAGTATTCATTTTGTCCTCTAGATAATCAAAGGCCAATTTAACATGGTGGCCCCAGATGTTGAGATTGATGATGGCAAAGGGACTATACTCATATCCAGTGAAGAGGGAGAAACTGATGGTAGGTTTAAATGCATTTTATCAATCCAACATTTGTAATTCAATGTTTTGCCTTATGGATTATATGAGACGTTTCCAGATGATAATATTTGCAATTGATTGCATATAGGCACTCAAATAGAAAATCAGTTGGCTTCATTTGAGTGAGTTTTCTATTCCAGAAGTTATGTCTGTTCAGTTATATTGTCTCTGGGGTGTCATGGGGAGCAGACAATCTAGTAGTTTTCTCTTTTTGCATTACAGATGCAGAAAACATGGCTAGATTTCTCAACACGTTTGGTATCATTAGTGGCACAAGGCTAAAGTGTGATGACTTTCTACAGGAGTACAAGCTCAACATAACAATACTGCATGAGTGAGTATTTCAAAAATTGCTAATACTACAGCCGTGCATAAATACTTGAGAAAAGCTTAACATAACAGTACTGCATGAGTAAATACTTAGAACATTCTAACAGAATACTGTATGAGTGAGTATTTCAGAAAATGCTAATACTACAACCACGCATAAATACTTGAGAAAAGTTTAACATAATAGTACTACATGAGTAAATACTTTAGAACATTCTAACATTATACTGTATGAGTGAGTATTTCAGAAAATGCTAATACTACAACCACGCATAAATAAATGCTTGAGAAAAGTTTAACATAACAGTACTACACGAGTAAATACTTTAGAACATTTTAACATAATACTGTATAAGTGAGTATTTCAGAAAATGCTAATAATACAACCACACATAAATGAATACTTGAGAAAAGTTTAACATAACAGTACTACATGAGTAAATACTTTAGAACATTCTAACATAATACTGTATGAGTTAGTAATTTTGGAAAATTCTAGTTCACAATACCTCATAAGTAATAGTACTTGAGATCATTCTAACAAATACAATACTGCATGAGCTACTCCTTTGGAACATTAACAAATGAAATGAACTGATTCCTCCCATTTTTGTAGGTCTATGGCGAACACCTTGTTTTAATAATTTTGAATTTTAAAATTTTCTGTTTTTAGGGAAGAGTTGGATGACCAAAAAGAGTTTGAAGTAATAGGTGACTTGGATGAATTACAGCCTAAAGCTGGGCCTAGTCAGGAAGAAAACACTGAAACCAAAAATGGCAATGGTACCGCAACTAGTGAACAAAAGCAATCTCAGTCATCTGGTATTTAATTCTTGCAATATCCTTCTGGCTAATTGAATGGTTTCTCCTTCCAAAGCATTTCCAATGTGCTCCTAGCCATTGCTCCTTTTAATCTTACTTTACCTTAAAAAAAGGTCAGCATAGCACTTTTGTATAACATTTAAGTGGACTTGGGGCATTGGAACATAATAATATAGACAAAAGATCAAGATTCGAGGGTTCAACAGTTATATTAAACATACAAAATTATCATCCATTTGAGTGTATTGATATTGTTTGTATTGCATCTTTCAGTACAAGACGAGGAAGATGATCTCATGGTCCTTGAAGATGACGACAGCACGCCAGCCCCATCTATTGATAGAAAACGGAAAGCAGACAGCAATGAGGACACTCCAACATTGAAGAAACCAAAAACAGACAATGCATCAGAGGAAAATAAAAACAACTCTGAAATAGAAGAGATAATGATCATATAGGCTAAATAATTATTGGAGAAACTTTATGTAATAGTGAATTGCCAAAAAGGAAGTATGGACTGAATCCAGATGGAAAACTGCCTTAAAGGGGCAACAAGGCCTGTAGAGAGAAAATAGGAAAATTTTAACTTTTTCTGAGCTAACAAGGCAACATTGGCTTAACATCTTCTTTGACATACCTATTTTCTTAAAATATATGGATAAACTATCAATTTCAGCATTAAGAAGTGTAAATTCAGTTCAAAGCTTGAAAAAGGGGAAATCCACTTTTTCAATTTTAAGATCCACCATGTTTCAATAGGAATATCAGCTAAAATAATGTTTATCTAGAGGGTTTCTTTGTAGATAATAAAAATAGATGTTAGTTGTGATATAATATCCAAACTTAAATACATTTTGACACTGGTCCATGATCGTTGAATGGCCCTTCTGCACTAATTGTTGCACCTTTAAATTATCTAATTATCAGATTATTCCATGGTATTCTTTTTATGCTATGACTATCCCTTTGCCTTTTCTTCCTTCACTAAAGTAAAGAATTAGTTTGATAACATGCCCCAGAAATCAACGTTTTAATGACACCAACAACTGGTTTCTTCATTACAAACATGAATCGTTTTTGCCTGGAAGTAGATTTGCTTATTGAAAAAAGAGCTGAATATGATTAGTATGGAGCATTTAACAGAAGAGACAATGTCCCTGGATAAGTACAGTAAAACCTACAAAAAATCACATTCACTATTGACATTATATAAAACTTTCACAGGTTTTACTGTACCAGGACCATATTAAATTATAGTACTTTCAGTGCAACTTAAAACGTATTTCTGATAACATTTATAACATTTATAATTCTGTTTATTCTGTTCAATCAGTTTCTATTGTGTGAAGTGCATTCACTGAAGACGGATCTTATCTCTCACAGGCCTAGGTTTAACTGTACCATATTTGTACTCGCAGTGCAATTTAAACAAAACGTTTCTGATGACATTAACAAAATGACATGTTTATTCTGTTCAATTAGATTCATTTGTTATTTGAAGAAATTGTGTACTAATCATGATAAATCTTGTACGCATAATGAAGACAGACTGAGAGAAATACAGAATAAATATATATTTTATATTACTTTCTAAAGTATGTGTTTTTACAAAAATTGATATTGAACAAATATTTCACTCTATTGAGGTGAATACCTGTACATCTTTCACAAGTGATATTCCACGAAGCCCGAAGGGCAAGTGGAATATCACCTTGTGAAAGTGCTACAGCTATTCACCGAAAATAGAGTGAAATATTTGTTTTATTATATCACTGTCTAGCTAAACATCCCTAATATTATTAAGTCATAGGTTAACATTGAAATACATTGAATCTACTCGGTTCGTCTGCCATTTTGACTTACACTTAACTAAATTATTTACACTGAATGAAAACAAATTCTTTGAAAATTCCCGGGAGCGTGGGATATCGCTCATATATGATACTTAGATATCTTATGATTTTGAATGATATTATTTTTATCAATTCGAGCATATACATGATATCAAGAGAAATTATATTGGATTGAAGATATCTCCCTGATTAAACCTAAAATGAATATGAAATTTGAGTTTAAGATGAATATACTTAAAGGGTAGAGATCCTTTTAAAAAGTAAAAATCAAGGTGATATCCCTTAAAGCCTATAAATCTTCATGTGCTTGGAATACCCAGCTTGATGCTGATATCACAGCCTTTAATGTATGGAATAACCAAAAACAGTGGTGCCAATTTTGATTTTACAGGATTTAATCATAATGGCATATGTTCAGTACAGTACATGGTTTCATGTATAACAGTACTAGTGCTACTGTTGTATGTCTTATAATTGATAACGTCTGTAGTCTATATATAATTTTTACAAATACAGGTGATATTATTGGATTTTTGTTGACCAATGTCCTTTGCAAGCTCATGTTTTTACAGTAACATTACTTTCCTGTACCAGTGGTTATAGAAAATGGATTTCAAAATATACATTTTTACAGGGATGTTCATTTTGCAAAACAATATTGCCACCTCACTTTAAAATGTATCTCATTAATTAGCCATATATACATAATGGTTATGTACTTGGAGGTTTTGGATACAGAGTTTATCCAAAGGGAGATATGTGAACTTGATACGCATACTGTATATCCCGCGGTAAACTATGTATCCAAAACCGACTGTACATAACAAATGTATTCCACTCCTATTGAGGGCCCTGGGGTCCGTATGTACATTATATCTCATTAAGTTCCAAAATTCCAAAACGTACTTTAGGTACATATTTTCTTTGTCTTAAAAGGTAGTTAAGTTTGTGAGATCTTCACCCTCATATTATATAGATCCTCAGATGGTATGGAATACAAATATGTGCACTATTACATGAACGATGTGCATTAAAGATATGCTCAGGAGATAAATAAAACAATTGACTCTTACCTACCAATTTTAAAGTTACCGGAGCATTTTTTTAAGCAAGCGATTTAGATAAACATACTGATACAGTCCAATAAGAAACATAAAACTATCATTCGCATTTGTATTTGAAGGACTTCTAGGAACTAAACAAACTATAATCAACTACAATATCACTTTAGCAATGCCATGTTGAAATGCAATGCAATGTCATCAGATGGAACTTGTAATGATTGGAAGTAACCCTGTCACATACCAGTTTAATAGGTGACCAATACATTCATAATTCACTAGGGGGTTGATTTTACTTATTTATGACTTTTCTATGATTCATATAACTAGTCATCTATTTTGAACACATACAGATAATTGGGACCTGAACTGCTCTCTCCCACTACTATGTTCCCACTACTATCTACCATCACCTCATGAGGGAACTCCAGACCATCCTCCTTAGTGAGGAGATTCTTCAGCAGGTCCCCATCATGAGATAATAAAAACACCCTGTGGTTACAACTGTCCACTAATAGTAAATGTTTATCAGTGCAACAAATACCATCTGGTTCATCAAGTCCATCATCACCATCACCTTTGTATGCAAATACATTATTTCCCTCCCAGTCCAGACAGTGAAGAGTGCTGGTTTTGTAGTCAGTCACCAACAATGTTTTATTGTATGGACTGATGGCAACTCTATAGAGATTATTGAATGATGCATTTGTGATGGTTCTGAGTACCTGACCACTGATAGAGCATATGTTGAGACACATTGGGTCCCTACCAATAACTACAATACCTAATTGTGGGTGGAATGCGAGTCCATATGGTTTATTAACATATTTACATATCTGTCGCTTGTAATTCCCCTCCATGTCGAACACCTTCACCCAGTTATTCCTCCATGAACACACCACTATCTCGTCAGTGGGGAGACAGACTACATCAGATTGATCTTCTAATGCAAACGTTAACTTGAACGTATAATCCTTGTTGTACACAAATATACCATGCTGATATATTGATGCTATGATGTCTCCCATAGGACTACTACAAAGACCGAAACATTCAGCGGGTAGCTCGATCTTACGAGTTAATGTAAGACTAAGATGACCAGACGACAGATTAAGTGTTTTAAGTTGTTTTACCAGACTGGTTGAGGGGGTTGATTCATGACTAGTAGAAGGTTGCTGCAGTGTGAGTTGAGATTTAACGACCGACGACGGGCCTGTTGTAGGAGGGATCTGGGAGGCTGAGGGAGAATCACTACTAGGTGGCAGTTGTGCTCTAACATTATCAGGAGGTTCTGTCGTTAACGGCTGTGTTTGTGGATCTCTGGACAAGGGGGGTTGATTGAGGGTAAGAGGAACATCGAGCGTAGGCTTAAGAGGCGTTTGTTTGACAATATAAGATTCCGGCTTTGTTACACTGATCAAGGATCTTGCTGCGTGTGGTACTTGAGACGGCGTCAGATTCATTGATGGACTTTCCAAAGTGGACATCTTGGACACAATGGATTTGACAGATACCGAGGAAGTGACCATCATGGGGGATGGTTCTGATGAAACAGATGCTGTAGAATCAACAAACTCCTCTTCGATGCCAATGGTTACTTTCAGTTGGGATATAAGACTTTCTATGCTCTCTAACGCCAGTTTGGTTGATTGTTGCTCATCAGATTGGACTTCACGATCGAAAATGTCATTGGCGTTTGCGAGAGCATCAGTGGCAAGTTTAAGTGCCTGTAGACGCAACTCTCTTTTTATAGGAAGCTCCAAATACAGGTAGTCGTCATGAAGGGAGGATACGAAACTGTCAAAGTCTTGTTTTCCACGTGTTTCTAGAATATCTAAAAACGCACTACATCTCTGGTGACGGGTCGAATGACTTAAAACTGTTTCTTTCATTTCTTGGGATAATACTCTCTCTTGGATACACCTAGGTAATATATGCTGCACGTCTAAACTCTCCTGAAGCAAAACGCGTTGGGATCTGAGCGTTGCTTTATGGGCTTCAGACAACGGAGATGTAAATGCATCTGTAGTATTTGACCTGGATACTCGTGGGGCTATTGACTTTGGAATTCCAACTGTGGTTTTGAGTTGAGTTATTAGTGCCTGAATGGTTCTTATTGAAGCTTTAGCTTTGTCACTTTCTTTATAATCCAATTTTTCATCAGCTACAATTATCTCATTGGCGGAAACAAGACCAGCATTTACAAGTGATAACGCTTTTATACGTAGTTCTTTTTCAAGGGAACGCGCAAGAAACCCATAGTCCACTTTAAGAGCCACAATAAAGTCATCGAACGCTTGTCTTCCACGTGTCTGTAGAATATCAAGAAAAGCACTACATTTTTCATGTGGAGTTTGTTTCGCCTCAATCCTGGCCTTCATTCTAATAGATATGACATCGTCTTGGAGGCATTGTGCTAATATATCATCAACGTTAAGACTGTCCTCAAAGAGAACGCGACATGATCTGAGCGCATCTTTGTGTGCCGTGGATAGAGGGGAATGAGACATTTTATTATCTCGACTTTTTCTCTGAATGGTCACCACCTGAAAAACATTTTGAAATTGTTTAGAACTAGACTTTACATTTTGCAAAGGGCGATTCGCTGTCCCAGATGCTGGTGATACATAGACGCAGAACCTATACACCAGGTACATGTTTACATTTACAGTAAAACCTGTGCAAGTGGAAGTGTTCCACTTGGGAGGTGTTCCACTTACAGAGCTTCATTAACATGGAGTAGAGGCCAATAGATAGGCCATGGGACTTTAGAAACACTGTTCCACTTACAGAGGTCTCCTGTATGTGTAAATAAAAAGGCGGATACTACGCCGAGTAGCCGATTAGAATAAGTGAACTATCCTAAAGGAATTAAACATGGGTACTCGCATTTGAGGCTCAGCACAACATATTCTACAGATAATGTGTTATTGTATAAGATAGGTCGCAGGCATGTAGATACTATACAAGTTAATGATGCTTCCTAGTCAACTCGTACCCAAGACAAATTGTACCCAGGACAACTTGTACCCAAGGCAACTGGTACCAAAGACAAATCGTACCCAAGTTTATTTTCAGTATTATGGGTGCATATAAGAAAACAAATTGAATCCTCAATATTTTTTTGAATTAAGAAGACATTTTTTCTCAATGGATTAAGTAGAGCATTTTGTTTTAACTTGGATCACCTTTTTAAAATAAAAGAAGCGCTTCGAAGGCCTTGTTCTCTTTTTTGTTTCTCTTTTTTGTCATGCATATATATAAATAAATATAAGTACATCAATAACGTTTCTACAAATAAATCAAACAACTAATTTGGCTAAGGGCTTTTAGAGAAAGGTAATAAGGGAGGTTTAATCTGTTAATTTCTTTTCCATTTGGAACTAAATTGGATTATATTTGAGCACAGGCATACAAAGTATTATTTTAAATGATACCATCTTTCAAGATGAGTTAGATCTGACACTTGTTCTGAACACTCATAAACATACAAAAATACCACTAATATTTTGAAAATGATTATGAATATGTGGAATAACCAAAAGGTCTCTTCCCTCAAATATCCTGAATCTGTCAACCAATATTAAATAAAAGTCAAAATAGATTTACATAGCTCAAAATGTCACAAAATTGAATCGATTTATTCCAAAAACTCTTCTACATACTTTAAACCATTCTTAGATGTAAACCAAGACCACTATACTATAGCCCTCTTTCTATTGACCTGTATGCTGATAATAATCATCTTGAATCACAATGTTCCAGTTGCTATAATGGCCTTTGGAGTCGAAGATGAATGATAGTAGCTAAGGTAACAAACCAGTTGCAAGTGAATGCATTTTTTCATGATACCTCTTACGTATCCAGCATGTCAGTTTACTGGCGAACGTAATTCCATTTGTGATCAACGACGCCAGTTTTCTATGGCATGCCATCAAGAGAATTCTACGAGCGTTGAACATTTTCATTTACAACTACAATCAAATAAACAGATGATTAAGTATAATCATTAAATGTCCATATGTTTACAATATTCATGCAATATTGTAGAATCAATCGCCTTACCTCCCGATCCATCAAGGCGTGTAGACATCAAATCTAAAACTGATTGCGGTGCGGTTGCGGTGTCGCTCACAACGCACTCATACCTTCTTCACCAAGATGACGCTAACTTTATCGCCTGACCCTGTAACCTTGTATCATTAATTTACATAAAAAGTTAAATCAAGGGGTATATAAATTATCAAGCAGTAGATGTAGATTACTAGAAACAAGACACGATCGAGTTCATACTTACAAGCACGGCGTGTTGAGATTTAGAGAGCTTAAATATATTAAATATGCATGATGAATCAAAATCTGCACCTCGCCACTTGTGTTTTTCTTAATCTCTGTATAAATTGCATGCCCCGTGCTGTATGCAGTTGGCTACGAAATCTTTATGTGCAATACATGGTCCTACTTCCGAGCGGGCTTCCGAGATAATGATGGGAAAAATCATTGTCCATGGAGGAACCTCATGGACCAAGATGAATATGCAGATCCTCCACATCCGGACTCTCAGTTTTCTGTATCGACGCATAACTGCACATTTGTGGCTATTGTTATTAAGCAATATCTTAAAAATGGTTGGATCTTCCTCAAGAAAACGTTTTTATGGAAAACAGAAAATATAGGCATTTGACTTGAAAAATGTCAACAGTTAGTAAGTTTATTGTAAAAAGTGTCTTTTGAGGTCCAGGCATGTCACAAAAATCGGCGTCTGAAAATGTTACCACTTTATGACACTGATTGGTGATTTGATGGTTATTTTACAAAAGAGGTGAGTGTCCCCTCAATCTGAGTAAAAAAGTAATATTTCTAATAAAATCATAATAAACTAGAGATGATAACCTCGATTTTTCATTTTTAGAGATAATACCAGCCTATACTTCATTAATAACTCCAATGAATGTAAACTGGTCTCATATTATATAGACTTTGTATTTTTCAATGAGAATTACATTAGATTATCTGGTTAGTAAAATTCACATCATTGAAATATGTTCTAATTCTGAATTGGATGTCTAGAAATCTCTAAACATAAATTGAAAAATAAAGTATTACAAAGTACTTGGCAATTAATCAAATACATAAACAATCACATGCTGATTTACTGTTCAAAATTAATGCCAAATAACTATATAAATCAAATGATTATCATGAACTATTAAACCTTTTAAAAATAGGCATGACAGGGAATATTGCAGTAAGAATACTCCATAGAAAGTTGATCTCAGTGTCTCTTTTCTTTGTAGCCCACTGAAGTAATGTCAGCTAGGGTCTATATAACCCCCTTCATTCGCTCGGTAACCGGAAGTGAGTCAAGTGACCATATGATACCAGGTTAAAATCATGCTGATGATTGAATCTTATTTTATTTCTCAATTACAAAAAGTCAGATTTCTGACTAACTGATCAGGCGACCAAGGGGTAAAAAAGTGACTTTAGTTGCCAAATATTTTATAGGGGTTGAGTTAGATTTACTGGTGGACTTTAACATCACAATTAATGTACAAACTCTTTCAGGCCTTTTAAAGCAGAAATACTTGAGACACCAAACTAAACATTGTAACATTTATAATATGCTCTGTATTTTATAAGTACCCTTATCACCAGTATTTATGTATGTGTCTGAGATTTACAATCCAAATTTATTTATGAGAGTTATACATAAAAACATAAGACGAAGAAGTAAATATTTTACCTTTACTTTATTACAAGAACATCAATGAATACACGAAATTCACGTTTTAAATGATTTATATTTTTTGCTATAATGTCATATGGCACAGGGTTCTGTAATGACATTAAAATAATGAGTGTTGCACTGTAATTTCATGCATTCTTGTCTTTAAAAATTAGTTTATTCAGAAAATTGGCACAAAGGCCAGGATATTTCCATTTGTGCCATTAGTATTGAAATAGAGCCTTTCCCAGGCTAATTTGTACAAAAGCCTGAATAAGTCAAATATTTCTTTGCAATCTGCTTATTATTAGCAAAGAATCCCTGAATCTAAGATTGCAAGAATAGCTAATATTGAGAAATGTCCGTTTATGGGATGGTAATTTAGAGGGCGTTCTTTAGCGTATTGCATCAAATCTGTTGTTTCAGCTCTTTCATCTCCTCTTAAATCTGAAACGGAAATATTTGATAAGATATAAAAAAGTTCTAAAACAACCATGGCAGTAACATAGAATGAAGGACAATGAAAACTCTTAACATATTTAAAACAGTAATGTGTATGTGATCCAAAAGGATTTTGTTGTAATTCTGATGCACTACATGTATGTATGTACATGCATGTATGTAAGATACTAGTGTCAAAAATCCTAACAGAACTCTACGTTATGACATCTTATTCTAAAATTATGTCTTCTCCAATGTTGATTGTGTGTCTTTGTAAATGATCTACATGTATAATTACCTGCTTTTAGATTTAAATTTTCCCTTGGGGCCCCTGTTTCCCCCCTTTTGTGGCTGACCACCTCATGCCGCTTGTTTCTTCTCATACCGTGATGGCCTACAATGTAATAATTTACTACAGTTTAAGTTATGAATCCCCATAAACGTAGTTATAAATATTAGTTCAGACAAAGTCAATTTTTATTTGTCCAGAAAATCGATGGATGGGCAGTGAAATACACAGATGGACAAACAAATGGTCAGACATATGTATACATATGTGGGCAATTTCATTAGCTTCCATGTTTGGGTGATCCATTGACCTAAATGGCTCTTCTTTTCTCAGATTAGTCAAAAAATGGCTGATTTAATAGAGAGATTTCGCACATACGTAAAATACAACTTATAACGTATACTTATACTTATAAGAAGACATACAAGGTGTTTCATAATGTGGGTATTTCGTCAGGTAAGATCTCGGACTGTAATAAATAAAGGTCAAAGGGATGCCATTTGTACTTTCTTGAATTGTAGCATGTTTAGTTGATCCAAATGTGTTTGTCTAGAATAAAATAGGCTCATATATAGTACATACATATAGACCCATCTCTTCTCAAATTGACTTTTTGGAGATACTCGTTATGAAACACCCTGTATGTCATTTGTTGAGCTACTGAATGGGTCGTTTCCAGGAATTGCTAGAACCTACTGGTTTGATTGGTGTTTCAAATTGATGGTTAAAGTATTTGATTGGATACTGTTCCTACTCAGCCGATTAATTTAGAAAATGCTTGCGGTCAATTGTTCCACACACATGTAGGTAAAGCTTTATACGTAGATCCAACTGTATACGTTTATCATCTACGTGTATATACAATTTTGTAAGTTCATTGAACTTATACTGATCATGAAAACTGAAATAATCAACTTGTTTATGTAATGACTCACTTGAAAGGATCCTGACTCACTTTAAAGGATCGTGTTTAGAATACACTACAACTACTCGGAAACTGAAGCAAGCATTTAATTATAATGTGCATAATCTACACGTGCAGATGACAGTGCATTCACAGTCTCTGGTTGATGGAGCTTTTCTGTATCGGGAATAGTTATGTTCCATTAAGTACAATTTAAAATTGATTTTAGTAAATATAATAGTTCGACATGACCCTTTAAACTATACGTATAAGTTGTACTTCACTTATGTGCGAAATCTCTCTAATGTCTCAAAATTCAAACTTATACATACCCAGCTCTGATCTGCTTAAGGGCCTTGCCACTTGTGCTGGTTAACTCCCTCTCAAATGTTGACCTTTGCTGTGAGGGCTTTCTCTTTGGCTTCTTACCTGCAATGTTCAAATGTTAGATTTGCAGGTACTCAATTTAGCAATAGGATATACATCTGTCTTAAACGCAAGCTAGGAACACATCACATTGCAAAAGAATTTCAATATATAATTGGAAAACAACTTTTTAAAACAAATCTTCAGTGGAACTGTTAGTATCATATGATCTTTTTCAGAAGTCAGGCATATTTTATTGTTGAAATAATATTTTTTTGCTTTTGGTTTGAATTTATGTATACAGTGATACAATTTGATGAATATAAGCGTCCTATTACATATATATGTTCCCACCAACATTATCTGCCTTGACATTGTTAGTCATAATTTAATGTCTAATCTTATGGTAAAAATAAATACCGACATAGACTTTGACACTGCGGGTGTGTTTAAAATTCTTTAGAAATTGATTTACTATAACATAGAGAGTGAATAAAAGTGGGCATAAATTAAAGATCTATGTTTACTTTTGTGTAATTTGGCACTACTTACTTTGGCAGCTACTTAATTTGGCGGACTTACAATACCATTGATATATGAAATATTGAATTTTGTGGCTACTTAATTTGGTGGACTTTAACAATTTGGGGAATCCATCAAATTAAAACGGCCGCCAAATTAAGTAGAAGTACAGTATTTATCAACTAGGAATATCAACTATACAAACCAGAACAACGGCAACGCCAAAGCGTAGCGAATCCCATCGAACAGAGATGGCTGGCATTTTTACAAACGTAGAGCAAATATCATAAAACAACACACCAGAAAGGCCGCCATTTTCAAAATGGTTGCTCACTAGCCAAGTTGTCATCAGAAGAAATAAAATGCTTTTAAGTAGCCACCTCTAAAATTTTTGAAAAATCGCACACGTACTTTTAAAATAACACACATAAAAATGGTGGCCATTTTTCAAAATGGCCGACTACTCCCCAAAGTTTTATTAGACAATGTGCCATGCTTACAGTATTCACATATCAAATATGAACAAAATCGCTCCACTACTTTTCGAGTTACAGTACAATATGTTAAAATGGCGGCCATTTTTCAAAATGGCCACCTTCTACCAAAAGTGTCATTAGAAATAGACAGTGTGCCATGCTTATAGTATTCACATACCAAATATGAACATAAACGCTCCACTACTTTTCGAGTTATAGTAAAATACGTTAAAATGGCGGCCATTTTTCAAAAAAAATTTCAAAATGGCCGCCTTCTAACAAAAATGTCATAGGACAGTGTGCCATGCTTATAGTGTTCACATACCAAATATGAACAAAATCGCTCCACTACTTTTCGAGTTATAGTAAAATACGTTAAAGTGTCTTTAGACAGTGTGCAATGTTTATAGTATTCACATACCAAATATAAACAAAATCGCTCCACTATTTTTTGAGTTACAGCAAAAATCGTAAAATGACGAGTAAAGGCCGCCATGTTTCAAGATGGCTGCCATGCGCTTCTTTAATATCTACATTTGTAGCATTATTAATGTCCTTTATAATTTTTTTATATTTAAAACATATTGCTATTACAGTTTTACATATTGCACCTAAATTACTGTAAAATCGGCACTAAAATGGCCACCATTTTGAAATGAGCGGCCATTTTGACAATCGGCTTTCGAGCAGAACTTGTACCCCCATAGGGTATATGTGTACAAAATATGAACAAAATCGGGCCAACGGTATTTGAGTTATTGCCCGGACGGACGGACGTACGTACGTACGGACGGACGGACGGACGGACGGACGGACGGAGGCGTTCCCTATATCCCTCCGAACTTTGTTCGATGGGATAATAAAGACAACATTTAAATTTCAATTATAACCATTATAAAATTGGACTGACATAGAAATCCTGATAACTCAATGAAAAAATGATTTCTTAAAAAACAATGCCTATCTTTAACAAAAACGAAAAGGTGGTAACAAAAAAGTAATGTATCGTAATAGCATTTTTGAGCCTCTAAATACAGAAGTACTTTATCATGGGTTACCTTGAGTAATGAATGTATTAAGTAAATATGTAGAGCAATTGATTTGTCAATAAAATATCACTGTGTCAAGATGTACTCATAAATAAAATCAAGTGCTTCAACATTGCTCCCTCTTACAAAATTTTCAAAAAACAAAATTGTGAAATCTTATACAAACTATTTATAATGATGAATTACTTATAGGTTAAACATCCCATCATAATTTTCCGTGGTTAAAGTGTTAAACAATTTTGCTATAAGAAGTTCAATTATCATTTCTTTAATTTCTTGGATTCAACGGTATTTTTGCCACTTTGTCATTTTTTTACTTTGTCAATACTTTGTAAGGTTATCTAGCATAAATTCTAATGAACATTTCTGCATCTTAACACTTTTTATGTTTTGATCAAACGTCTCCACTATATTTTCAGAAAATGAAATAAGAATTGTAAAAGAAACATTGAAATGCTTTTTAAAAAGATTGCTTTCAACATGTAAATCTCTATTCTTTGGTGCTGTTTTAAGCAACAAATCAAGATGTACAGTATATGTCCAAGTTTATTGCCAAAAATTAACCACTTTGATACTTTACACAAGATTAGGGACTATATAACAGAGCTACCCACCTTTAGGTTTATCTTCGTCATCGTCAAAGACATGCATACGTTTCTGTTGACGTTCTCGCTTAGCATGACGTGCCTGGAAGGCTTGTGTCTTTGTCATTTCAAACTCCACACGCTCATCAGGCTAAAAAGTCAAATAATTTGAAACCGTGTAGAATTTATAAGCATTGATCAATGGTCATATCGTATGTTAAAATGTTTATTTATTCGAGTATAACCTTTTATTGACTGAACTTAATGGTTACAAAGTTGTTATAATTATAAATAATGAGAGAAGGGAGAGTGCATATTGCATGGTAGGAAGGTGTATTTGGAGTTGAAAGTCATTTCTACAACTGAAAATAATAACAGAAATGTTACTACTACGATTTCGAACAAGCAAGAGACTATGAGGGGTGCCCATATCATAAAATGGATCCCCTTTCCTGATATGACCTTAAACAATTACTGGCCTTTAATTCACAATCCATAATATGTATTGCCTGATAACTGAGACTTTTTCATTATGAGAACCATTTCATTTTTTCATCATAAATTTTATAATAATTCTATGACATAATACTTACTGTGAACTCTTTTTTCTTAATCTTATTTTTTAATTTTTTACTGTTGGATGGAAGTTTTGAGAAGTCCCCCAATCTCAAGGCATCTGAAATAAAAATGTAACAATTTGTTACAAATACTATTGACACGTCACAAATAAAACAATAGTTATGTCAACTGATGAGACACCGTTCCTTGGAGATGGGTCAAGTGACACAGTCGCAAATTGGTCACATGGGTCCAAAGTCATTGTGTTCAACAATATTATGAACCAATCTGTGCCCGTACACAGACAACTTTCAAACAGAATATCTCTTCTCAGTTAGAACTCTGACAAACCATCAAAACTGTAGTAGTCTGCATTATGTTAGCCTTGGTTGATACAAAATCATACGGATGTGCTCCACAAAAACATCAAATAACAAATTATTTGCTGATTTTCTACATCATTCAACCAACATTGCAGCTACTTCAAATTGAAGATAAAGTGTTCTCAACTTATTTTACCGACATCTTAGTAAAATTAGTTACGAAAATCAACTCAATTTCATTTAAAATTGGAAAGAAAGTTTTCTATCAACAGAAAGATGGCAGTAGCGATCTGAAATTAAAGTTGCCATCTTTTAATGAATATAGGATTAAGAATGGCAAGATTCCCAAATAGAGGCCTACTTCTTCCACAAATTACCCTGCGCGCAGAGTCTGGTTATAATCTTCCCTCTGCCTAGTATAGACATTACAGTTTAGCATCCCTGCCCCTGGTACCTGTGACAGCCCAGGTTAAAATCATTTCAAATCTACCACGCTGACCCTTTCTCAACCAATCAGAAAAATGGAAGGAACACATGCTAAATAAGTGCTCATTAACTATGCGGTGATGTCATAGGAAATGACCACAAATAGCCGGTTGAATTCATGAAGCCAGCAGCCAGATCTGAACAGACCTGACCCACATCTAGAATACAACCGCTTCTTTTGTTTTCAAACTAATTATTATATGACTGAATAAACAGTTCAGTGTACCTTGTTCCTGCATTCGTTCTCTATGGCTCTGGAACCAGGTTCTCTGTCTGTCACCAAGATTGGCATCACCTTCTAGTTGTTTTCTAGCTTTGCTCACCTATATATGGATAATATCTATGAATGTACAATGATACACTAAAAGCTGTTACTAAAAGTTGAGTTCTTTTTAATGGATTATGATACATTGAAAAGCTACAGGTATGCTACTGAAAGTTAAGTTTCTTTTTATGTGTTTTGATAAATTGAATACATATTTTGCATACATGACTTAAATTGAAGTACAACATGTATGTAAGACTCACCCCTAAAATTGCTCAGGAGTGAATCCTCTCTCATATAAACTTTAAATTAAAACCTATCTCATCTGAATACCACTTGGACCAGTAGATCTGAGAGCAAATCTGCGCTAAAAACCAGTCAGAATTTTTCATTACCCTTTCTATATTTTTCCAAACTTAGTTGTATTGCACTTAATGTTGCCTGAGCTTCTGACATTCGTATATGTTTTTCTTCTTTCTCAAGTTTCATAACTTCCAGAGCATCTGTCTCCAACTGAGCTATCCTGTCCCTGTATTTCAATATCACATCTGCAAAGATAGGAATTATTCCTAAGCAAGTTTGGATTTGAGTAAATATCAAGCATTTGATCATATTAGTTTCACACACACTTTTTATGACAAACATATACAATTAATACATGTATAGCATACTTAACGAAGCATTTGTATGGAAGTCAATGGGAATGTTAGCGGCTATATCCATCGATATTGCCCGATTACTCCGATATAGCCCCTTACCTCGTTTTGATATTAGATTGGTGCCCACCATAACAGTGTAATGAGGTAAGACATCAGTGCAAAATTGTAAGGGGTATTGCCTCTGTAAAAATGCAAAAATACTTGTCAAAATTAAAAATTATGAATTTGAAGAGAGAAATTGTTGTACATTTAGTTTTTATGCCACCGACACAATTGATGACACCTCCAACTCTTTTGTGGTGGGGGTTGGTGTTCGGCGTCTGTAATATGGCAATGGCTTGTGGTGACAATTTGCATGTTTAATGCCTTGTTTGGAATACACCATTTATTCACACTCTATCTGATTTGATGAGAAAGTGTCTAAATCATATTAATACGTGAAATCATGCAATTTAACACACAAACACTTATTTGGTCTTGACAGTCATTCATGACAAAATGTAATCAAAATTGCATTGTTTACAATACTAAAGTCCTATACTCAAATCAAGACAGTGAATTTGCAGCTTCAGTTCTGGTTATTTTATAATAAAGCAAAAATGAATAAAATATAAGGGCTTCTTATAGGGGTTAGGCCCTTCTTGTGTCAGATATTGTAAATGAAAAATTAAATGCTAGCCTAAAATTATATATTTACTTTCAGTGCTGAGTATGGTACAGAATATTTCAAACAGTTTAGCTTGGTGATGAATGCGTTGGATAACAGAAAAAATTCATAACACACAAGAAGTGATCAAGATATTAGTTCAGATCTTTTGAATCGCTGAATATGAATTTATAGTCAGTTATAATATCAGAAAATAATGAAATTTTCAATGTTGTCATCAATCAAGTCAAGGTCGAATATCGACTTGATACCCTGGGACTGGGAGCCAATCCTTGGTGATGTCATTGTATTGCGTGATGTCATCATTCATATGTGATGTCATTGTATTGTGTAAATTCCAGCTGCAAGGAATCATGTGAACAGAATGTGTCTGGCAGCAGATGTTCCACTGGTAGAGAGTGGTACAGCAGGCTACTTGGGCCAGGTGACTGTTATTAAAAAGGTAAGATTAAATGCAAAATTTATTTCCCGCCTCTAGGGATTGACAGAATGTTATGAGTGTCAACCAAAGCCTACGCAGAAGACATTCCCAGGGTGTACCATACGTAACACGCCCTCAGAGCCAATCCATTGCATTGTATGGGCCAAACACCTTTTCAATCAGCTGTTTGGTGAGGAAGATCCAGATCAGGATGTGTCTCCAGATACAGAGGACCCGGAGCTAACAGGTATGAGCCTGGCCAGGAACATGCATAATGGCAATTTTTTTTTCTTGTATAAGATCTAGAATATTTCTAGCACTAGAAAAATGTTTGAATTCACAAAGCATCTCCATTTTTGCGGACAGTGTTCAGCAGTTGGTGTTTGGCAGTTGGCATTTGGTGGTCAGGGTCTTTAACAAATGGCAGGTTGTGACCTTTTGCATGTTCAATGTCTTGTTTGTTAGAATGTCTTATAATGAATATGAACCTCTGAATTCCACCATAATAGAATTTAACTTACTTCGTATCATATTTTTAACATTACATAGGAGATGCAGGAGAAAAGGCTCTTGGAAATGAGGCTAAAAATAGTATTGGAGGTATAGAGCGTAAATCTACACGGGGATGGGCAGCAGAAACAGGTTACGACACAGTGAAACTATTCAATAAGGTATGATATATAGAATTTCACTTGGATTGGCACCCATTGATTTAGTTGCTTGATTTTTATTAGTTATTTTAAACTGATATGATATAGCAATTGTTAAAAGTGAGAAAAACACGGTGGCAGATCCAGATGGCTTTTAGGTCAACTGCCTATTTGACTCAAACACTGCAAATTTTGATAGTGCCTCCATTGATCCCCCTTGTTTAATCTGTTAATCTCATGTTGTTACATCTTAAAACTCTCTCAAATTGCCTCATTGTCTTTGGTATTTCCTTTTTATTATGTCCCCACCACATAGTGTGGGGCTATATTGTCGGCATAGGCGGGTCCGTCCGTCCGTCCGTCTGTCTGTCTGTCTGTCTGTCTGTCTGTCTGTCTGTCCGTCCGTCCGTCCGTCCGTTCGTCCGTCCGTACGTACGTCCGGCAGTTTTCTCCAAAACCGCTACAGATATCACCTTCAAATTTTCAGGGATAACTTATGAGTGGATACAGATGTGGACGAAACACTTTTAGCTCGATACCTACTTCCTGTCGGCCATTTTGAAGTCAAATGCTAAAATCCTTGTCTGCAAACTCAAAGAAAAACGGCTATACGGTTGCTTTTAAACATCTTGTTCAGCTTACTTCATTCTACATCTGATTAGGTTTTGGACCTGTTAGCTCAGTCGTGGCAGCCATTTTGAATGTCTTAAGAAAAGTTAGCGCGCGATAATGCTTTGTATCATATTGAACGGTGTTTTTGAGCTTTCATACTTTAACTATTTAGTAGCTTTATAAATAATTCCAGGTGTACTTTATTTTAGAAGCCTATGTTATTGTTAACAGTAGTGATATGTGATAATGTTGTAAAAAGAAATCAGCAAAAACTCATAATCACTTTTTTATTATTGGCCATTTTGGATTTTTCCGTTCTAAAATCTTGTGTGTAAAGTCTTGTCTACGCGTTTTCAGGTGAACCGTTTGGTAGATCAATTTCAAATTTTCAGGGATGATTCTTAGTATGAAAATCTATATCTGACTAGTTTTTTGGCATTCTGGGTAAATGTGAAGGCAGCCATTTGGGATTTTCCGTCCTAAAATCTTGTCTGTAAAGTCTTGTCTAAGCGTTTTCTGGTGAACCATTTGGTAGATCAATTTTAAATTTTTAGGGGTGATTCTTAGTATGAAAATCTAGATCTGATTAGTTTTTTGGCATTCTGGGTAAATGTCAAAGCAGCCATTTTGGATTTTCCGTCCTAAAATCTTGCCTGTAAAGTCTTGTCTGTGTGTTTTCAGGTGAACCTTTTGGTAGATCAAATTCAAATTTTCAGGGATGATTCCTTGTATTAAAATCTAGAACTGATTAGTTTTTTTGGCATTCTGGATAAATGTCAAGGCAGCCATTTTGGATTTTCCGTCCTAAAATCTTGTCAGTAAAGTCTTGTCTACGCGTTTTCAGGTGAACCGTTTGGTAGATCAATTTCAAATTTTCAGGGATGATTCTTAGTATGAAAATCTAGAACTGATTAGTTTTTTGGCATTCTGGGCTAATGTCAAGGCAGCCATTTTGGATTTTTCAGTCCTAAAATCTTGTCTGTGAAGTCTTGTTTACGCGTTTTCTGGTGTACTGTTTGACAGTTCAAATTTTCAGGGTTAGTTCGCAGTATGAAAATCTAAAGCTGACTAATTTTTGGGCATTCTGGGTAAATTTTAAGGTGGCCATTTTGCATTTACTGTCCCAAAATTGTAACGGTAAAGTCTTGTCTACTCATTTTCAGGATAATCATTTGACGGGATCACCCATTGGTGGGGACATACAGGGTGTTCCAAAAGTAACAGGACTGGTGCTGGCATTTTGTCAAATATGCACCAATCGTCTTCAAAGTTTTACATTATCTACTCTCATGTATCGTTACTAAGATTGCAAAGTTTCGACAAAATATATTAAACTCGGGTAGAGTTATGGTTGCTATAGTAACATGACATCCCAATACCCGGGGCAACATTCCACGCAAAAAAAATTACAGAGACATTAAGCATTTTGCACATGCCATATCATTTTGTACATGTCATATCAAAGTTGAAATGCAACAACTGGTAGGAATTACATTTGTTTTACATCATTTGATATTCCTTTTGATCCCCTACTTTGAAAAATAGGCTCCTCTTTGGTCAGTACAAGAGTAGTACTCTGTATCCATGACCCAAACACATGAGTGAACCCATTTGAGGACAAGTCACGCAGGGTCGATTGGACAATTTGGAGAAGGTCATTCTCATCTTTAAAGGTACGTCTTACAGCACTGATAAGCATTCCGTTCTCAATATAAGTAAAAATTAGATATTGCATGATCAGAAGAGTATGATGCATGGTTTTAGACCTCAAGACATAGCTCCTCTATAGCTGGATGGTCTTCAATGGTGACCTGCGGGCAGGCGCGCTATCAAGGTAGATGACTGGCTTCAAATTGGGTCTTTTCAAAATCTCAACCGTGAATTGTTCGGACTGTTATACATAGTGATATTCAAGGAAATTGAATAAATATTATTATCATTATGAAATTATACTTGTATCTGAATTGTATAGCAACACCTTTACAACAAAGCAACTAAGAAAATAAACAAGGAATGTTGTGTTATAATAGGTGAATGAGATACTTTCTTCAGCAATACAAAAATGTTAGATATCACATTTTCAGGAAAAAAGTTGCCCCGGGTATTGGGATGTCATGTTACTATAGTAACCATAACTCTAACCGCATTTCATCATTGTTTCTGAAACTTTACAATTTTAGTTGCAATACTTCAAAGTACAAGTTGAAAATTTGAAGACACTCAGTGCAAAATTGTCGAAATGCCAGCACCAGTCCTGTTACTTTTGGAACACCCTGTATTGTACACATTTGTGTTCTTGTTACTCTTAGTGGAAGTGGTTTCCAATGTGGTGCTGGCTGAGTATCTTCCAAGTATCTTCATTATAACAATCGTGTTTTTGACCCTATATTAAAAGCACAATTTTTAAAAAATCATATTTTTCAATTGTAGTTGTTCCGTGATGACATTAAGTACTTGCTATCCATGGATAAACTTTGGAAGAAAAGACGTCCACCAACTCCACTTGACTGGGATAAACTACCCTCCACAGGTACATCGTAAGGCTTCCAGATTTCTGTGTACACAATGCTTGTGGTTCTTCATTTTCTCTGTAAATTGAATCATTGATATTATTACAGTCAAATCTGTCATGAAGCAACTCTCTGTATGAAGTACCCTACACATAACTCAGGGGCGGATCTGGGAACCAACAAGGGAGGAGCCCAAATTTTAGGTCAGAGAAAAAAAGTTCCGCAATTGTGCGGAAAAAAATTTTGGGCCCCTAAAACCAAAAGTGGGCCCAAATTTTGAAATTTTGAGGCCCATTTTCTTCAAAATTTGGCCTGAAATTAAAAAACAAGGACTTAAAAGGCCCAGTTATGACCAAAAAGGCCCACTTTTCGGGGCCTAAAGGCCTTTTTTAGCCCAAAATTATTTTGGGCCCAATTTTTTTTTTCTGGGCCCACCCACCCCCTAATCAGCCAGTGTAACTGTTCTCAAGAGGACTAGGTCCCATTACCTTACTTGAATACTGTTAAAAAGAAACATCTGTCTATAAAAAGAAACAATATAAAAGGTACTATAGAGAGCATTTCATATGCAAACTTTAACTGTATTTCTATAAACAGGTACATATATAACGAAATTAGTTATTTTTACAGAAGTTATACAATATGTAAATATGTTTTAAATACAGGCCTATATCAATAGAGCTTTCCAATAAAATCATAGCTCGATTAATGAACCAAGGAAACTAAATTGGCTAGAATTATGTCATACATTTCAGGCTAGAATGTTTGAAATAAAATAATCTTTCTATTCTGTTTGTCTTTTACAGAGTTTGTGGATGGACCCATTAGAGACCAACAACTATGGAGTGTTCAGCAATGTGCCGATATCTTAAACAACAGCATTAAGTAGAGGTGTCAAGTATTAACCGGTTAACCGGTTAACCGCCGATAATGCCTTGACCGGTCTGTGTTTTTATGGGCGGTTAGTTGACCGTGTATAATTTTGTTATTTCTCGCGCTTATTTTGCATGCTAATCCGTTTGGTTTTATGGTGTCAGTTACACGTAAGCTACTCATACATGTCATAAGTCCCATAACTCCTTACAAACATCCAATCAGCAACTTTAATCCCTGTCACATTGCTTTTCCGCGCTTACTTTGCATTTTAATCTGTTTGTTTTCCAAGCGTCAGTTTCATGTGAGCTACTCATACATGTGATAGGTCCGATAATTCCTTACAAACATCCAATCAGCAACTTTAATCCCTGCCACATTGCTTTCCCGCGCTTACTTACATAGAATAGAGTAACGCTTGACGAACGTAAAAAATAAACGCAGATATATCATTTATCCAATTTTTTTCAACTTTCAAGATCGAAGATGAAGATTTCATTTGAAATTATCAGTTCAAATTTCCCGTCGGTTAACCGACTTTAACCGGTAAAAACCCCCGGTTAACCGGTTAATGCTCAAGCGGTTAATTGACACCACTAGCATTAAGTCTTTGAAGGACCAACTGGCAGCACAAGGAGAAGGGGGTACGCTAGTGTGGGATAAGGTAAAGTATTACTAGAAATCATATAATATACATGTAAGTTAATGAAACGAGCTACTAGGGAGTTTAAGCTTGAATATAAAATCAAAACGCCAACCTGTACATATGACCAATCACCCATACAAATGCATCGCTTAAATATTTTCAGTTCACGTTCAGGTTGTGAAAAACGTTGCAAGCTTAAACTCCCTACTAACTGTAGGTTCAGAATTAAGTGTCAGTGTCTTACTAAGTGACTTCTGACTAGTGTTGAGCATTAGAGAATGGCTTTTGGTCTCTGTAACAAATGGTTACACTTTTGTTATATCAATTACAATTAGATGGTAACATTTTATTTGAAGTTTGGCAGCCGTATTTCTGCCGTAAAGCAAATATGACTGAGGCTTTACCCGCAGTCCAAAGGTAAGATTTGAACAAGTTTACATTCACAAGATACAAATACAATAAGAACAAAGTGTATGTATTACGTTATTACATATACATCACTGAGAAATCACTTTACATATTCTTTCAGGATGATTCTCCAGCCATGGACTTTGTTACTTGTGCAGCTAACATTAGAGCTTACATATTTGGCATTCCTCTCAAGTCTCGATTTGACATCAAATGTAAGTTTGAAATATGCACCCATATCTAATTTCTGTGACATTGAACCTTTGAATTGATATTTTTCTTAAATGTTTCTACATCAGCTTTTTAGCTTTAAAATGATTGTTTGTTATCTGATTATGTTATAGCAATGAATGTTTATCTTTGTTACAATGGTAGATATCATCCAACTGCTATAGCAACCACCAATGCCATCATATAGAGGTGTCAAGTATTAACCGGTTAACCGGTTAACCGCCGATAATGCCTTGACCGGTCTGTGTTTTTATGGGCGGTTAGTTGACCGTGTATAATTTTGTTATTTCTCGCGCTTATTTTGCATGCTAATCCGTTTGGTTTTATGGTGTCAGTTACACGTAAGCTACTCATACATGTCATAAGTCCCATAACTCCTTACAAACATCCAATCAGCAACTTTAATCCCTGTCACATTGCTTTTCCGCGCTTACTTTGCATTTTAATCTGTTTGTTTTCCAAGCGTCAGTTTCATGTGAGCTACTCATACATGTGATAGGTCCGATAATTCCTTACAAACATCCAATCAGCAACTTTAATCCCTGCCACATTGCTTTCCCGCGCTTACTTACATAGAATAGAGTAACGCTTGACGAACGTAAAAAATAAACGCAGATATATCATTTATCCAATTTTTTTCAACTTTCAAGATCGAAGATGAAGATTTCATTTGAAATTATCAGTTCAAATTTCCCGTCGGTTAACCGACTTTAACCGGTAAAAACCCCCGGTTAACCGGTTAATGCTCAAGCGGTTAATTGACACCACTACCATCATAGTCCCTCATTGTTTACTTTTGTTGTTATAGCAATGGCAGGTAACATCATCCCTGCTATAGCAACCACCAATGCTGTCATAGCTGCTCTCATTGTGATGGAAGGCATGAAGATTTTATCTGGTGCAATAGAAACATGTAAAACTGTAAGTCCATGTATGTGATATTCTCTCTTTTTCAAATATGGTTAAAACATATACATATATACATATTTGATCTGTTTTTAAAAATTAATGAAGTCTATCAAAATTTTTACTGCTACTGTCTTTACAAAACACTCTACATATTCAATGGCTTTAAATCTTTATATTTTTTTCCTTTAATTTAGATATATCTCAATAGACAACCAAATGTACGCAAGAAACTTTTAGTGCCCTGCTTCCTGGATAAGCCAAATCCTAAATGTTATGTGTGCTCAGCCAAACCTGAGGTTACTGTCAAGGTCAACACAACCACTCTCACACTCAAAACACTGGAGGAAAAGGTAAAAGTTAAACATTTTTAATGTCTTATTTTCTCATATGTAAAATGACTAAATGGTTGATACTGTACTTCTACTTAATTTGGAGGCTTTTTTTTTTATATGGCCGATCTGCCAAATTAAGCAGTGGCCAAATTCCCGAGTAATTTCATTACCATGTAAATTAGTACTGTAAATTCTAATGTAAATTCTGTAGTAAATTCTAAAATTGCAAGTCCGCCATATTAAGTAAATGCCAAATGTTCAAAACAGTAAATCCGCCAAAATAAGTTGCGCCAAATTAGTAGATGTCCTGTATAAGTTATCTCAAAATTTATGAATACTAATCTTTCCTTCAACTTATTAATTTTTTGAAGTGTTTTTTTTTAGTTGAAGTATTTATTGTCTCCTCCAGATAATCAAAGGCCAGTTTAACATGGTGGCCCCAGATGTTGAGATCGATGATGGCAAAGGGACTATACTCATATCCAGTGAAGAGGGAGAAACAGATGGTAGGTTTAAGTGGATTATATCAGTACAATGTTTGTTATTTAATAATTTCCCTTATCCCATAGTTGAGGTCAAATCTGTAGGATAACATGGAAATATGTGTATGATATTTTGCAAATGCGTGGAAAAAGCGATATCTGTGGAATATGGAGAATATTCTACAGATATCTTAATTTTCCTCAGAAACAAACTTTGTAATCTTGACATGATATCATTTTAATCCACTCATTAATATCAATATCTACACTCATTCGCTACGCTCAGTCGTCCAGATAGTGATATCAACTCGTGGATAAAAATTGTATCATTCAAAGGATATCCTATACTTATTCACCCATAGTATGGATTTTAGACTAGATGATTTCAGATTACAATGTTTCCACTTGCTGACATATAGGCACTCAAATAGAAAATCAGTTGGCTTCATTTGATAGAGTGACTTTACAATTCCAGATGAAAAACGAAAATGAATACTCCAAATGAAACCTCTGCCATAGTATTTCTTCTCTTGTTGGTTTACAGATGCAGAAAACATGGCTAAATTTCTCAACGCATTTGGTATCATCAGTGGCACTAGACTGAAGTGTGATGACTTTCTACAAGAGTACAAGCTCAACATAACAATACTGCATGAGTAAGTACTTCAAAAATTGCTAATACTACAACCATGCATAAATAAATACTTGAGAAAAGTTCAACATAACAGTACTACATGAGTAAATATTTAGAACATTCTAACATAATACTGTATGAGTTAGTACTTTGGAAAATTCTAGTGTCACAATACCTCAAGTATTTGAGATCATTTTAAGTAAACAATACATTCTAAATCAACTAATTCCTCCCATTTTGTTGGTCAATGGCGAACACCTTGTTAAGAATAATTTTGAATTTTAAAATTTTCCTTTTTTAGGGAAGAGTTGGATGACCAAAAAGAGTTTGAAGTAATCGGTGACTTGGATGAATTACAGCCTAAAGCTGGGCCTAGTCAGGAAGAAAACACTGAAACCAAAAATGGCAATGGTACCGCAACAAATGAACAAAAGCAATCTCAGTCATCTGGTATTCACTTCTTACAGTATCCTTCTTGATAATTGAATGGTTTACCTTCCAAAGCATTTCCAATGTGCTCCTAGCAATATTTGTAATCTTGCTTTATCTTATAAATAGATCAGCACAGCACTCTTCTATAACATATAAGTGGAGTTGGGTTACTGGAACATAATAATACAGACAAAAGGTCAAGCTTCAAGGGTTCAACAGATATACAGTGCGTATCAAAAAAACGCAACAGATTGTTATCTCGGAAAAGCACAAAACCAGTGATAACAGCATCGATTTCATTCAATGCACCATAAAGCCATGTGTCTCCTCTTTACAATGATATATAATTCATTGATATTTGGTCATGGTTGGGCGAGTAATCATTCCATTTGCAAAGTGGGCCAAAATTAGCTTGGGACCAAGTTAAAAACATCGCAAACGTCAGTGTACGGAGCCCGATGCAATATTGGAAAAAAATATAAAACCAATGCTGACTGCATCCTTTTCATTCAATGTACCAAAAAGCCAAATTACTCCTCTTTGCAATGGAATATCATTCATTCACAGGGAGTCATAGCTGGCCGAATAATTATTAATTTTGCAAATTGGGGCAAAATTCAGCTCGGGCTCAAGTTTCAAACATTGCAAAAGTCAGTACAAGGGGCATAGGGGCTATTGGAAGAAGGTGTGACAGGTATATCAAAAAGACAGTAAAGTGTTCATACTTATACTCTTGCAAGAATACATCCTATACCCCTCCAAATTGCCACCACTTCCTTGCACATAAAGATGCACTCATCTGTCCACGTAATGCATGGTTCAGCCCTGAGTCATCTGTGGGTTAAAGTAGAGAAAAGCAGCCCATGGGCAATTCTTTCTCGAGGTTTTGCAATATCTGGTGAAGGAATTGTGAGCACAGATGCTTCTGAGATAGCTCCAAAAGAAAAAGTCACAGCAATTCAAGTCAGAGGATCTTTCATTGGCACTTAGCCCTTGCACTGATTTTTGCAATATCTAAAACTTGGTCCAGAGCCGATTTTGACCCACTGTGCAAATGGAAGGATTTCTCACCCAACCATTACCACATGTGAATGAATGACATATCATTGCAAAGAGAAGAGACGTGGCGATTTTACGAGATAACTACTTGTTGCGTTTTTTGAGACGCCCTGTATAACATACATAATTATCATCCATTTGAGTGTATTGATATCATTTGTATTGCATGTTTCAGTACAAGACGAGGAAGATGATCTCATGGTCCTTGAAGATGACGACAGCACACCAGCCCCATCTATTGATAGAAAACGTAAAGCAGACAGCAATGAAGACAGTCCAAAATTGAAGAAAGCAAAAACAGACAATGCATCAGAGGAAAATAAAAACAACTCTGATATAGAAGAAATAATGATCATATAGGCTAAATGATTATTCGAGAAACTCTAAGTAATAGTGAATTGCCAAAAAGGAATTGGGCTGAATCCAGATGGAAAACTGCCTTAAATTATCTAAATATCAGACGATTCCATTGTATTGTATTCTTTTTATGCTAAATCTATCCTTGTGCCTTTTCGTCTTTCACTAAAATAAAGAAATGGCTTGATAACATGCCCCAGAAATCAACATTTTAATGACATCAACAACTGGTTTCTTCATTACAAACTTGAATCGTTTTTACCTGGAAGTAGTTTTGTGTATTGAAAAAATAGTTGAAAATGATTAGTATGGAGCATTTAGCAGAAGAGACAATGGGAGAAATATTTGTCATTGAATAAATACAGTAAAACCTACAAAAAATTAAAAAATTACATTCACTGTAGACAATTGTTAAACTCTCACATGTTTTACTGTACCAGGACCATATTAAATTATTAGTACTTTCAGTGCAACTTAAAACGTTTCTGATAAAATTTATAATTCTGTTTATTCTGTTCAATCAGTTTCTATTGTGTGAAGTGCATTCACTGAAGACAGGTGTTATCTCTCACAGGTTTAACTGTACCAGGACCATGTTTGTACTCACACTGCAAAATCGTTTCTGATGACATTAACAAAATGACATGTTTATTCTGTTCAATAAGATTGATTTGGTATTTGAAGAAACAGTGTACTAATTGTACTAATCATGATAAATGTTGCACTCATAATAAACACAGACTGAGAGAAATACAGAATAAATATATATTTTATATCACTTTCTAAAGTATGTGTTTTGACAAAAATTGATCTTTGTTAATATTGGTCATATATTATGATACTGATATCGTATGATTTTGAATGATATCATTTTTATCAAGTAGAGCATATACATGATATCAAGAGAAATTATATTGGAGTGAAGATATCTCCCTGATTAAACCTAAAATTATTGTGAAATTTGAGTTTGTGATGAATATACATAAAGGGTTAAAGCTCCTTTTAAAAAGTAAAAATCAAGGTGATATCCCTTAAATCATTGCTTGCCAAATCTATTTTTGGAGGTTTTCTGCTGGGGACTGGCAATTTTGATGGAAAATTAAGCAAAATTGCATGTTTTCACATTAGCATAAAATAGACTGTATCAACATCCTATGTGCTAAGTTATATGCCTTTTGCGAAGCCAATGACAAAATATTGCAATTGCACCCTACCAGGTTCCCCTAGTGACCCCAGGAATATTTGGTAAGATAATTGGTACAGATTATGTGACAGTTACTGGACAGCACCCCAAGATATCTCGAGGTTGGTCAGATCCGATTATGACGTCATAGACGCCTCTAAATCTTTGTATGTTGGAATACCCAGCTTGATGCTGATATCAGTCTTATGCATGGAATAACCAAAAACAGTGGTGCCAATGCTGATTTTACACGGATTTAATCATAATGGCATATGTTCAGTACATGGTTTCATGTACAACAGTGTTACTGTTGTATGTCTAATAATTGATAACGTCTCTAGTCTATATATAATTTTTACAAATACAGGCGATAGTGGATTTTTGTTGACAAATGTCCTTTGCAAGCTCATGTTTTACTGTAACATTACTTTCCTATTCCAGTTGTCATAGAAAATGGATTTAAATGGATTTTTTACAGAGATGTTCATTTTGCAAAAAATATTGCCACTTTACTTTAAAATGTATCTCATTTATTAGCCCTATACATGTATAGACTATATACATAATTGTTATGTACTGGGAGGTTTTGGATACAGGGTTTATCCCAAGGGAGATATGTGTACATGTACTCTGTATCTAAAACCGACCGTACATAACAAATGTATTCCACACATACTGAGGACACTAAGGTTTTCGGTACATTATATCTCATAAACTTCCAAAATTCAAAAGCGTACTTATAGGTACGTATTTTATTTGTCTTAAAAGGTAACGTTTGTGAGATTTTCACACTCATATATAGACCAGAGATCAATGTCCCTCCCAAGGTCGGGCCATATATCACTGAGACCTCGGGCATATATGCCACGATAGTGACATAACCTCTAATTACCTACCAATTTCAAAGTTACCCGAGCATCTTTTTAGCAAGCGATTAAGATAAACATGCTGATACAGTAAAAATATTATTCGCCTTTGTATTTGAAGGAATTCTAGGAATTATACAAACTATAATCAACTTCAATATCGCTTTAGTTGGAAATTGTAGCTAATGATTGGAAGTAACCCTATCACATACCACTTTAATAGATGACTAATATATTTAATAGTTCACCAAGGGTTACTTTTACTTATTTATGAACCTTCTATGATTCATATAACTAGTCATCTATTTTGTACACATACAAAAGATTCTTCCTGGTTTTAGCAGTGTGACTCTCTCCCACTACTATGTTCCCACTACTATCTACCATCACCTCACTAGGGAACAACAGACCATCCTCCTTAGTGAGAAGAACCTTCAGCAGGTCTCCATCATGAGATAATATCAACACCCTGTGGTTTTCAGAGTCCACTAATAGTAAATGTTTCTCAGTGCAACAAATACCCTCTGGTTTATCAAGTCCATCATCACCATCACCTTTGTATGCAAATACTTCATTTCCCTCCCAGTCCAGACAGTGAAGAGTGTTGGTGTTGTAGTCAGTCACCAACAATGTTTTATTGTATGGATTGATGGCAACTCTATACAGATTATTGAATGATGCATTTGTGATGGTTCTGAGTACCTGACCACTGATAGAGCATATGTTGAGACACAATGGGTTATAACCAATAACTACAACACCTAATTGTGGGTGGAATGCGAGTCCATGTGGTCGATTAACATCTTTACATATCTGTCGCTTGTAATTTCCCTCCATGTCAAACACCTTCACATAGTTATTCCTCCATGAACTGATCACTATCTCGTCAGTGGGGAGACAGACTACATCATTTTGACGTTCTAATGCAAACTTTAACTTGAACGTATAATCCTTGTTGTACACAAATATACCATGCTCATCTATTGATGTAATGATGTCTCCCATAGGACTACTACAAAGACCGAAACAGGAATAGGATAGTTCGATCTTACGAGCTAATGTAAGACTAAGATGACCAGACGACAGTTTCAGTGTTTTTAGTTGTTTTACCAGACTGGTTGAAGGAGTTGATTCATGACTAGTAGAAGGTTGTTGCATTTCGAGTTGAGATTTAACAACTAACGACGGTCCTGCTGTAGGAGGGTTCTGTAAGACTGAGGGAGAATCACTACTAGGTGGCATTTGTGCTGTAACATTATCAGGAGGTTCTGATGAAGCAGATGTTGTAGAATCAACAAACTCCTCTTTGATCCAAAGTGTTTCTTTAAGCTGAGATATAAGAGTTTCTATGCTCTCCAATGCCTCTTTGGTTGATTGTTTCTCATTAGAAGGGACTTCACCAACGAAAATACTGATGGCGTTTGTAAGATCATCAGTGGCAATGGCCAGTGCCTGTATGCGTAGCTCTCTCTTTAGGGGAAGCTTCAAGAAATGGTAGTCGTCATGAAGAGCTGATACGAAGATGTCAAATGCTTTCTTTCCCCGTGTTTCTAGAATATCCAAAAATGCACTACATCTCTCGTGTCTGGTCGGATGAGCTAAAACTGTTGCTTTCATTCTTTGGGTTATCATACCATCTTGAATGCATCTAGGTAAAATATCCTGCACTTCCAGGCTTTCCTCGATATCAATGCGACTGGATCTTAAAGCTGCTTTGTGGGCATCAGACAGTTTATTCATAGACGAGGATCTCATAATTTTACCCTTTCCCGATACAGTTGACGTTGGCATTCCAAGTGTTTTTCTCAGTTGTATCATAAGTTTCTTGATGTTTTCTACAGAAGCGCGGGATATTTCGACCTCTTCTTCATCAGCCTCTTTTCGATCAACCATGATTTCGTTTGCATGAACAAGACTAGCTTTTGCTATAGATAACGCCTTAACACGCAATTCCCTCTCCAGTGGTACTGACAGAAAAGAATAGTTGACAGATAGGGCGGCGATAAAGTTATTGAACGCCTGCTGTCCACGCGTTAATAAAATGTCTAAAAACGCGCTGCATTTTTGGTTTCGTGTGGATTTCGCTTCGATGTTCTCTTTCATTTGCTGTGATATAACGTCATCTTGGAGACACCTGGCTAATATGTAGTCCACGTCGAGACTCTCCTCTAGTTTGACACGACACGATCTCAAAGCCGCCTTGTGAGCTTCGGATAGTGGGGAATGAGCCATGGGTTTGTCTTTGGATTTGGGTTCTGAAAAATAGTGGTAAAAATGTTGATTATCCAACATTTAAATCTCAATAAATAGTCGAGAATATTTCGTAATTAAGGATCCATTGGGTAGAACTGGGTTACTATTTCTAACGTTAAGACAAATATCTTATATTGTTTTGAAAACATTGAAGAGACTCATAAATAATACTTGTCCATTTCTTATTGAGACAGACGTTTTCACGAGATGTCATCGACTAATTTGATCAATGAGACGGGGCAGGTCGGGAGGAAATTTCAAGATTTATACACAATGGTCCTTTTTCCATATAGCTTTGAAATCTCGTTAAAGTGAGATTTTAGGAGATCTGCATTTATAACCATTGAAGACTAACATTTTCTTCTATCTGATGGCATATTTGAATTCTGTGTGTCATTTTCTATCAAAACAACTTTGATTTGCACCGTTATTTACCTTTATTTGAATTCTATTTGTCTAAAAAATGTCGGGCTAAATCCCCATTAACACAATGTTGAAAGTTCATAAGGATCACATACAATAAAATTGTAATGTGAAATCACAATCCACATGTTAGCAACAAGATCATATGGTTACATTCCAATCCAATGGTATTATAAGTTGATCCAAATGGAATTACTTGCTAGATCATGAAATTAAGTGACTCTTCCCAATACATTACCATGTATTTTTGGCATTTTTCGCCCTACCAACACTAATGAGATGCTATCTATTTTTCCATTTATATGAAAAATGGTCAAACGCGTATTCCGAGAGAAAATTAACATGCACATGCAATGACAATGTCAATCGTGCTTCTGCACGAAATTCGTTGGAAGCCTATTATTCGATCCAATGCGTTATATAATGTTAAACAAAATCGCCTTTTAGAAATTCTTTTAATATATTATTGTATTGAATAAAACATGATAAATAAAAAATTGCGTTACTGAAAAAGGCACGAACGACACTCGAAATGATTGTTTTTCAATTATAAGTTTTCAAGATAACGAAAATTATCATTAACTTTTTTTCTAGAAGTCTCGATTTTTTCCCAATTTTCAAGAAAAATAACCCTGACTTTTTCAAACAATCCTGATTTTCATTTTTACAAGAAATGTATGAAATACATTTTGCGTTACATCGGCGTTCACATGCGTTACGCATTAGATAAACCTGAAAAAATCAACGAAATGAGGCAACGTCAGTGTAATGGTACAAATCGATTTCAATTGCAAATTGGCATGATGGGTAATGACGCCCATTGGTCTTCTAATGTAAAGCCCAAGTAACTCAATCTATTTTGTAATACTTGAATTGGTTTTATAATTTGTATGAGCATAGGCCAAGGTAAACTAACATCTATATTGAGCTCAATAGTACCTTTCTTTTTTGAGCAATTTGGAGAAACATCATTGGAATACGGAGAGGGTATGCTAGAAGGGCCCCTAGCATGAACCTTTACCCAGGAACTTATCCATGTTCAATTAAATAACATTTGGTGATTTATTGACATGTTCAAGTTTTGAATCAGATTTTGAATAAGATTTTTTAATCGTTTTCTTTTGGCGGAGCGTGGGGCAGTGAAAGATGAATGTCTCTCTGGAAATTTTTAATAGTTAAAGGTACCTGTTACACTGCTGGGTTGAGTCTCACGAAGCAATTTTGTAACAAAAGTTAGCGAAGAAATTCTGATTTTTTCAATCGTTTTCCGTTTGGGGATACTACGTACATTAAGTTGGTGATTTCTGGACACAATGAATAAAACTTAGAAAAAATAAACATCTTTTCTTTGGGAAGGGGACTTAGGGGGAGCAAGGGGTTGTTCCCTCCCAAAAAAAGAATTGACTGTTTCAACTTCCTATTTGATGATGTCTGAGCTATTTCAAAGTGTCTGAGACAATAAATAGAATAAATTCAGAATTTTTTGGAGGGGGGGGGGGTGTGAGATGTTACCCACTTCCTCTAAAAATATTACATTTCTAAGATGCTATTTGGTGATCCGTGGGCTCTTTCAAAGGATATGAGTCAATTAAAATTAAAAAGAATTACAAAAACACACATAAACACAATAAATAGAAAAAAATCACATGTACACGTAACAACAAGCTGCGGAAATGTTACAAATATGATGTGGTGATTCTACTCAAGTTGTGTTCATTTTCAAATGGGTAGGGAAACTACATGAACAAAACCAATAATATTATCTTCAGCATTCATAGCATCTTTTTAATCACATGTAGTATACCTGGTATACGGGGAAAGTAATTACAAAACAGATTTTGACGAAAACAGGTACAGCCACAACAGGTATTTTTATGATTATTCTCAACTGTGTGCTAGTTTACCCTACTATCACACCAAACTAGTTCTCGCTACATTCTCGAAAACGGGTTTCAACTGTGTACGGACGGACTGGACGTATTTAGAACCGTTTGGGGTCTATTTACAAACTTCATCAAACGTACTCGAACGGGTAGGTCCTCTATAACTGAAAACATGCTCAAAATGTTCTCTTCCGTCGTTACGTTCTACAATTAGACCGAGTGACAACCTACTAACGACGAGCTGGACGTACTACGAACGGAACCGTCGTACTTCAATCCTACCAGGGACGTTTTTACAACGAGTTGAACTGTCTGAGGACGTATTGAGAAAGAAGAAGTAATTGCAAACGGGTTAAAACTGATTAAGAACGTATTTATCAACGAGTTAGCAAAAATATAGTAGCTATCACACCAAGCAAGTTGCCACTGCGTTCTTCAAAACTGGTTTTAAACTGTGTTCGAACGGAATGACCTGATTACAGAACGGTATGGTCGCCATCGAATTTTGAATCGATTCAAAATTCTAAATCACATACCCCGTCCGGGAAAGTCCATGAAGTTCGTAAACAGACCGTAGAACGTTGTAGCAACGTTCATTCAGTTCGCACACAGTTTAAAACCGATTCGGCAACGTTTTGACGATCACCAGAAAATTTTGAGCATGCTCTAAGTGCTGGAGGACCTACTCGTTCTAGTAGTTTCATGAAGTTTGTAAACAAATCCCAAACGGTTCTTAGTGGGTTCTAACTTCTAGTACGTCAAATCCGTTCGTGCCCAGTTTAAGCCCGTTTTCGAGAACGTAGTGAGAACTAGTATGGTGTCATAGTAGGGTAAGGGACGCGTTATACGACGTTGCCCACCGACGTGGTGCGACCTGAACGAACTGCGAATGAGATGGACGTATTGAAGACTGTTTATGAACGAAGTAGCTAATTATTTTGGACATATTTCCCGACCACAGGCAGATTGAGCCCGTTTTAGGCAAGAACGGGTAAGAACTAGTTTGGTGTGTTAGGGGGGGGGGGGGGTTATGAAGAAACTTGAGATAAGCTGATGCATGCATCATGCCATAGGTTTCTCCCCCAGGCAATCAATGATGTCTTATTGTTATTGCTCATATAATATCTCACATACCATGGATATATCTTGAGAATAACTTTTGGGTATATTATTGCCGAAATATCGGAAATAATCAACAGAACAACCAAACTCCAGAATTAAACAAAATCGATTCCTCGGCTAGCGAGGGGAATCCCAATTGAGTCACACGAGCGCCCATAAGCGCCTTGAACCAGGCAGCCAATCAGGTTTATGATTAACAAATTCAACGACCAATCAGATAACAGGAGGACTTTCCCGGTATATTCAAACTTCAGATTGAATTAATTTCTTCGAAAATAATTAGATCGACCAGCACAATCGCAAAATTAACACTGAAAGAGGGGGGTTTGGGACTTCTTCTTTGGTAATGTAGTGAAACTCAATATGCAAAAAAGTCCAGAGGGGTCTTGATTGTGCTATCCTATGGCATGGGGCCTCTTTAATGATACCATAAACAGATCGGATAATTATTGTAAATTGTGATTTAGATGCAGTTTTATGACCTATACCTGTGTGTGATTACAGCTCGAGAGTGCGATTTTTGCTGGATCGTGCGGTGAAATCTACTGTTACACAAGTACAGTACATGTTTTGATACAATCTAGATGTTTTAATTGTTCAACGCATCCTTATGGAATATTTAGACATATAAGATCATTTGATCTCACATTTGCATCTATAAAGCCTGAACTAAGATTCAAGTGTAGTTCTAAGTCTGTTATATTTTAGAGGGACGATTGTTGATTTGTTTTTTAGAGTTTGCAGGAGCCATCAAATGTCAAAAATGGTCACTTAAAAGTGTGTTTAAACATATTTTTATTGAGCGTGTTTGCATTCATACACACAGTGTTTTTCTTGCACTTCATTGATATAACTGATATGGTGCAGTCATGATGAAAATATTCAAAACCTCATAATATTGATATTGAAAACGTGTTTCAATATGAAGAGAAATGTGATTTTTGTTTGATTTTATGAAGTGTACTTGAAGTTTTATATACGAGTCCTGGCTCCTATTAAAATCAAAATTCCACTTTTTGCTTAAACGTACACGTACAATAAAATTGAGATAATATAGTACGATTAATCATCCTACCTTTTAGTGTATTAAATGTATAATAACATTAAAAAATTAAACAAATTTGATATATATTGGCAAATGAATAACCAGAGGATATCGCCACGATATACTCCGGAAAACCAATATGCGAAGGATATTGTGACGATATACTCCGCTTGTTGATTTTTGTGATATTGAATTCTCAATGATATTATACATTTAGTACACTAATTGAAGAAAAATAATGACATCCTGTGATTTTTTCAGAATATCATTTGATCGCTCTTTCAATGTCACCTCGTAGAGGTCGTTCGGGGTACAGAAAACGTTTGTGCCGAGACCTGCGGGGTGTATTCGAAACTAGTAGCCCTGCTCTTCGGTCTATATTTCTTAATTCTAATATGATATGTGACGTCACAATAACTAGAACAATTGACTTGCTGGTCTATATTGGAATATGTATGACCACTAAAAATCATAAATGCAAATATATGTTTTTCTTGTCTGTTTATCATATTAGAATCGTAACAAAGACCTCGATTTTATGATTTATGTCAAATATATGACCTCAATTTTTATTCTGGCCTCCAACGCTACGCAATTTCGATCTTTTAACAATGAACAGAATACATTTTTCGGTCATATATCACGCCATAAATCATAAAATCTCGGTCTTTATTCCTTTAATGTTGTACAGTATGCAAGATGATGTGACATAATAGTACAATCTAAAGATATTCAAGGAAAGGGAATGGATGAATATCTTTCAAGGAAAAGGGAATGGATGAATATCACTTCACACAAAATTAGTATAAAAGAAAAAAGTAATGTTTGACTAGGCCCATTCTGATACTCATAGCATCTTTCTGCTTCACCTGAAACATCTCAATCAGGGCTGAGAAGAAATGTGATGTCATGAGTTAGCATGATGGAAAGGCCTAGTAGTTACATTCAATGCTGATTCTGAGAGTATAAATCGAATACATGTAATTCAGTTATTAATAGTCAAGTTAACTGGAGGATTTTATCATTATTAACGTGCTATTTGACCGTAATTATGATTTGTCTAGATTCTCTTCTGGTAAGGCAACAATCTAGAATATGTTAACCGGTTTATTAATCGTATGTGTTACCTTGATCAAAACGTTACCATACGAATTTAACATGTCGTCGGTTGAGAATAATAATGTCCCAAGTGCCATTTTTGAAAGGATTTTCACAGATTTCCACTATTTAAATCATCCTCTTTCTTACTGTAGTATTCCCTTACCTTTATCTCCTCTCAATAGGCTGCTTTTCAGTGTCAAATTGTCCTAGAATAGAGAAATTTGTGTCCATTGAAATACATAGCAAAATGGACGTCAGCTTTAATCTTTCGATGTTATGAAAAACTCGGAATTGAATTGTCCTATCTCCATTTTGATATGCTTAAAAATTGGCATAGAAGATCTTGAAATTCATCAATTCTTTAGTGTATATACACACATTTTTGATAAAAAAGAATGTAAAAATTTCACAAATGACAGATAGAAAGTATTGAAGTTACAGATGCCTAAACTTTCAAAAATTGATTTCTCAGTTTCACAAAAATGTGAGTTGGGACATTTTTATTCTCATAGGGCGATGTAAAGAATTAACGCAACTGTTTAATAAATCCCGAAAATCCTTTCATATTTTTGGTAAATATCTTTTCAAAAATACATCGTCTAACCGACCAAGTTTTTTTTGTTTATTAGTACTATGATAAACGTAAATTTCTGATACCATTTTGTTCAAACGAGGTCTGGACATTTAACTTATTTCACTCAAAAAGTTAATTTGATGAAAAGAGAAAAAATAGTCTCGGATGGGTTCACTTAAAGTTATCGAAAATTTGTATATACGTTTCTTTTATGATGTTTACATTCTTGACTACGTGTCAATTGAATGGTTCAAGAGAGAAACACGATGATCATTAGTTCTCCTTTTTATGTGATTATTATCAAATGACTATATGCATTTGTTCAGAAAGAGAAATGCTGGTTTTCGTCAAGTATGATTTTGTCTTAAAAGCAGATTTATCCTAACATTTGATGGCATACAGTTATAAGGTTAGTATAATATGAAGTATATTATATATACGCTTACCTTTTCGCCGGACTCTTCGAGTAAAAGGAAAGGCGTTTAAATTGACTTGCGTATAAGTCTTCCCGTCTCACACCGGAATAGCCTGACAACGGTAAAGTCAGATACCGTTGTCACAAATGGCGGACATAACCGTCGCTTCAACTGTTTAATCACTTGGTCCTCATTCCATGGGATTTTATCGTCGCTAATTCTGTGCATGTATTTACATGTAGCTCTTGTGATGATGTTTGATATTAAAACCCAATTTCGATCAAATTGGGTCGTGAATCGCCACGATAGCGTCTTCGATATCGTCAATAACAACGGAATCTGAATGGTAATGGTAACAGTGTCTGTTGTCCCGTAGCTCATTTTGATCGGTTAATTTGAAGACTTTATTTCGATGGTAGAACATTATTAACTGTGCAAAAAGTATTAAGACACTTTGATCGATTGTTGTTCCAAAGGAATTTAGTCTAGGCGCTCTATTAAACATACAGTTCATGAAAATTTGAATTAATTGAAGCGACGGTTATGTCCGCCATTTGTGACAGCGGTATCTGACTTTACCGTTGTCAGCCTGTTCCGGTGTGCGTCTACAACTACATGTACGCTGCCCACTTTACCTATGTATAATTAAGCACTGTTGTGTTTTGACTTTATATCTATATTCATCTGTGAATATGTCAATTAATTTATATGAACCAAACAGAAAATTACCATCTTAACTAGTCGGCCAGTTGGCTCCGAATATTCGCTTATTAGACGGAAGTAAAAGTTGTTGATTATATTGTAGATATGCCAGGTTTAAATCGATTTCAACAAAGGACCAGGTATTATAAAGTATTGACTTGAAAATATTAATTAACATATGTTTTTCATCATAACTCTGGAAATATGAGTGAGACCTACAAAGCAGTTAATATGATGAGCTTTTTTTTATCATTTTTAAGAAAAAATGATGTTAAATTTATTGTCAGATATGGGGAATTCACTGATCTTACCAATAACCGCCGCAAAGCTTTCATGCATTCTTTATCTGAATATTTAGATTTGGAACTATGTTGTCTAATATAATGTAAAAATATCTTCATGAAATGTTGAATATATGCAATTATTCCATAATAACATGTTTTCCCTGTGAAATAAACAGGGAATACAATTGATATTCAAAAGATCCCGTATCATTAAATGCAATTAATTGGTCGCTGAAACTATGACTGCCTTGCCATTTTTGTTGATAATATTATATTCCCTACAATGCGGTTGTTGACGGTTGTTGTAATGAATTATAGGCTAGTAGAATGGAGGTCTGAAAATTGTGATTAATATACACGAAGGGGAAAAGGACAAATGAGGTATCGTTGTAAAGGTAAGGACTTCAGCATTTTAAATCCACCTGTACCTAAGTTTGAATTTGGGGCAAAAATTGCAAAAACACTCGTTTCCATAGCAACCATTTAAAATATAATCAATAAAACGGAAATCACCTTTCGGATCATAGAACACCTGTTATCTGTCCAATTGTAATGATACATATATCAAAATGAAGCTATTGATGTCCCCTTGTTTATAAACAAGAAAATATGCAAATTAGCTAATTTGCGTATCTATTATGACGTCATAAGTAGATTCTTGAGCCGATTTTGAGATATTTTGGTGATATATTTGATATTATAATAGCACTTTAGTTGTAATTGAAAATGTATTGGTAAACATAACTAAATTTCATCATTGAGTTCGAAATAAATTGGCTGCAAGCTTTGAAAAATGCTTAAAATAGCCGTTTCCATGGCAACATTTAAAATTTAATCATTTAATCAGAAATCATATTTTTGAACATAGTACATATGTTCTTGGTCCGATTTTAATGATATATATACCAAACTGAAGCTATTGAGGCCCCCTGTTCATAATTAACAAGATATGTCTATTTGCTCATTTGCATATTTATCCTGATGTCATAATTATATTTTTTTCAACCAATGTTTAGGTAATTTTGAGATGTTTTAGATATTAATGATAACATATTAGTTATAATTCTTAATAAACTGGTAGAATTACTACTATTTAAATATCATTATTGATGCTAGAAATAGTTTGAGTATTAGCTTTTAAATGTGTTTGAAAGGTCTACTTATAAATGGGTATGAAAAGTATCCTTATTGGTAACTTGTCCAGAAAAATTTCTAGGTTAAAGGAATTGAGGGCAGAATGCACTAAAACCAAAATGTATTCATTTACCGTGTGAAGTTAATATTTTTTAAATAATATCATATTGGTACTAGAACTATTAATTTTATTCAAAATCCATTTTAAGATAAATTATATGTTTATAAGAATAAACAAATTGCATTTTAAAATGTATACATACAATATTAATGTATTTCCATATTTCTGCTATTCTAGCATTATTTACATAAGACATATAAGACATGTATGTTAATATGCATAATAGTGATCTGCATTTTAGTCCTGCAATATATTGCCATATTTTTAAGAATGATGGAAATTTTGGATGCATGCTATATTTGTAACTTTTCAGTATATTTAGTGTGTCCTAAATTCAAATCTGCCGGATGAAATTTGAGTACTTTGCGGCATTAATCTGTACAGCCATTTCAATATATGCATCCCATGGTCCATTTGATTTTTTCCCTTGTTTTCATCATATTTTGGCCAGTTTTTGGCTTCCAGTATACAACTGCCCATTGTTTTAATATACCAGGTGCACCTGTAATGATTGGATAATAACTAAAACTTCCAAATATCATTAATGGAATATGAACAGCAGATTAATACCATAGATAACATATTTGGTTTATACAAAATGACATTACTCCATATTATAGATTTAGTATGGTACCCCTACCCCATTCTTCTAAAATAGTGATTTTCAAGAAAAGTACACATATAATGATAGATAATACCTTCTATCATATACATAATGTACCAGAATAGGAACTACCTGTATGTGAAAATAAGGAATTTAAATTCTGAAGAGGTATAAAGAGCAAATTAAAGCTAGAGACATCTTATTCAAGAATCTGATAGCCATTTTTTCCAGATTTCCATCCGTTGCTCTGGAAATGAAATGCAAACCCTGTCTTTGGAATTTTGTTAATGCAATTTGGTTAGTATATTTTTGTTTCCCGACCGATTTTAACTTTATTGATATCAGAAGAAGTGGAAAAAGAATACCTATATGCTGCATTAAAAATGTTAATAAGCTCATTCTCATATTAATTATTACATCGTTAAAGATGATTTTTGTCAGTAAATGGTAATCTGATCATAGCTATTTGGGGTTTTCAGTTAATTGAAGTAAGAAGGCAAAGACATATTTGATACCTTTGATATTGTTATCCCATTGAACGAAGTTCAGGATACAGAGAACATCACAGTCTCATCCCCGAGTGGTGTTCTAGTTACCCCAATTGGTTTTCTAGTAGCCCCTATTAGCACCCTAGTTACCCCAAATGGTTCTCTAGTAGCCCAAGTAGCACCCTAGGTGTCCCAATTGGTTCTTTAGTAGCCTCTAGTAGCACCCTAGTTACCCCAATTGGTTCTCTAGTAGCCTCTAGTAGCACCCTAGTTACCCCAATTGCCCCCATTGGTTCTCTAGTAACACCCTTGTTTCCCAATTCGTTCTGTAGTAGCCCCTGCTAGACCCCTAGTTATCCAACTGGTTCGCTTGTTGCCCCTTATAGCACCCTAACTGCCCTAATTGGTTCTCTAGTTGCCCCGGTATTGCTCTAGTTAACCCCAATTGGTTCTCTAGTACCCCCTAATGGCTCTCTAGTACCCCCTTATGGCACCCTAGTTACCCAAATCGGTTCTCTAGTAGGCCCCAATAGCACCCTAGTTGCCCAAATTGGTTCTCTAGTAGCCTCTAGTAGCACCCTAGTTGCCCCAATTGGTTCTCTAGGAGCACTCCAGATGCCCCCATTGGTTCTCTAGTAACACCCTTGTTTCCCAATTCGTTCTGTAGTAGACCCCTAGTTATCCAACTGGTTCTCTTGTTGCCCCTAATAGCACCCTAACTACCCAAATTGGTTCTCTAGTTGCCCCCGGTATTGCTCTACTTAACCCCAATTGGTTCTGTAGTACCCCCTAATGGCACCCTAATTACCCAAATTGGTTCTCTTGAAGGCCCCAATAGCACCCTAGTTACCCAAATTGGTTCTCTAGTAGCCTCTAGTAGCACCCTAGTTACCCCAATTGGTTCTCTAGGAGCACTCCAGATGCCTCCATTGGTTCTCTAGTTGCCCCCGGTATTGCTCTACTTAACCCCAATTGGTTCTGTAGTACCCCCTAATGGCACCCTAGTTACCAAAATTGGTTCTCTAGAAGGCCCCAATAGCACCCTAGTTACCCAACTTGGTTCTCTAGTAGCCTCTAGTAGCACCCTAGTTACCCCAATTGGTTCCTAAGTAGGCTGCAATAGCACCCTAGTTACCCCAATTGGTTCTCTAATAACACCCTAGTAACTTCAATTGGTTCTCTAGTAGCACCATAGCTACCTCAATTTGTTCTCTAGTAGTCCCTAGTAGCACCCGAGTTACCCCAATTGGTTCTCTAGTAGGCCCCAATAGCACCCTAGTTACCCAAATTGGTTCTCTAGTTGCCCCTAAGAGCACCCTAACTACCCCAATTGGTTCTCTAGTTGCCCCGGTATTGCTCTAGTTAACCCCAATTGGTTCCCTAGTACCCCCTAATGGCTCTCTAGTACCCCCTTATGGCACCCTAGTTACCCAAATCGGTTCTCTAGTAGGCCCCAATAGCACCCTAGTTGCCCAAATTGGTTCTCTAGTAGCCTCTAGTAGCACCCTAGTTGCCCCAATTGGTTCTCTAGGAGCACTCCAGATGCCCCCATTGGTTCTCTAGTAACACCCTTGTTTCCCAATTCGTTCTGTAGTAGCCCCTGCTAGACCCCTAGTTATCCAACTGGTTCGCTTGTTGCCCCTTATAGCACCCTAACTACCCAAATTGGTTCTCTAGTTGCCCCCGGTATTGCTCTACTTAACCCCAATTGGTTCTGTAGTACCCCCTCATGGCACCCTAATTACCCAAATTGG